AGAATTAATGTCCCTTATATTTTGTTATCTAGTGATTTATTGGCACACTCTTAACATTTATTGACTTGATGTATGTTATCTCATATATGTTTACTGCCTTATTCATGTGTTGAAAATGTTTTTGTGACTATGGTTTTCAAATATTTAAAGGTTTATCTAGTACTGAAAGATATTTTTTGCGTATTTATGATCATTTTCGCCTCCTCAATAATTGTATATGGCCTGTTGTATAAACTTGATGATGCCGTTGGATAGTAAGTACGTCAACTGGAAAATCAACTGGATGTGCCATTCCTTATATCAGCTAACAGCCCTGTTTGTGAAAATTTTCACCAGATTTAAAGACTAATAAAATTAATTTTAAGACCGCATAGACCATAGAAGCGAATACAATATGTCTTGGTATCATCTCTTGTTTATAAGAGTAAGTGAGTGAGTATGGCTTTACGCCGCTTTTAGCAATATTCCAGCAATATCACGGCAGGGGACACCAGAAATGGGCTTCACACATTGTACCCATGTCGGGAATCGAACCAGGGTCTTCGGCGTGACGAGCGAACGCTTTAACCACTAGGCTAGGCAACATAAACATGCATGGAATGGTATATGGAAAATGGTGAAAATAACTTGAAATTTTGAGTTATCAAAAAAAGAAGAAAAGTTTTTACATTTTTTCTTCTTTTTTATGTCCTCATGTGAACAACATGTTCAATGTTGAAAATGCCTTTGACAGAGACTGACCACAGCATTGAGAGTTTCTGGACAAATGGGTTTCCAGAATAAAAATGAGACGTGTTAGTAGCAATAATTTAAGTTCATAAACACAGAGTTGCTCTCACAATCTTAAGACTATCATCTCACAAGAAAACATTGATGCAAGGCATCAAAGTTCCCCGCCATTTGTGATGCCTCACAAACGCATTATAATGATGTTACTGAAAGGCATGAAGGAGCATAATTATATTAACCATAAATAACACAACGCTGTTGTGGAAAAAAATATTATTTAATACAGTTGATACATGTGCATGGGATAGGTCTATTTATAGAAATAGTTTCTTGTTTAACGCCGCACTCAGCAGTATTCCAGCCATATGACGGTGTGAGTCTGGACCAGATAATCCAGTGATTGACACCAAGAGCATCGAACTGCGCAATTGGAATATGATGTTATGCATTGACCAAATCGGCGAGCCTGACTACCCAATCCTGTTCGTCGCCTCGTACAGCAAGCATTGGTTTATTTAAAAAGAAGATCGAAGGCAATGGAACCAATTTCTGGCACAAATGTAAACATTGGCAGATGCACATACTCAAATAAATGATCACATTCTTTTCACACTTGGCATTTTGTTATACTAATGTAAATGAAAATACTAAGGGCTCTATATGGCAAAAAAGTCATACTAGATAAGCTCTTTCTGTCACAACCACAGATGCACATACTCAAAATATTATCACGTAGTTGGAGAACTAATCAATAACGGAGATTCCTCGTCTCTTGTTTTACGTTTTTGGTCAGTTTCTTTTTTGTATTTCTTTCTTTCAAAGAAGAGTAATTGTGATCATGATGAGTTGAGTTACTTGGTCTTTTTCTATGTACTGTTTTTTATCCAGTGTCAGTAACTGTTGTGGAATGTGGTTTAATTGTAACAATTACCGGTTTGAGTTCATATGATGATGATTGATTGGTTTGTCGTTTAATGCCGCACTCAGCAATATTCCAGCTATATTACGGCGGTCTGTAAATAATCGAGTCTGGACCGGACAATCCAGTGATTAATATCATGAGCAACGATCCACGCAATTTGGATCGATGCCATGCATCAACCAAAGCTTGACCACCCTATCCCGTTAGTCGCCTCTTACGACAAGCATAGTCGCCTGATATACTGTTAAGATGTAATATAACAAGTCATCCATACTACTTAACAGAAGTAAAACTGCTTGTCCATTCGGATCAATCTGACCCAAACCATTCCGCTGATGAGAGTCAAATAATTCATACGAATCAAAATCCGTAAAAATTGCAAAAGAGACATCATTAAAAGTTACCAAAAGTGACTGGGATAACAATATTGCTTGCTGAAATGATTCTATGAAATTTGTTTTCCCTGCTTCAATATTTGGAGCACCCGTGACGGGGCCATAAAACTGATTATGACCTAAATACCCCTCATAGCCTTCGGTGTTAACTATGTGACTGTAGAGAGCTGTGCCTTCATCCAACAGATTATCGAGGTCAGTGGAACACGGTACAGACGCAAATAGATTTGAGTCATGGGACACAAAATATATGATAGCGACCAGATCTACGGCTGTACATTGAATTCCATTAAACGGTTGAAAAATACTACAGCCTTGATGCAAATTCGCCGACACACTACTCCGATTTTGCTTTGACTCAGCTACCAAACGTTTCACATGTGGCTATGTGTGGTGCACTTATTAAAAAAAACCACGGGGGACTGGGTTAATTCAAAATACGGAATATAACTATTCCAAATATTTCCAGTGAACATGAGCGTCCAAGCAATCAAAAGTGTGGTATGTAGAATGTGGAATTCAGTCATATTACATTTAAATTGAGATGTCGTCGTTGTTCATGAATAAGCATTATTCAGAACATATTTTATATTATGCTGTCATTTACGATCTCCGGAGTACAGTTCTTCTTTTGTATGCACCGTGAAAATCAGAAAATAAGTCCTTGAGGAAAAAAGGAAATCGGATTACACATGAATGGTTAAATAATGTCAGCTAATGACCAGAAACGGTCAGATGCATCAATTAACTACATAAACTCGATTTTGAAGTATCTCTTATTGCTGGAAAAGAATAGCATCAACATTCCACGCACATGATTTGTATGTTTTGTTTCCGTAAATGCGTGGCTTGAAATTTCGAATAAACCAACATGTCGACATACATGCTACAAAATTAACGTTTCCCGTATACTTCCCCGCCTTCAGGGCGGGGAAGAATGAACCATGTACGATGAACAGTAGACATGATAACAACAGGATTCCTCAAGAGGAAAGGCTGTATACAAATCTTAAGGACAAGGATTTAGAAGATGAGTTGCATTTTGTAATTAAATGTCCATAACAATTATGATCACCTAAGATCACGTAACAATAAGAAATATGATTATAATAATCACTCGGTATATATACTGAGTCAAATTAAAAACTTCACATTTTTAAAAGTAATCCCATATATGATATACAACGGACAAATGTATCAGAGCAGGTAATTTTTAATCATTAATGTCCAAAGAAGGATCTTTATTAACGGTGGTAACCATAATTTGTTCCAAGCACCTACGGTATTCGGTAATAACATCAACAGTTTAAATCATAAGTCCCAAGCACGTAAATCTGATGGCACACAAGTTCAGTAGCGTGTATGGCCACCATGTGCGTTGACAACTGCTACACAACGCCTCTGCATGGACCTTGTGATGCTTGTGAACACATGATTGGGAAGACGACGCCATTGTTGCTGCAAAATGGTGCCAAGATCTTGCAAATTCTGTGGTTGGTTCTGGAGAGTGCGCAGACTTCTGCCAAGAGCATCCCAGACGTGTTCGATGGGATTAAGGTCGGGAGACGCATTCTGAAGGAAATTCCATGTCAAAATTGCTGTGTGGGGTCTGGCATTGTCGTGTTGGAAGATCAAACCGGGTCCATGTGCTGCCATAAAAGGCAGAAGTTCTGGTGCCAGTACCTGGTCGCGGTAAGCAGCAGCGTTGAGGTTGCCACGGATGACAAGAAGCCCGGAACGTGCATTGCCACAGAAAGCACCCCACACCATGACACTTCCGCCTCGAAATCTGTCAACTTCCTGTACACAACACTGGGCGTAACGTTTATGACGGCGCCTCCACACCCTCGCCCTACCATCAGCAAATCGAAGATTAAATCGTGATTCATCACTGAAGACGACTTGATTCCAATTCCTCTTAGTCCATCGTAAGTGTCGCTGTGCCCACAATTGACGTTGACGTCTGTGTAATTGAGTCAGAATCGGCCCGCAGTATGGCCGTCATGCTTGAAGGTGAGCAGTTCTCAGACGGTTTCGAACAGTTTGCGCACTCCGTCTATCCCTAAACAGTTCATTTATGGTTGATGTAGCCGTCAAAAATCGGTTACGGGGGTGACGTAATACAATCTGACGACCCTCTGCATGTGACGTCACACGTGGTCGACCTTGCCGAGGGCGATCAGCTCTGGTACCCGTTTGCTGTAGACGCGTCTGTAAAATTAATCATAAACAGTCCGTTGACTACAACCCATCGTCCTTGCGACTTCAGCTACGGACGTTCCCGTCTGCAACATGCCGATGGCACGTTCACGTTGTACATTTGAAAGGCGTGGCATGACAAGTGGCCGTAAAGACTTTTGTTTTCTTGTATTTTTCTTTTTTTGTTAATGACTGCTAACAAGTATGGCTGAAAACACGTGCGGTATTATGGCCACGTGACACTTTTGCCACTATAGTGCTTTGCACATGATTTTGATCGATTCACCTGCACAAAAACGGGTGTTATCTGAAGACAATACGTGGCCATTACTGTTTAAATACACAATAAGGGCCCACAATGATAACTGGTCAAAATGTTAAAATTTAAGGATTGTGAAGTTTTTAATTTGGTTATATATATATACTCAATTGATCAGAGACAATTAGGAAAATATGTCCATTAAGCATTCACGCAAAGAATCAACAACTAAATGCATTCCATGTATCCTCGAGTACCCAGAGGCGATCCCGTCGTAGGCGTGGTTCCCATTATTTCTATACTTGGGTATGTGATCATTTCAAAAGTTTGAAACTGGCAACTATGATAAACACATTAGGCTTGTTGTCTCACATTTCTAGTGGGCAAAATGACCCTTATCTAACCGCACCCATCCATCCACCAACGTACAACATACTACACTGTACATTTTTAAGTCAAAATATTTGGCGGATGAAACTTGTATATATTTACTAACCTGTGATATATATCGCAACGAGTGTTCCAACTCTTGTTAGAGGCAGCATCTTGTTTGTAGTTGTCTTTGGGAGGCAGACCTTCTTGACGACTGCGATCGATTCTCACTTCAAATTGCAAAACACGTCTTCACAATTCAAAATGTCAAGGTGGAACTGATAGTGAATAAAATTGTTAGGAATAATAAGGGAATGGTTGAGCAAAGAGGGTGTGGCGTCGTATAAGAATAAATGGTTAAAACATAAATTTTCTCCGCAGGGCACTGTTACACTGTTATATATGAACAAACTTATATACCGAGTGATTATTATTATTATTATATTTCTTAATGTTACGTGATCTTAGGTGATCATATTATGGACCTTTTAATTACGAAATGAAACTCATCTTCTAGATCCTTGTCCTTACAATTTGTACACAGGAATCGACACTTTACATATTTAACACTTGATTTTACATATTATATGTTGCGCGACAAAAGTACCCCCTCCATAACAAGTTTAATTAGCTTTAACCATATACCATTCCGATAAACACTATCAAATGCATGTTGGTTGTTGTTAAAAGGACAAATTTTTCGTTTTTTTATCTAACCAAATAAATATAGCATCTACAGTTCGACATCCCTGTTCAAAACGATAACGGAAATCAGATCTTGCACATTTATCACCTTTGTAGATCATTTTCCAAAACTACTTCAAAAAGTAATTCCTCTGCAGTGATTAGAACCATGTGTATAATGTTTCTTAGGACACATTCTTGTTTATCTTCCCCGGGTCCCCACGGGGAACTAATGAAATGAAAGTGAAGGTATAATGACGATAAATACCAGAAGAAATAAGTACGGACGTACAGATCAATATCTGGGGTGTCCCCCATGTTGGGCGATACATGCATGACACCTTGCTGGCATACACTGTTGATAAACCTGTGTATGGTTGTTGCCTTTGGTATAGCCCGCCATTCCGCCTGAAGAGCTACCCCAAGCTGGGCCTCGTTGGCGAGTGTTGGGTCTTACAAATACTCCATTGGGGACATCTCATGGTCCGTGTGCCTTCTCGTCGAAGATAATCGTTGAGGACCTGGGTGTTAGTCTTTCTTAATTCTCCCTATATGGAATTGAAAATGCGTCTTCTTCTTACAGTCATAGTTAAGCGGCAAGGGCCAGCGCAGAGCCTGTACAACTTCAAACATCACAACATCTGCTCAGATCCGAGCAAATTCTGACAACTTGAAGATAAAGTAAAGTGAGCTTTCTCATCATAAGCGGGCACGGGTGGCCGAGTCGTCTACGGCGCCGCAATTCGCTATAATTATGGCTTCGAATCCCGGTTCACAATTTTGACAAATTAGATGTACATGCAAAATAAAGAACTTTTTCATATTACCTCATTTAACAGGGAATACTTCGTTCAAGTCGCTTTTTCAATAGTATTGTAGTGAGTGAATAAGTATGGTTGCACGCCGCTTTTAGCAATATTCCAGCAATATCACAGCAGGGGGACACCAGTTGGCAATCCGGCCCCGGCCTTCGGCGTGACGAGAGAACACTTGAACCACTAGGCTATCCCAACGCCCTTCAAAAGTATTGTATTATATGTGTTTCTCATGAAAGTCTGTATTTTGCTGTTATTATTTATACACAAAGCATATATGTTATATTATTACTTGTAGCATGATCACAAAGGGTATATGGATATTTAATGCGTCCGGCGTGAAATTTTCTACTAGGGATACATGGGGTTTTATCCGTCCCACGTTAGGTTTTATTATACCAGCCGGTGGGACGCATCGAACCCCATGTACACTGAGTGATCCTGCTACAACTGACATGTGTTAATCTGCTATTGTAAAAGGATAAAACCAAATTCAAAATTGATAGAAAATAGCTGTTGATTGAGCTGAGGTTAACTTGTGCAAAGTCACGCGAATTTTGACTGGTAAAAAGCGTGAGACTTTTTGCTTCGAAGCGGGGTATAAGGAATTTATTCTCCCGCTGTAAAATCCACGTGCAGCTTGTTTTCATCGTTGAGTGGTATAAGGGATTTATTCTCCTCTCAGAAATGTATTTCCTTCACAGGTATACATCGTATTTTATCCAGCTCACGTAAACCAATCAGTTCTCGACATTCTGACATGGAGGTATGATAACAGTCATCATCAGAGTCGAGTATAATTTGGCAGAGTTATCAGAAATGATTTTTATTCTCCTTATTAGTTGAATTAAGAGACATACTGAACTTTACAAACAATTAAAATGTCAAGTTTAACAAACAATTTTTTTTTTATATTTGAACCCGTTAATTAGCAAGTGACATGTATTTTCAAATTTTCTCAAATTTAATAAAGAGGTGGCAATAATGATCAGCTATATGTGGAGATACCATGTTGATTGACTTACATGAATCAATCATTGATAATACCATTGTCTATCGTCACCATCACTCAATTTTTTTACATAAAGTTGATAATCCTCACCCTATCAAACTTAGATTGTTATTCATCACTGAAATAGATTTTCTAGAGAAAACAACCTGATATGTTCACAGCTCTTTGGCAACATTGTTTATGGAAAATAACAAAATATTAGTTTTTGACAGAGTTGACAATGTAATCAGCTTAAACGTAAATTGTAGTGAAACAGAACAAAATAACAAATAGCATGCATAATACTGACTACAGGACACATGAATATAAGTACTTAAAGGGGAAGTGTACACGCAAAAATCACTTTCTTTCTTTTTCTAAACAAAACGCAATTTTAGAATTAATTAGTATCTGTGTTTGAAAATATACACTCATTTTTTTCACAGTGAAAGTAGGAAGCTCACAATAGTGTGAAAATGATATGCCGTTATGAGGCCTTCGTTTTTCGAGCTAAACAGGCCTGAGTTATCCCCCTTAGATTATGACGTAATTGGTGCCAATTCAACTGGGTCCCTGTCTATTCTCAACGCAAAAGATATCAAGTACCAGTTTGCGGTAAAACAACATGGCCTACGACACACTCCGGCGCAGTGGTGACTCAGCATAACACTAAGCTGGCTGGCATCTGAGACGCTAGAATCACACACCTAGACCTACACCACGTGAAGCGGCTCTAACAAAGCATGATGACGTCATAATGTTTATCAATTGGCACCAATGACGTCATATTGCAAGGGGCATAAGCCATGGTGTTTTTGTTGTGGAAATAGAACACTTGGTAAATGTGAAAAATATAAATCGTTTTAATCGTTAATATGTTAATTAATTGTGATATTTTTATATTTTTGTCTATGACACTTCTAGGTTAACACTTTTAATGTGGAAAAAGTACAAGAAAAATAGGTTAATTTCCGTGTGAACTTGCCCTTTAAGATGCTCTGCCATGCACGCCTATTGCCTCAAAGCGGAAGGTATCAAAATCCGTGACGGAGTTGACATGGAGACTACAATTTAAGAAGCAATGCCAGTGTGCAACGAACATCTATTAAAGTCTTGGAAGAAATGTAAGCAGTCCTGTAGGAACCTATACTGCTAGAAGTAGTGGACAATATCTGCAGATGGCAATGTCCACCATGTTCCTCTGGCAACAAACAATGGCATGGTACATTGGTTCTTGTTGCCTTGACCAAGTATGATTATTATCTGGCTGGCTATCATGTACATCTTCTACAGGAACACCTCCAATGGGCCAAATAAACACAAAATGATTTGGAACCCATTGATTCGTCCTATTGGCAGTGCCTGGTACTTGTTCACATGATGAGAATTGGTTTGGGTTAACTGCCTGTGGAACCCCTTCGATACAGCAAACGGTTCAGGTCTTCCCGAACATACACATTTCCATTCTTAGGATACACACACCTAAACTTCTTCCAGTGGCAAATGCTTGCCATATTCCCAGATGTCCTTAACCTCCTTTTTATAGATGAGATTAAAGAGTCCTTTGTCATATTGGTTCGGAAACAAAATGTCCACTCCGGCAAAGTTTCAGCGAATTTCAACTGATTTGCAACACTTTTGCAAAAATTGCAGTAGCGTCATAACAGTAAACATCAAAATGTCAGAAGTATGGCTTAAGTGTCAATTCAGTCATATCTATGCATCCACTCTGCTACAGATTTCACCAAATACGCAAACTGATGCTCCACAATGTAATTTAAAACACAAAGAAAATACAGGAGCATATGACCAGTTATATTAAATGATTCACCGGTGATACGTTCATTATTTATGTGTAGAGAATCATTACTGTATTGTCAACTCCGTATCATGTTTTCATTGACCATGTAAACTGAGTTGTAATTTATTTTTCTAACGGTTCTCTTACACGTTTTAATAACATCACCGATTCATATTAATATCATGAGTGATTGTTGTGTTCATTTCAAGTTTAGTTTTAGTTGAAATATCGTGCATACATTATTTGCAATGTCCACTTCATCACATAGCATAATGTGACGGAGTTGACTGTGCCGCTGTTGATATATAGTCTATATCCCGGCCTTTTGCAACAATTCAAGGGTCAAAGTTTATGTAAGTACCATATCTTAAGACCCGTGAAGATCCGGGGTAGAATAGGTCCTCAGCAACCCATACTTGTCGTAAAAGGCGACTAACGGGATCGGGTGGTCAGGCTCGCTGACTTGGTTGATACATGTCATCGATCTAAATTGCATGGATCGATGCTCATTATATTAATCACTGGATTGTCTGGTCCCGACTCGATTATTTACAGACCGCCGTCATATGGCTGGAATATTGCTGAGTGCGGTGTAAAACAACAAACCAACCAACCAACCATATCTTAAAGAGGCCTATGTACTATAAAGCGACAAAACCCTTTCCATAGCCAATACAAATCAAATAGTAATGATACCATGTGTTCGCGAATAGGTTAGCGTATCCTGAACGACGGGTGACACTCTACATAAACACATGCAAAGGAAAGTTAATTCTTCACACGTGAACACATGGTACAAGACAAAATAGGGAATTGCATCGGACATCATTTTCGTCAGTGATGCGTCAAATTTGGAAATGTCAACTTCTGAGCAAGAGTCGTATGACGCTCTTTGAAAACTTTGTACAAAGAGCATGCTCGATTGTATCTCAAATGTTGTGAAATGTAAACACCAAAGGCTGAAGCTGCTGGAATATTGCTCGACATGAAGGGAAAGTGAGTGAGTTAAAGTTTAACGTCACATCGGCAATATTTCAGCCATATCGTGACGAAACAAAATTTAAATATGAACAATATATATGAAGGGAAAGCAATAAGCATGTCACGGTGTGGACATTTCCAAAATGATGACTCATTGGATAGATGAATACTTCGTCCAACTGTCACATTGCACGAAGAAGAAGGCGCCTTCCATTCGGATGGATGAGGTTACCAGTGCCAACTATGGCAATGGAACTAAAAAAGTAGGAAGAACTCTGCAAAAGGCCGGCCACAAGTCAATGTGAAGGAGATGACCAAAGGTTAGGGACAGATGTTGTCACACACCCTAAAAATTAATTAATTGTATTTCAACATTTATGGGCTCTAATACAAATACCATCATATACAGATAATCACGCAAAAATAACTGGCCAAATATAACAACAAAATTGATGAAAATTACCATTGATTCCAGCAGACTGGAGTGAGATGGTGAGTACGGTTTTACGCAGCTTTTAGCAATATTCCAGCGATATCACGGCGGGGGAAACCAGAAATGGGCTTCACACATTGTACCCATCGAACCGGGGTCTTTGGCGTGTCGAGCGAACGCTTAAACTACTAGGCTACCCAACCGCCCCCAGCAGACTGGACCTGGGGACACGCTCTTTTGACAAAACTTTAATTTGATTTTAGATTTATTGATAATATTTGTATTCATTGTTAGACTAAAGTTTCCCTTACTACATTGCCAAATCTGAACAAGATTTGATTTATTAACCATACGATGACAAGAACTATTCTTCAATCTGATAATGACTCATATACTAAACGAGTCCCGTTAAGATACCGGTTTTTATGACGCACAGTTTTTCTAACGAGGGAAACTGAGTCTTTTTATTACACCAAGTTTTTCAAACGAGCGAAGCTAAGTTAGATAAGTTTTAAAATATAAGAGTTTTAAAATATAAGAGTTGTCATAAAAAGAGTATCAGACGGAGGCGAGTATAGTAATAGTTTTAAATTATTTTTATCACCTTTTTTCGTAAGTTAGCTACAATCGACGAATCTTTATAAGCTGGGAAAAATGCTTTTGGTGTCTGCATAGGTCAAGAAAAGAAATCAATATATTGACCCAGTACCTCGGTTTGATGCAATGTCATGAAACCATCTCAGCACTCTCGCGGTAGTCACTTATCCAGAGCTACAATTGGCAAGCTGGCGTGTACACGTTATACGGGTTAGAATTGGCCTTCAGCAACCCATGCGTGTCGTCAGAGGCGACTAACGGGATCGGGTGGTCAGGCTCGCTGTCATGGTTGATGCATGTCATGATGCTAAGGATATTAATCACAGGGTTGTCTTTTCCAGACTCGATTATTTACAGACCGCCGTCATACAGCTGGAATATTGCTGAGTGCGGCGTTCAACAACAAACAAACACACATGTTATTACCACAAAAAGTCACGAAATTCACTTCCTCTTACGTTTTGATGAAACTGATCAATGTCGACAGATGTGATATGAGATGTTCAATAATTGTCAAGGTGAACTGTTTTCATCAGACATGTGCATTTGCAATGAATTTCAGATTCATCGCGTCCGATAGAAGGTAACCGTCTCGGCAAAGCCTCGCAGGTTTCTTTGTATCGGACCGCCTCCGTGGTCTTGGGTAGAGCGTCCGCCCGGAGAGCGGAAGGTCCCGGGTTCGATCCCCGACCGCGTCCTTACCAAGTCCTTACAATTGTTGATCTGGAGACCAACAAGTTATCTGCAATAAGGGAGCTTGTTTCAATCCAGCAACACAGGTGTTAGATGGAGAGAGAGAGAGGGGTTGGCATTGGAGAGAGAATGAACAGGAAACAGTCACTGGGGGCTAAGTCTGGGCTGTAGGGTGGCCGATTTAGTGACTATTTCCTGTTCCAGCAAATGAAATCTGCCCTACGTGGAAGACGCTTCCAGGATGACGAGGACATTAAGGCCGCCACAGAGGCGTGGTTAGAGAGACAATCTGCGGATTTCTATAAAAGTGGTATTGAAAGCTTGAAGGACAAATGGAATAAGTGTTTTGAGTGAATGGAGATTATATTGAAAAATTAAAGTGCAAAAGATATTCTGCGACTTGGTCTTATATTAAAGTTGCAAAACTTATTGAACGCCCCTCGTAATATGCCACAAGACACTGATATCATGAAAGCAACAATTCATATCCTAAAATGTTAACTAAAATAGTGTGTGGAGGGAGAGCATCTTCCCGAGGCAAGGGAGTTAACTGACTTTAAAAGTCCAGTTTCCACCCTTGCCGAACCAGGCTGGAATTACTGGGTTCGATCGTAGCGCCACCAGTGGCTATTACCAGTTATGTCCCGTCTAAGCCTCGCCTATGGACTAATCAGATTCCACCTCTCGTATCACTTGCGTTTGCTTCACACAAAATGGTGGCACCCGGTCAGGACGATCTGATCGATAATCAAGATATATATTGTGATAAAACGTGTCTTACATCGCGAAATGCATTAAATCACGTGAGCACCTTGATTAAAAACATGAAAAGATTTGGAAAATATCTGCTGACAACGAGTTGGCGGTGCACATGTTTTGCAAATCCTGCAATCGACCGAAATCTGCATGACAGTTAACGAACCGGATTTCTATTTCGGTGCGCGATTTTGATTGGACTATGCATAGACTCGTTAGTCCAGCCAAAATATAACTCCATAATACCAGCCTAGTTCGGCAAGGGTGGAAACTGGACTTTATAGTCAGTTAACTCTCTTGCCCCGGGAAGATGAGGGAGAGTGGAGACAACATCATATGATAACAATGTGATATTTGGAAGGTAGGTACTTGTATTGGACTGTCTCATTTCTTGGAAACAAATTATTTATTTTTGACAATTTGTACAATAATGTCATGTTCGTTTTGATTTAAGATGTCAATTGCTCACATACATTGATGTCATATAGTAGTAGGGGCGGTCGGGTAGCCTAGTGGTTAAAGCGTTGGCTCGTCACGCCGAAGACCCGGGTTCCATTCCCGACATGGGTACAATGTGTGAAGCCCATTTCTGGTGTCCCCTGCCGTGATATTGCTGGAATATTGCTAAAAGCGGCGTAAAACCATACTCACTCATATAGTAGTATTGTAATAGTGTTAGACAATCCATTTAAACAATGGACAGTGTACATATATTATAAAAAAAAAATCTGTTAAATTATGAACGAAAATTGTAATTGTACAAGTGAGTGAGTGAGTGAATATGGTTTTACGCCGCTTTTAGCAATATTCTAGTGTGCGGTGTGCGTGGCACTAGGCTACCCGACCGCCCCGTATGTCACAGGAACTTTTGTTGTTCAGTATATATAGTTTTAGTTAAAAGATAAGAGTGAGTGAGTGAGCTATATGTTTTACGCCGCTTAAAGCAATATCAAGGCGCTGGACACCTGAAATGGGCTTAACACATTGTACCCATATCGGGAAATCGAACCCGGGTCTTCAGCGGGACGAGCGAACGCTTTAACCACTTGGCTACCAGACCGCCCCTAAAAGTTCAGATGAAATGACTATTCCTTAAACCGTTTATTCACCAAACTTTTACGATCCTCTTTCAAAACCATTTGAAAAAATACACCAAGCACCAAACAGATCAGTCAGAGGTGAGGTGTAATGGCGTTTAATGTGGCGTTCAAGATTATTGCACTTGTGCTAGTCCTATGTGCTGTCGCATACACACACGCACACGCATACGCAAACACCGCACACACATATATACATGCAATATGCATACATACATACACTAACGGGGAAACACATAACGTTCAATAAAATTACATTTGGTGAAAAACGAAGTTGCCAGACATAATTTTTATCGAAACACCTTATCATACCTATGGAGACGTCATCTACAGTAGGGCAACACTCATGACTCACCAATTAGTGGCAGACCCGTACGCAACTGGTTGAGGGAGCACAACATCCGGTCTCGACGTCCAGCCATACGCCCACTTGTGCTTTTACGTCACCGTCCGGCACGCCAACCTTGGTGTAGACAGTATCTGAGGATCAGAAGACAAGTCTGGGACTGTATACTGTTCATAGATGAGTCCAGGTTTCATCTGAACAGCTTTGATGGTCGTGCAAGGGTCCTCAGGCGTCAAGAAGAACCTTTTAGCGACGCTTGCGTTACTCAACGTCGTCAATTTCGGGGTGGAAGTCAAATGGTATAGGGTGGATCACAACGCATGGGAGAACACAACTTGTTAATGACAATTTGAATGGCGTACGCTACCGGGACGACACCGTTCGAGATCATGTCTTAACTTCTGTGCAAATGCAGGCACGTAACGTCACGTTGCAACAGGATAATTCCCCACACGTGTTATAAAAGAATTCTTGAGGCAGCATAACATTGCTGTACTGCCGTTGTCGGCCTTTTCTCTTAACCCCTCTCTCACAGAACATGTCTGGGATGAGATAGATCGCACCTACGACAGGACCAGAACCAGCCAGTAACGCCAACTGAGTAGGATCAACCACTCGGTGTCTTCACCCGTATCAACGCAATATTGACATTGCTATTTGAGTTGTTACAGCACCCTTTTTTGTAGGGCGTGTCGCTCTGTCTCCTGTTACCAGGTGTGGGTTTTGTCTGTGAATTTGTTATGATAAAACTTCGACCAGACGAATGACCATATATTATGTTATTGAAAATTTACACTTTATATGAATCACAGTCACCTTTTCCCACAAGTATATATTTATCGCTCTGTCTCCTGTAACCAGGTGTGGGTTTTGTCTGTGAATTTGTTATGATAAAACTTCGACCAGACGAATGACCATATATTATGTTATTGAAAATTTACACTTTATATGAATCACAGTCACCTTTTCCCACAAGTATATATTTATAGTAACAAGACGCAGATGAACATAATTTCTGTTGAAGAGGACGAGCGATGACCTCCATGAGATGGTGGACAATCTGGTACAGAGGATAAGCCCATCCACTGCGACCAGATACCCATGTTCCACTGCTCCACGTTATACTACTTCCCCGCTTAATATCAACGCGTCAGGTCAGGACACGTCTCGCCGTATTGTGCCTGCTCCAAGCGCTGCTTCACTCAATAACATCAAATTAATAAAATTTGGAACGCAGTTATTTTTCGTGTGTCTTTTTCTTCCAATTTTTTCTGTGAGATGAAACAATTCAACCCGTTCTAGGATTTCAGTATTATTTGAACAATGTCCTTTTCACAACATGGAGTGGCAAGTTTGCCATGGAATCCAGTCAAAGGTCTACTTTATGGTAATTTCTGCTTCTTACAATGTATTCATTGAGATATACAGAAGTCTGGAGAAGCTTTTGTCACCAGACACAATGTGCAAAATGGTGGCCCATGTGAACATGCACGTGCAGTTTTCGTCAAATAACACATCAACAGTCAGTGTCAGTCATTAAGATTTGCAAGATTCGTCAACTGTGCTGACTTAAAATCAATACACAATATAAAAAAAACATTCTCATTGGAATTCTGATATATTCTAATGTTTCCTTCACTTACAAAGAATCATATTATGATTACACCATAAGTTTGAAAAATGCTCGATTCTGATTGGTCAGTCAGAGGTTTCAAATCACAATAATAAAACCTCTGATTCAAAACGCTGATTGACGACTGCATCACTGCGGAAGCTACTATTTATCGAAAATAACTTCTTTCTCATTCATTCACAATCTCACAGCCACTTTGAATTAATGAGTTGTACAATTTCGGGTACGAAAATGGAGAGTTTCGGTCCCAACAATATAGAAATTGACTGAGGGAGCGTATTACAAATTTTGGGTACGACAGTTAGCTTCGTTTTCAATGCATAGCAAGTTAAGCTGTAGATATAACCGCGCTAAATGTAACGTGCTATCACAAAATACATACCCTGCTAGTGGATCGAATGTGAGAGTGAGAGTGAGAGTAGGAATGTGTGTTGAGAAGATGATATATTTTCCTCCCCATTTATCTTTTACTCCCGATGCTCTCTTCTCGAGGGTAAACAATCCCAAATATAAGCGAGGCGGCGTCTAATCCAGCAAAGTAACGATCACATTTAACAGTCAAGTGTGGACAATTTGAATTGTCTGTCCCATTCACTATAAAAAAGAAAACTCGTCCGGTTCTTGGCGATTTCGCACCTGCTGCACGATTTTCTTGTGTCGCCAAGGATCACGCATCTGCATCACGCTTGCCGTAAAAGGTGACTATGCTTGTCATAAGAGACGACTAACAGGATCGGGTGGTCAGGCTCGCTGACTTGGTTGATGCATGTCATCGTTTTCCAATTGAGTGTATCGATGCTCATGATGTCAGTCACTTGTTGAGACTCGATTATTTACAGAAAGCCGCCATATAGCTGGACGATTATTGAGTGCGGCGTTAAACAACAAACAAACAAAGATAATAACACGCTGAGCACGAGAAGCAGGGCGTGGATTATCAATTACAAAACCATCCCCTGTTTGAATGTGCAAATAGTTATAAATCAATATTACTGCATCCTGGCAACTACTACGTACCCTTTAACTCCAATTATTTAATAACAACCCTGTAACTCCCACCCTTTAACCAGGACCCTTTAACTACAACATTCACTTAACCACGAACCCACCAAAAACTTACTCACCCACCCAACAACAAACCGACCGACCCGCTCACTCACTCGTCTGGGACAAGCATTATGAACACGCCTTGTGTCAGAAAGTACATGCACACAGTGAACAGCCGGTATTGCACAAGCCCAACATGATATCAGCTCAATCGCCCAAAGGTACAAGGTCAGTCGACCAAAGGTACACTTTATCAAGTCTACTGCTTGACTTTCCACAGTGATGTGCGGTGAGTTCACTGATTATGTGGGAGTGGGGTTGACCCTGTCGCACAAAATAGACTTGAGACGCCATGTGGATTACTGATGCGGGTAGTTTATACACAGTTTGTGTCACAAGGGGGTATGTAGTTTATACACAGTTTGTGTCACAAGGTGGTATGTAGTTTATACACAGTTTGTTTCACAAGGTGGTATGAGGTTTATACACAGTTTGTTTCACAAGGTGGTATGAGGTTTATACACAGTTTGTTTCACAAGGTGGTATGCAGTTTATACACAGTTTGTTTCACAGCGACGTATGTAGTTTATACACAGTTTGTTTCACAGCGACGTATGTAGTTTATACACAGTTTGTTTCACAGCGACGTATGTAGTTTATACACAGTTTGTGTCACAGCGACGTATGTAGTTTATACACAGTTTGTTTCACAGCGACGTATGTAGTTTATACACAGTTTGTTTCACAGCGACGAATGTAGTTTATACACATGTACAGTTTGTTTCACAGCGACGAATGTAGTTTATACACAGTTTGTGTCACAGCGACGTATGTAGTTTATACAAAATTTGTTTCACAGCGACGTATGTAGTTTATACTCAGTTTGTTTCACAGCGACGCACGTAGTTTATACCTAGTTTGTTTCACAAGGAGATATGTAGTTTATACATAGTTTGTTTCACAGCGACGCGTGTAGTTTATGCCTAGTTTGTTTCATAGCGACGTATGTAGTTTATACCTAGTTTGTTTCACATTGACGCATGTAGTTTATACACAGCTTGTTTCACAGCGACCCATGTTTAGTTATATATTTGAAGAATTTGATCTTTGTTTCAGAATCAAGTTCACATAAAGATACAACAATACAGGGACGATGATGGAGGGTGTAATGCAGTTATGGCCCAAGTCTGTGGTATCCCTGGCTCTTGTTGTTGGGGGTGTGATTGGTTTGGTCGGCTTTTATCTCTTCAAAAAACTACCCAACTTTCCGCCGGGGCCCAAAAGGTGGTCACTGATCGGAACTATTGCAGGTAATGGATTGTATTTACATGAGTAAAGGGGGCACGGTTTGTCCAGTCGTCAAAGGTGCCAGAAATCGCAGGGCACAGTCGTCAAAGGTGCCAGAAATCGCAGGGCACAGTCGTCAAAGGTGCCAGAAATCGCAGGGCACAGTCGTCAAAGGTGCCAGAAATCGCAGGGCACAGTCGTCAAAAGTGCCAGAAATCGCAGGGCACAGTTACGTCCCAAAGCGTGCCAGATATTTATGCTCGCGGGTTCGAATCCAAGGTTCTAGGTTTTTCGACACCATTCACGTTCTCGTTGGTTAAACCATGTAATCAACGTGTAAGAGTTGCATGACATTTTTCCCTCGAAAATCAAGCTAACACGCCGTGGTATAAATATAGGATCTCATCCGAGTGTCTTACGAGACCAAATATATCAAGATGAGTTGATAAATATACAAAGCATATCAGTATCGAGGTTTCGGCAGTTTGTTTACAGACGTAACCAGTATCTTGTGTGTAAATGGTACAGTTAATCAGCTTCAGTAGAGGAGAGGTTACAGATGTCATTTATGACGTCATGGTAACCGATGATGTCACAATGGTCTGCAAAGCATTGCGATTCAATTTCATTGTGGCGACATCGCCTGTGGGGCCAGTTTGTGACAATACACGAGATACTTCTCACAGTGGCGTGAAAACTCAAACGTGAAGAGTCTGATAGATACTTCTCAATATATAATTAATCATTTAGGCTTTACATTATCAATACCGTTTGCTACAATACAAAATACACATGCCCATACAATTGTATCTTTTTCTTAAAATAATCAGATCACAATGTCACTTATTTCAGCCTTACTTTTATTCGTATCAGTTTACATCTTCTCTGGATGGACACTAGATGACAATACATATGTGACTCTATGGTTATTGACATGCCTACATCGCGACTCTTCTTTGGGGGAGTTGGCATTGGGGCCCAGGGTACTCGATTATTAATTGGCCGCCGTGTGGCGTTAATCAACATACACACACCGCCGTGATATAACTAGAATACTGGTGACAGCAGTGTAAAAGAACATTGAAAGACTCACCAATGGTTCTTGCTGAAGTCTGACTCTATACTACACACAAACATAAGAACCATTGAGATGAAGTAAGACGAGTTCTATGGATGAACAACTTCTTTATTACAATTAGTGCGACGGTTTGGTGTAGACCGAAACCCACCCCGACCACAACATCCAGTGGAACAACATCAAGATCCTGGCCAACAATCAATCAGACTACAAAATCAGGAAACTCCTAGAAGCCATCTACATCAAAAGGATCCAGCCAGCAATGAACAGAGACCAAGGCTATTACATCCCGCCTGCTTACTATCACCTAATTGCTAAATCCGTATGTCCATCCAATTAATCCACTGGCTTCCATCATCTCAATCAGTCTGCTTGTTGACTCTGTGTTCATTGCTCATCCACTGGCTTCCAATGATCTTAATCAGCTCTCTGTGTCCATCAATCAATTAACTGTATAAACATTGATGTTAATTGGTATATATACTTATGTTGTTTAGCATTATAGTCGGAAAGCGCACGTTAAATCTCCAAAGTAAGTAAGTAAGCATTATCCATCACTTGCTTGTTAAAAGTGTTAGGATCTACACCGAAACGTCGCACTTATTGTAATACATAAGTTGTTCATCCATAGAACTCGTCTTACTTCATCACACCAACTTCTAAATGCCACTGAAAGAAGTTAACCTTTGAGAAGTTGAAAATTTATTTCCCAATACTGGCCACCCAAGGCAATATCACCCCTGTTCGATCAATAGCATTTCCTTATGGTTCGATTGACATAAGCGGCTGCGTGAGGATTGTGAAGAGATTAAAACAGACCATCCAGCGAAAAAAAGGAAGGAACACGTTATCTGATCAGTCACAATGAAATTCTCTTTCTACAAACGACACTATCGTTATACGTACCATTTAGGACATACGAGGGCTCGTCAAACAGTTCTAAACCTGACTATTTTTCAACTATGGGTCATAACAAAGTGAGCTGGTCACTGTAGTACATTGTTTGAGTTATTCATTGCACTTGTATTTGGTCCGTTGAGACCGCCTGTATGTAAGTGACAGCCAGTTGAACGCGATGGGGGTCCAAATGGACACAGAAATGGAAAAACAACAAGTCATCAAGGGTTTTTTCTTCAGAGAAAAGAACTCCCCAAGAAATTCATGACCGCATGTCACAAGTGTACGGGGATGAGTGTCCTAGCTATTCCACTATTTATACGTTTGGGCAGCTGTGTTTAAATCTGGGAGAACAAGCCTTGATGATGAACCTAGGTCTGGACATCCCTCAACTTCTATCAATGAAGATTCAATCAAGGAGATAGAAAAACCTATACTGTCAGATAGACGTATTATCATTGCTGAACTTGAGGAAGACACAGGTCTAAGCCATGGATCCATTGAAAGTATTATTCATGAACATATTCAGATGAATTAGATATCTCCTCGTATGAGAAGTGTGTTGAAAAGCAGGGGGACTATGTTGAAAATAAAATTAAAAACACTTTCACAATTGTAGGTTTTGTAGGCTTAGAACGTTTTGACCAGCCCCAAAAAGCAAATTACGCTGAAAATAGCACGATACTGTACTTGTAAGCCTCATTTCTTGAGGATAAGACGAGCTTGGAATTAACGCTCGATATCTACCTATAGTCAACTTTAGTAATGCTTCTAAATATTTATTAATTAACATTTTGTAAGATGTAACGTTGAACTTTGAGAGTTCACGCAAATACAACCTTAAGTCGTGAGTTAACATGGATTTTATACAAAGGGTTGCCGCAAAGGTTTCATTTGAATTACCAAATGTCACATTATTACCTTTTTGTGCTGTGACGCCCCTTCTCAATTTCAAAAAGACCTCAAATATCGGATTAAAGTATTTAATGTTGGATATTTCTTGATATATCGCGTGTAGAAACACTTTCGTGTATAAAATAGCAAAACCTTGAGTCGCTGCCCTTGACGTTCTTGTGGTGATCTCTGTACCCATCCTCCAACTTCTGTCTGCCGGCATGTATATGGAATAATTGTTATAAAAGACAAAAATAAATATTTTAAGACGCCTTGAAATCGATATCTTATATCGGGCATATCGTTTTATAATATTATGAGGGAAACATTTTATCTGGCTTTACGTGTTTCGTAGGACGGGGCTATAACGATTGACGTCCGCAACAGGATCCGTCGATATCAAATATACTTGACTTGCATAGTCACGTTACACGAATTTAAGTCGATACGGGAATATTGTATATAACATGGGTGACTTTGATTGCAACGGTTTTTCGGTCAGCGTTTCTGAGCAGCATGTCTGCAACACAAATATTATCTTTTCAATATTCGGCATTAATCTTGTTTTATTTGGTTTTCAAGAATTACGAGGAGGGCTGTTCTTCAGATTCATCCGTGATTGGAGCAAAAAGTACGGCCCAGTTATGTTGGTTCATATTGGTAAGCATTCGGTGGAGTTAACAGTGATAGTGTGTGATTGTTCAGTTAACAGTGATTGTTTGTGGTTGTTGAGTTAACAGTGGTAGTGAGTGATTGTTCAGTTAATGTGTGGCGGTTTGATCAGTATTCCAGTTATATGTAAAATACAGTAGCCATTCCCATGTAATTTGATTAATAAGTTATTGGATCCTCATTGAAGTTGATTTGATCATGGCAGCTGCATGTCAACACTGCAAATGGTTTCAGCTCCCTTTGACAAGGTAAATGTGACCTTATGTCAAGGAGCTTACCATACGCCGAGTAACATGCTTATCATCAAGCTGGAATGTTGCTATGTCACTATGTAAATGTCACATAGTTGCTTAACTATTGTTATCACTCAATTGTTGCTGATCATTCTCTTCTATGTCACCCTCATAATTTCACTAATTTAAAAACGTATTCCGTCATTACTATGTGTTTAACTTGTTTTAAGAATAAATAATCAGTTGAGATAAAGCGGAAAGCAATGATGCTCTTTTGTCAAGTGATATTAGACGATCTGGGTTGTATGGGACTTAGATGGCGTTGGCTGTAATTAGCCAGGAAAATAATGCGATGCAGGTATTCTCCAACATACCATGTCAAACTAATGGTGTTCAGAATTAAAACATCCCTATTTTTGAAGGTTTATGAAATATTACAGATTATCAGGAAATAATTGTTTTGAGTCGAATCGACGTTGTAAGAGAAGCTCTCATCACAAGGCAAGCAGACTTTGAAGGGAGACCTGATGCATTTGCTGGTAAGAAATCATTACAGGGAAAAGGTGTGCAACAACATACTGAAAACCAGAGCTTAAACGTCTTCATTAGAAACCAAATATCGACATATTGACCAGTACATTATTTTCGTATTTTGCCCAGGGGCCATTGAAATCGGGTTTCAGTAAGTCTCACTTAATAAGGTATTTTCTTTGTTTCATTGGTTTCTTTGTTTTGGAAGCGACACCTCACAACATGACGTGATACGATAAAATGTCATCAATCGTTAATGACGTCGCAGCATATCCAGTACAGATAAACCGTTATTCCTCGAAGCATGTAGGGTATCCAATGAATGTTGTCGAGCATGAGCAAAAAGTATATTCGATCTATTTTAAACCCTTTGTATGGTCCATAGCACATACACTATCTGAAGGAGGGAAAAGAATAATCCATTCACCGTATGGCCCAACATGGAAGATACACAGGAAAATTGCATCCAAAGCACTGAGGTAAATTTTGATTTATTATGTTAAGATCATGGTACTTTTACGAACATCGAATTATAATTTACAATGAACTATGTCTGTACTGTATAACTGTATAAAATTCTGTCAATTAAAACAACTAGATTATCACAGATATATGTTAAAAACTAGTACATAACCATAAAATATGACAATTCATAACATTACAATAGATACAATTGGGCTATATATCACCAGCATCTAAAGTAAGGTCACCATACAGGGGACCATGGGGACTTACAGTACCTTTGCTACCTGCATGGACCCCAGCAGTATTTACACCATCCCTTTAGTCACTGGTGACCATTGACAGGGTTTAGCCGGAGATTAAAAACAAACAAATATTCTACGATTAAAACACTGGCAGATATAAAATTGCTTTGATTTATGTGGGCTTACATATCCTCTCAGCGGGACAATAATTTTCCGCTACTTCAATCCCCTTCGAGGATATAGCCACTAACAATCTCAGTTAATAATCATATACTACCAATTTATTAAATATATATCTTTGTACATCAAAATTTATTAATAATTCTATTTCCTTTAAAAACCGATGATAAAGGAGCATGTATTTGATTAAAAGATCCATTATTGATGACACTTTGAAATATTTATCCCTTGTGATGGAAAAATCAACACAGTCAAGCAAGACATGCTTGACAGTGATTCTTTCATCACAAGGGATACAAAATGGAGGATCCTCACCTTTCAATAAATATTCTTGAGTGTACCTGCTATGGCCAATACGACAGCGTCTTATTATGACCTCTTATAACCGATATTTGGTTTCATTCCATGTAATTTATTGATACCAACCTGGGTGTCCCACTTCTTTTGCATTAGATCTCTGATGTAACATCTAATAACTGGCTAATAATCATTGTATGGGATCAGAAGTGGTGTCACAGATTTGTTGAGTGCTGCTTTTGCAGCAGCATCGGCCATTGTGTTACCAATGATTCCAACATGGCTCGGTAACCAACAAAATACAATGTCGTATTGGCCAGTGGCAAGATCATTATGTAATCCAACGATTTTCGAGTATAAGTGGATGCTTACAAGACATATTTTTAATAGCCTGAAGGCACGAAAGTGAATCTGAAAAAAATATGAACTTTTGATATGTAGATTGGTTAGTGATATATTTTAAAGCTGTTAAAATGGCATTTGCTTCTGCTGTTAAAAAATGGAGCTGTCATCTGGTAATCCTGATGATATTGTTCTGGATCCAATGATAGTGGCACTAGCAACTGCGTCACCAACCTTGGATCCATCTGTAAAAATAGATTTGTGAGTATCATATGTGTTTCTTTATTCATTATAGTGTTGTTGATAAAGAAGTTAAATTTAAGTAAGGTGTACCTCTGGCTTTACGAACTGCGAAGGGTTGGGGCTATTGTGTCAAGATTTATTCTTGCAGCAGCAACAGATGGTTGAATTCATATTCCCAGTGGTGGGATAAGTGGTGATTTCTCTTCATAAAGGTCACCATAAAGGGGGTTAAATACTCAGTCAAACGCTGGGTTAGATTTGTTGGAATATAATTTAGTTAAATATTGTAATGATAATTTTAGACGACGTTGTTTCAATGAAGGCTCATCGGCCTCCAGATATACACTGTCAGTAGGAGATGTTCGAAAAGCTCCAAGGCAAAGCCTCAGGCCTGATTATAATGTTCAGACAGGGTTGAACCCACGCGGACTTGAAATTGTCTGTCAGTTAAAAACTGAGATATAAACTGAGGCAAACGCCCTCGCAATCCAAAGTCATGTAAATCTTTTAAAATACCATGTTTCCACGTTGTGTCGTATGCTTTTTCTAAATCGAAAAAGATAAACACAGTGTGCTGGTTATTAACAATAGCATTTTAACAAATGACTCCAATCGAAATAAATGGTCAACGGTACTTCTATTTTTACGAAAACCACACTGAATGTTTGTGATTAAATTATTTGATTCAAAGTACCACGCCAATCTATTGTTGACCATGCGTTCCATGGTTTTGCAAACATAGCTAGTCAATGAAATGGGTCGATAATTTGAGGGATCGGTATGATCACGTCCAGGCTTTGGTATCGTACAACCATGGTATCATGCCATGAAGCAGGAAACACACCCAATGTCCATATTTCATAAAAAAATAGCATGAGTGTTTCTAAACATGGTTCTGGTAAATGTTTCATGTATTGAAAAGATTTCATTATAATCTTCCCCATTGTCAGATTTAAATTATTTTTTTCTTGCTGTTTTTGATATTTGTGGAACTTAGTTGGAGGCAGAAGAATGTTTAGCAAGGGTATCTCCAAGTTTATTGGCAATATCCGATTTATCAGTTAATAGTTCGTCCCCATCCTTAAGATGATGGATAGTAGATCTAGAGCCCTTACCTTTAATTTTCTGAATCATGTTCCACACTTTGGACATGGGTGTTCGTGAATTTATTTTAGAAACACAATTTTGCCAAGATTGTCGTTTAGTTTGTTTAAATGTACGCCTGGCTTTAGCATTTTAAATTTTAAATTTATTCAAATTATGCACCATAGAATGGCGACGGAAGTAGCGTTCAGCCTTTTTCCGTGCCTTCTCAGCTTGTTTGCAGTCATTGTTAAAGCAAGGTTTACGGATGTGAGGTTTTGCAGAGGACTTAGGAATACAGGTATCAGCTATTTGAGTCAGTTCATCTGAAAATATTTGTATGAGTCAGTAAAAATAGCAGGTGATAATTTGTTTGAAGACAGTATTTTTAAATAATGGTCAGTTAGCTTTGGAAAAGTTCCATCTTGTGGACGGAGGAACGTCAGACGGGTTACGAAGATCAGAGTCTGTAAGAGAAATGTCAAGAGATGAGTAGGTACCTGTTCCAGGATGTAAATAGGTTTTAGAATTATCATTAAAAATACATAAATCGTTCTAACGTCTTCCCTTTACTGTTTGTACTGGCACTACCCCAAAGGGTATTATGCCCATTCAAGTCGCCAATAATGGCTTGGGGAGATGGTCATACAGTGCCTGAAGTTCAGTTTGATGAAGATGGAGGAACATAGAGTGAGCATAAAGTAAAGACAATGTGTAGTGTTACACGAACAGCAACAGCGTGAAGTTGAGTATTTAGAAGTACAGGACTCTGGATGACACCCTGCCTCACCAAAACTGATGAGTCTTCAGTTGCTTTTATATGAATTGTACAGTCTAATATCAAACTGATCGGTATTTTTTATATCTACTCAAAAGAAGTTAAGAACACCCAAATAAGTTATCGAAATCACTCAAAAAATAAATCGTGGACACAGGAACAACCCTGATTGGGAAAGATAAGTATTTAATCATGACATTTCATTGACGAAAGAAACGCTGGCATACAGCTGACCAGAGCAAAACAATATGAACTGCATGTACCCTATAAATCAAACGTCACACACTACAGTTCAGGATAATCCTGTTCCTTCAATATTGGGTATGCCCACTCCTGGAAGCAATACAGTCCTGACATCTTCTACGCATAGATCGGACAATCTGCTGCAGTTGCCTGTGGAATTGCTTGCCATTCCTGATGAAGAAATCCTAACTGTTGCTGGAGATTAACAGGAGGTGGATGGTTAGCTTGAACAGCTCTTCCCAAGGCATCCAAAAGATGTTCAATGGGCGCCAGATCTGGCCAATAAGCAGGCCATTGCATAACGGTAATCTGCCTTTGTGTGCTATAGTCAGTGATAATCCGAGCGCGATGGGGTCTTGGATTGTCGTCCTGAAGGATAGCACCTTGACCAATCCCGACAATATGGTACAGAGGAGTCCTGTGATTCCAACTGAATCCTTCCCATACCATCATTGATCCCCCACCGAAAGCGACACGATCACGTACTGTGGCATCAGTGAATCTCTCACCAGTACGACGCCACAACCGTATTCTTCCATCATTGAGCTGCAGACAGAATCGCGACTCGTCTGTAAACAGTACACGAGATCATTGCTGTCTGTTCCAACGCACATGTTGTCGACACCAAGCCATACGTGCTGTTCTGTGCACTGGACGTAAAGGTGGTCTCACTGCTTTTCGTCGACTTCTCAAGTTCGCAGCTCGTAAACGGTTTCGCACCGTCTGATCACTAACGACAGTGTTATTGACAACCCTTAACTGTAACCTGAGGTTGTTTGCTGTTGATGTACGTTGCCTGAGTGCTTGGAGAACCAGGTATCGGTCATCACGTTGTGAGGTACACCTTCCCAAAGGGTGTGAATGACAGAGGGGGACACCTGCAATCTTCTGCCCACCTCACGTAAAGAAAAGCCATCCTGGAAGCAACCAAAAGCTCGTCCTCTATCACCATCAGTCAGATGTCGTCTCTGTGGCATGGTTTTGGAAAGTGTGATGACACGATCATCGTCTTCTTAAAGGGAAAGCATGCACGTGCACCATGAACATCACCACTTTCATATGTTGAGCATGAAAATTGTGTTGGTTGTTTCTAAGGACAGGTGCAGCGTTGTGTTTGGGCGACAATATTCCTGTGTTTTGTTCATGTTTTCAATTCATTTGCATGACTAGCAGAAGTGTTTCCAGAAAGTGTCAGGAGGACCAGTAATACCCCAGACGTGGTACATGTTGCCAAACAATAGATGATAGAAATGTTATAACACATAATGCCATGACCAATTTGCTAAATCGTGTATTATATATCTGGTGTTCTTTAACTTCTTTTGAGTAGTATATATTTCCTGAATACAAAGTGCTGACGGCTGAATATCTTGAATTAATAACTGTAAATCATTGAAATTATTTTAAAGTCCTCTGCAGTTCCACTGAATTATATTACAGGAGCTCATTGTGGCTCAACTGGTGATCTTGATCGAGGTGAAGGTGAAACCTCCATCTCAAGAGGTCCAAACGGATTCTGAACCTCCACGGGGGATGTCAAAGAAGATGGCACCTCCAAATGTTGGAGGGCCCTGGCCCTTTTCTTAGTTTGATTGTTCTCTTTTGTCAAGTGGGCATTGACCTGGACTCTTTCATTTTTTTCTGGTTCTTTACAATGTGTAATCTCGGTCTGTGAAGCACACGTTGAGATTTGTGACTGTGATTGATGTGATTTACTGTAAGTACTGTTCTGGAGATAAATGTTTTATAAAGGTGGTATCTTGAACTATTTTCGGATGTAGCTGGGGCACAGGGGCGCAACCCACGGCAAACAGGTTGCCCAATTCGGTCGCCCTTTACGACCAGCAGTGGGGTGCTGAGGACACATTCTACCCCGGGTCCACACGGGGGAAGAGCTATTAGCGTTACCCAGCACTCACGACGGGTGAGGCTGCTCTTCACGAGTGCCAGATATCGCTTGATCTCACCCAAGCGATGTCTCCTGTGGGAGCCAGTTTTGGATGATAAAGGAAAATACATCATAGCATATTCCCCATGGCGTTTGAAAATGGTATGTTGTGTCACAAACATATGTATTAATATTTCAGGCAGTATCTAATGGGAGATCACCTCAGCTGGATAGTTTCAAAATCTCTCAACATTATGACGAAACAGATGAGAAAGGAACGAAAAGCCTTTAACCCTTTCTACTGTATATCACTTGGGGTCTCCAACATGATGACAGGAATGTTGTTTGATAAAATCAGGTAATTATGTTTGCCATGCTGCCAAATCATGGGCACGTTGTTCTGTTTCTGTCTCTTAACCAGGTGTATTTGTTTCATGTTGCTCTTTTTGAAACAATGTAGGTTCATGATAAAAATTTAGCTGATGTAGTGGGAAAACTAAAAAGATGTTGCTTCCACATGTATCTAAATGTTCTCTGAGTGAAGTTTCATTCTTCTATTTAATTTATGTTCTGTCTTTCCGATATACTTTTCATTGTATCCACTACAAACAATCAAGTAAATAACATTTTTGGTATCACAAGTCATATTTTGTTTTACAGTAAATATAGTGTCCTTTGTAATTTGGACTAAACATCCTTCAATTATATTGCTGCAAGTAAGGCAACGTTTGTCCCCACACTTAGAAACCTGTGATGACAACAGAATCAAATTTAGAACTTGTCAAAACCTTTCAAAGATTTTTTGGTTGTCTTTGGCTGTTGATAATTTTGTATTTGCGCAATATCTTCTCCGTTTTAATACTTTGATTCACAATAGGCAGGTATCGTTGAACCATGGATAATATTTTTTCATGATTAGGGTTGAAGGTAGATACTGGGGTTAAATTATTCCCCATATTGTTTTCTTCAGACCTTTCTCTCAGTTTTAGATGCTCAATACTTAGCGCCTTCTGTATGCTATCTTCAATTAGCTTTGCGGGATAATTCGCCGGAATAATTATTTTGCCTGAGAGTTAGGACTTTACTGTGCTTTTACAGTAAAGTGTGATAATTGAATGTAACTGTGCGACCGATTTTGTTCACATGAAGCATGTACCTGAACACAAATATTATTCTACAATATTCTCTTTCCTAAAGGTCAGTGCATTTCAATTATTGAACTAATTAATACAAACATTTGATAAAGATACTTGTAAAATCTATCTGTGACGATAGACGATATCTGTCTTGATTCGACCCAATGATGTCTCTGGATGTTTTCAGCACCATACCCGTGCTCGTGGATAAAAGTGGTAAACGTATGAGAACCGTATCACTTTGGGCTTTCCTTCTACATCAAGCTGACAAGCCTCTCACTCACTTTGGGCATTACAGAAACGAACGTGTGTCGCGAAAAACAATCGTGCATAAATAGGGAAGGGATTGGATGTGATGAAACTTTGGCAAATTATCACATTTTACTCCTGGTGTTTTATACATAGGATTTTTTTTAAATAGAAAAATACGTTATTTTTTATCTGAACTTTAGATCTCTTTGGATGAGCCCTGGGCTTTAACGTTATTGCTATTGCACCAATATCGTCTATTCCAGCCAAACGGAAGACTCGGAAAACTACAAAACATATGTTGACAACTTTGATACAATATGTTTTTATGGCGGAGGGTCGTTTTTCGAAGATCTAATTCCCCTGCTGCATCTGTGTCCATTGCCTCGTCTCTACCGTGCTCAAGGTTATGCCACTGATATGGCAGACGCCATCAGGACAGAAATTGCAGCCCACCGAGATACGTTCGACAAAAGTAAGTGTCGACGGAAGACTCAATAACACTGTTTACTGCAGTTACAGGTGGGGGTAGCCTCGTAGTTGAGACCTCGCTAGTCACGCCGAAATTCGGGGATCTATTTCCCACATGAGGCCCCGCCGTGATATTGCTGGAATATTGCTGAAAGGGGCGTAAAACTCACTGCACCAGTGTAGGCAGAAAGCATAGATTGATGAGACAAAGTATTCTTGACATATACTGAAACGTCACGTACACATGCCATTGTGACCCTATACTTAGCAACAATCAATCTTATTAAAAACAGAGTATGATACCTTTCGGTATGATACCTCTCTGTGAGAAGACCTGAGAACAGATCCATAGGAGGTCGACTGAAGTGAACACTCTAATCAGCAAAAACGTCGGATCACATCTGTAAAAATCCCCAAGATTTCTAATACTACGGTTTAAATTACGCAGATCTATAGTCAGCTAAAACAGGCCCTGACCATACGCTGTCCCTTGCTGTTTAATAGCTGTTTCAGTGCAGACAAGAAACAAGAATAATCACATACCCACAATTATTAGGGTTCCTTTCATCGAAAAAGCAAGGATGAGGAGAACAAGCACATATGCATGATCGTTACTTTCCAAGCGATGTTTGATAAAAATTACAAGATTATTGAGACATATTATATATTCACTATCACACCATGAAGAGACATCAAGAACACAATTGCTACATACTAATCACGGAATAAGAGAAATATATAGATTGATGTGTTTCAAAAAGGTTGAAACGTGATACCAGATGTGACATCCAAACAAGTTTGTAAAAGGATATTTTTCTAGGAACCCAAAGGTTAACGATTTACAGTTGATGACGAATTGATATCAGTTTAAAGCATGGGCTGTGATCATGTTCAACGGTAAGCAAGATTTATAAAGATACCCAACGTTGGATTATTGAAAATCTAGATTAGTGATTGAGTTAAGATTTAACGTCGCATCGGCAATTTTCCAGCTCAATGGCAGATCAGGACGATGAAATAAATACAATAGTACGACTTAAAGCTGATGGGAATGTACTCGAATACCTTATGCTCTCGAGGGTCTTGAACAGATCAGAATGAAAAAATGGTATTTAACGCCACACCCAGCAATATTCAAGCTGTATTATTGTAGCCTGCATTTAACTGAGTATCGGTCAGGCAAATCAGTGGCTGAGGGCAGAATTACACTATAAAAAATAGGCCATGTGATACATTATAACCCTTCGGCTTCAGCGACAAGCACAAGGCAGTTGGCACCTTTTCTGATCCTCACCCACTGCCGGGAGCAAATATGGAAAGAACCAAACATTCTGACATTGTTGAACGGGATTTTCGGAAGGGACATTTTCAAGTGTGACCAGAAATTCATCAAATATGTTTAAGAAGGAATGATTTAACAGGATGAGTTTCCAGACCCATATAGGGTTCTCATGTTCTCATGTCAATTGAATATTAGGTCCAGATTTAAACATTAAATGTAAATGCTATCATTACAGATAAGATGCGGGACTTCACGGACGCCTTGATACTGGCTCAGAAAGAGGTTGAAGTGGAGGACGACCCGACCCTCACGTCACAGATCACAGACACACACTTAGTTCAGGCAATATTTAACCTGGTCCTCGGTGAGTGCTAAATTGGGACATGGCAACAATTTGAACAATTTGAATAATGTATACCACAAAACACGTATCGTGAACTTCTGATTCAGATACATCTCTAGGCTTCTCCTGGTGAGGTACATGAAAGTCGTACTTGACCATCATTTTATACAGACACACAACAGGATTCTTCCCAGGATTCCTGGACAGGATGAGGCCTCAGCGGCTCTTGCTTGTTGTTATAACGTGTCTGTGTGTAATCGCGTCCAGAGGGGCTGGTGATAGCTGATCATAAATCCCATACTTGACAACAAACTGGTTCGGACACCTCTTCATTCCTCAGTAGAAGTCTCCTGGTGATGATTTATCAAGAATCCCTTACTTGATAATAGTCCGACACAGACACTATCATGCCTCAGTATAATTCCCCTGGTGATGATTGGATATGAATCTCATAATTAACAACCATCTGACACAGACACCTCAGTAGGCTTGTCCTGGCGATGACCGGTCATGAATCCCATACTTGGCAACAATCTGATACATACACCTCATCTCTCAGTAGGCTTGTCCTGGCGATGACCGGTCATGAATCCCATACATGGCAACAATCTGGTACAGACGCCTCCTCTCTCAGAAGGCTTGTCCTAGTGTTGACCGGTCATGAATCCCATACTTGGTAACAATCTGGTGCATACGCCTCATCTCTCAGTAGGCTTGTCCTGGTGATGACTGGTCATGAATCCCATACTTGGCAACAATCTGGTACAGACGCTTCATCTCTCAGTAGGCTTGTCCTTGTGATGACCGGCCATGAATCCCATACTTGGCAACAATCTGGTACATACACCTCATCTCTCAGTAGGCTTGTCCTGGCGATGACTGGTCATGAATCCCATACTTGGCAACAATCTGGTACATACGCCTCATCTCTCAGAAGGCTTGTCCTGGCGATGACCGGCCATGAATCCCATACTTGGCAACAATCTGGTACATACGCCTCATCTCTCAGTAGGCTTGACCTGGCGATGACCAGTCATGAATCCCATACTTGGCAACAATCTGGTACAAACGCCTCATCTCTCAGTAGGCTTGTCCTGGTGATGACCGGTCATGAATCCCATATTTGGCAACAATCTGGTACAAACGCCTCATCTCTCAGTAGGATCCTCCTTGTGATGGCTGGTCATATTTTAAGCCCTCGACAACTGTCATATATATGAACTTTCATCACATGTTTTGTTGGGCACGTAGAAGTTAAATACATGAAGACAAGAAACTTTCTTTTATGGAAAACAACTTCTTCATTGTTTGCAGTGACATTTCGAGGCTACCTTTTGCTCCTCCATCAGGTGAAACAAGAAGTCACTGTGTCACAAACAATAAATAGCTTGTTAATAATATCCATTGAAAGGTTTCAAGTGTTCATATTCGTTCATGCTCCCAAATACTTCATCTGGTGCTCGCAGCACCACAGTATTAGAATAGTAAATGGTAAATGTTATATAATGGTTCCCAGATTATTCAAAAATAATTTGGGCTCAATCATCCAATATTTCAGCTGGTACAAACACCACAAGGGATACGCTCAACTGGTGTATTCTTGCGATGGCTCTCTACCCGGACATACAAACGAAAGTGCAGGATGAGGTGGACACTGTTGTTGGTGCGTTTTAAGAATATTATTTAACCCTTTTCTAATCGTGTCAGATATCCCATCCTCACCTGATAATGCTAAGGAACTTATATTAGACCTTTCACCGTTGTTACCTGTATGTAGATGTGTTTTTTTAAACCCTGCCCGTCTCCCAGCTATATCTTTTCACCGTTTTCCCCTTTTCAGGATCATTTGAAAATATCCTGCATGATACACATCGACCAAGTAGTCAATTAATTCCTTTTGGTATCTATGTTTTTCAAACTTTTATGAAAACAAGATGAAATAGCACTGAAATCAGAGTTGGATACAAGACAGACAACCATCCAAATGAAGGTGTGCTCAGATGCTGACCAATTATTCATGTGAAAGTTAGATTCTCTTGCTGTTGTGGAAATACTATTTATAACAGGAGAATAAAATGTGAAAGGGTTTTTCATACTATTGATAAGTGGAATGAATTCGCTTCCTTGCATATTGATAAATATGGACTTGCTATGGCTACAGGTCCTGATCTGAACGTCCACGTTTCGGACAGGGACAGGCTGCCATACACAGATGCAGTGATACACGAGGTCATGAGGATGAGGACAGAAACACCCATGGGCGTTCCCCACGTTACCCTTCGCAGAACCACAATTGGTTGGTATTAAAGTGTGTTGCATAAAGTGAGTGAGTTAGATTCTGACGCTGCTTTGCACAGTACTGCAGTTATATCGCGGCGCGTCAGCCTCATGTGGGGGAAAGCCCGAAGTGATGCTTTGCTGAGACGTTTACCACTTCGTTAAAACCAACGAACACGGCTATGACGCTGTCAGACCTCGAGATATTCTGGACGAACCGGGATACGAAACCAAAATCATAGGTTACTGGCGTGCCCAATTCTGCACAGCGACCCTAGACGACTGAGCCACCCGTGATCCTGTTACATAAATTGATTGAGTGTTGATTATAGTATTTCATCAAACTTTGATTTCGGATTAAACAACTGAGATACAGTATTCTGTGTGCACAAGTATATCGCTCATAGATGTTGGAATATCAAAGGACGTTTGTGATGCGTCTACATGCCAGTGATGATGACCAGTGTTGGACTGTTATCTGTATGGATGATTGTCATGATGGTGATCCTAATGATGATAATATCAGTAGAAATGTATTGTTGGTGGAGAATATGATACTATCAGTGAGAGACAACTACTATAATCCTATCTGTGATGTCTGTTTATGGAAAGACGTGGCGTTTATGTGTATGAGCATTGTATTAAATTTGAGTCTCAGGTTGATATATGTTATTAGAAACTTTACATGTGTGCTCCGGGGTGTGGGTGCGTTTTCTGGATCCATGTATATCTCGAGCGACAGTGATACTAAGTATGCCGAGTTTGATGCTTTTTTTGTTTAGTGTCCGTGATCATGCTGAATACATTAATTTTGTTTTCAATATACAGCTGGACAGAGATTAATCATCATACCTTCCTTATATCCATATATCCCACACTACCAGTAAACTACAGGAACTATTCATGTATCATGACATTGATCTCATTTTAACGCTGTAAATCTTGAAATTAATGCTTCTCTTAATCAATGTGCCCCCAATTTAATGCCATTGCTGACTCCTAGCCAAACTTGCGATTCAATATTAATGCGAAGTCAATATTTAATTCAATATTGTCAAAAATGTGTGTTGAACTGATCTGAATATTGCACCAACTCGCCGTTGATTACAACCATGACTACTGCTAGGGACGCTTTGAAACGAATCTTTGCTGACAGAGAATGAATACATATATCGTAAATGCCATGCTTTGACTCGCTAAAAGATATATTTGTTTTAATTTGACTATTATGAATCAACATAATGTTTTCCCACATAGTCTCAAACTGTTCTATACATAAAACATATACGACAATAGCAATCATCTGTGCTTATGGATATTATTATTTTAAATATATATCGTAAAGCCCCTATCTCACATACACGATTTAAGAAATTGCGAACACGATTTAAGAAAAGTTGAAAAATCGTGTTGATTCGTGCTCGACCTTCTGGTTTATGCAAATTTCTTAACCAAACGCGACCCTCATACGACCCTCATACGACCTTCATACGACTGAAAACGCCACTCATACGACCGTCATAAGATATTCATACGATACAACACGATTTAACCTCATTTAACACGACCCCAATACGACTGTCATACGACGCCCATACGACTGTCATACGACGCCAATACGACTTAACACGAATCAACACGACCGCCATACGATTGAACCCGAATCATTACGATGTCCATACGACTGTAAAAATAAACACGATCTCCATACGACTAAGCAAGACCTTCATACGACATATTTTTGTTTATTTTGGTCACGTGGGTCATGTAGTATATAAGCTGCATTGCAACAGCATTTCTGTGTCAGTCTTCACCATGTTCAACAACGAACAAGACGCGCAAGGAGCAGCTTTGGAGGAGGAGGATGTTTCCCTTTCGAAGTTTTTGCTTGGAGGAGCTTTCGTTTCGGCCGCCTGAGGTTTGGCATGGCTGTAGAATGAGCTTTCACTTTCAGGGGGTTTCCCACGTTCTGACTCAGTCACGTGATGGGCTCTTCCGGTCGTATGAAAAACGTATGGATTTCGTGTTCAGGCGTATGAAGGTCGTATGAGTTTCTTCCCACGCTCCCCAACACGACTGAACATGATCTTCATACGATTGAACACGACTGTTATACGACCTTCATACGACTGAACACGACTTTCCAGCTCGGCTTAAATCGTGTTATAATTTTTTGCATTTTTGCTATGTTTATGAAAGAGGAGGTAAATGATGACGAAGTCGTGTCTTTGCAGGTGGATACGATGTTTTCGAGGGATCATTGGTTTACATCAACTACACCGCTTTGCACTTTGACCCTGACCAATGGGAGGACGTCAATACGTTCAAACCTGAACGATTCCTTGACTCGGAGGGGAAGATGGGACCCACGCCAGAAAGCTGGTTTCCATTCTCTGCCGGAAGGAGAGTTTGTCTCGACGCGTCTATCGCCATACCTGAGCTTCCTCTCGTTCTGGCGGGAATCTTGCGAGCATTCACCATTTCACTTGGACCTGGAACACAACACGACTTTGAGCCAAAGGATTTGGATGACAGTAATACTCCAGGGAGATACCTCATTGTCGCACAATCAAGAATTTAAAAAATGTATAACATAATCATAGAACCAGCACCGAAACAGGAAATGGGCTCGTTCTTAAGTGATCACTTTTTAACTAACACTTTGCAATGCAATGTCTGTAAAGGTGGCATCAGTGGGGCAAGGATACGCTCACCTTTTCGCGATTTATTTTGGAAATGGAAACTGGGGTATTGTCTCTTTATTTACTTGCAGTGGCATTTATAAATGTTCCAGGTTGGCTTCTGATAATAAAAAAAGAAGAAAAAGTCGTCTTTGTCCTGATAGATTAAATTCTTGCACTCATGCCTATAGATGAAGCTTGAAACTTTTTTAAAATATTATGATACTATATTAAAGAATTTGTACGATTTTGATTATTTGAAAGGACAGTTTCAAACGATGATGTCCAATGTTAAACTCCACTGAACAAGTTGACCAACCACGGACACGAATGACTTTTATACGAGTCAGTTGTTTTACATGTCAATTTTTCATTTGGTGACCAGGCTTTGTGACTTGGTTGATTGTTTTTAATTCTTCCCCGAGTTCGTAGGAAGTTACTCATGATATCAATCACTGGTTTGTATGCCCCAATATCAATTATTTACAGGCCGACGTCACAAATGTAACTGTGGCTGTTAAACAACAAACAAAAGTTACATAAACGCATCCCATAGACTGGCTAACTACTCCGGCCCCATGGTGTTGTGAATAGGGGATGTGTAGAGAGTGGAAGGTCATACCAAGAGACGTTCCAAGATAGTACTTCTTGTTAACGTGACGTTCGGAATTAAGGAGTGGTCGGCTCGTAGTCAGTATACTGTGTCTGAGTGGTGTATTCATGTTAAACTGCGGCATGGTATCACAGTGACCAGTCCGTACCAGTACAATCAGTCACACACACCAAAGCATGCCCGTCACTGTATGAGTGAAATGATCTTGAACACGACGTTAAACTCCATTTCACCTCACTGCTCGCTATATAGTTTCGTTTAGCTTCAATGTTTGATACATGATGTACTAGGAATCGTTTGTGGACTCCGCTTTTGGTGTTGATTTCTTCTAATTGTGGAAATGATTTTTGTCACTTTTATTTCCTTTGAAAGATTAAAACATGCCTGTCTATCTTACACAATTACTCATGTCAGATGTGTATGTCAACAATTCGTTTAATGTTTGAAGAATATCAGTAATGTGTTAGAAGCCTATCAACATCATTTAATCAAATGTTCAGTTGGTTGGTTGGTTTGTTGTTTTACGCCGCACTCAGCAATATTCTAGCTGTATGACGGCGGTCTGTAAATAATCGAGTCTGAACCAGACAGTCCAATGATTGACATCATGAGCATCGATCCACGCAATTGGGACCGATGACATGCTTCAACCAAGTCAGTGAGCCTGACCACCCGATCCCGTTAGTCGCCTCTTACGACAAGCATAGTCGCCTTTTACGGCAAGCATGGGTTGCTGAAGACCTATTCTACCCCGGATCTTCACGGGTCTCAAATGTTCAGTGAGTGAATATTGCTTTACGCTGCATCTGTAGCTTGTAGCTTTTCGCCTCAAGAAATATCTATATCTTACTGTATGTTAGCAAACAAAATAAAGGTGATGTTGAAAATCACCAAAATCTAGTCAAATATCACATTCCCAGGTAAAGAACAGAGTCTGATTTCTTTCAAATATGCTAAAATCAGGTTGTTAAAAATTTTCCTTAAAAGTTCAGAGAAGATATGAACATTAACATAAACGCGTTGTCTGACAACACATTCAGGCAAAGTGTGTATGGTAGTAGATACTACTTTCAGTTTGCTGAGGATCAGGTTTTGATGATAAAAAACGACAAATAGAGATTGGCATATCCCGGTACACAATGATTGGGTAACCCCACTATGGCCTCAATTTGATTATGAACGGACATTTTGTTTGTTTGTTTGTTTGTTGTTTAACGCCGCTTTCAGCAATATTCCAGCTGTATGACGGTGATCTGTAAATGATTTTAATTATTGTAATTAGTTTCCCACTTTTTGAATTTTTATTGTTAAGCGAGGATTTTGACCTCGCTTTTATTGTTTGTTTGTTTGTTGTTTGCAATATTCCAGCTATATGACGGCGGTCGGTATATAATCGAGTCTGGACCAGGCATTCCAGAGATTGACTTCATGAGCATAGATCCACGCAATTGGGATGCGATGACATCAATCAAGTCAGCGAGCCTGATCACTCGATCCCGTTAGTCGCCTCTTACGACAAGCATAGTCACCTTTTCCGGCCAGCATGGGTTGCTGAAGTCCTATGTCGTGTCCAGATTCGATTATTAAATAGGCCGTTGTCATATAGTAAGAGACCGCCTCCGTGGTCTTGTGGTAGAGCGTCCGCCCGGAGAGCGGAAGGTCCGGGTTCGATCCCGGGCCGCGTCATACAAAAAGACGTTAAAAGATTGTACTTGTTGTTACCCTGTCTGGCGCTCGGCATTAAGGGGCTAAAACAAGGACTGGTCGTCTCGGAGTCAGTATACTGTGTCTGAGTGGGGTATTCATGTTAAACTGCGGCATGGTATCTCAGTGAGCTAGCACTATAAATCGGCATCAGTCCGGACTAGTTCAAGAAGCCACACACACACATACACGTGCGTGCATGTCGCTATATAAGTGCAATGATCTTGGACGCGACGTTAAACCCAATTTCACCTCACCTCACATATAGTTAGAATATTGCTGAATGCGGCGTTAAACAACAAACAAGCAATCTAATTCCATATTGACATTAATATTATCAGTAGGTGAGTAAGTACGTGAGTTGGGGTTAACGCCGCTCTGAAAGTTTCCATTTATATCACGGCGCGTCAGCCCTCGAGCGTGAAACCAACGAGCAAACCTCGAAACGTAATCAGGTCGAACCGGGATACAAACTCACGATCATAGGTTTTGAGCGTGCCCAAGTGACGGAACTCTGGACCGCGAATTACGACGGGGCCCCCGTGTCCACCATTAATAGCAAGACATCGTATAAATAAACATGAGTGAGTGAGGGAGGGAGGTTAACGTTTAAACCGCTCTAAGCAACATTCCAGCAATATACGGTGGGGACACCGAATTGACGTCACACATTTTTCCCATATGAGGAATCGACACCAGGACTTCATGTCAAAGTAGACACAATTTTTTTTATAACAACTTCTTTAATACTGTAAAGGCCACTTTTCGGTATGGATCCTTATACCGTTGTCAAGCAAGACATAACACTTCTTTAATACAGTAAAGGCGACGTTTCGGTATAGATCCTTATACCGTTGTCAAGCAAGACATAACACTTCTTTCATACCATAAAGGCGATGTTTCGGCATAGATCCTTATACCGTTGTCAAGCAAGACATAACACTTCTTGCATACCATAAAGGCGATGTTTCGGCATAGATCCTTATACCGTTGTCAAGCAAAGACAGCTTGACAATGGTATAAGGATCCATACCGAAACGTCGCCTTTACAGTATTAGAGAAGTTGTTATAAAACTGTTGTTGTTGTGTCTACTTTGTCATCTGTCAACTTTTACTTAATGCCTATCAAACAATTCAGGACGTCATGTGTCGAACAAAACCTTAAACCATAAAGTTATTTTCGCTGTAACAACTCGGCCCATACAGCGACATATAATTGTACATTCAATGCTCCATCGTGCATGCTATCTGTAATTTGACGGACATCCTCCATCAGTGGCGTGGTACAGGGTGCTTTCATCTTAAATGATTCATACTTAAGCGGAAACATCCGAACCTAATTGTTTGACAGAGCGGGATTTCCTTTTTCTGAACAATTGTAATCAGGTTTTCCTGCACATGTTGTGTACGCTTTTCTCACATGTCTGTGACTCTACATACAGAGGGAAGGTTACTGCAACAAACACAACGATGTGGGACGGAACATTATCGAGAGATTTTGATTTCTGGGGACTGTGGGGCTGTGTATGAGATATTATAATTAAAGTTAGCTCGACCATTTTGTAAATGATTTTTGTATTCATAACAATAATGAAGCCAAAATGATTTAGTAAACAAATTAAAAATCGCAGATCGTTTGACAAAGGAAAGTGACTTGTTAAGTTGGTGGAGGATTCAGCAGGTTCAAGGTTGTCGTTGTTTCTCCGGGTGTCTGGTGTATTCGGATTCCCTCGCGGGTATACTAGTATGTGGTCACGGATCGTTAGGGTTTTGTCTTTTTAACCCAACAGTGAATTATATCGTATAAACAATTTGCTTTTCTTTGATATTATAATTTGTTCGAGAATAAAAACTGGGAAAAACTTAATTCATCCCATTACTATATCCGAAAACGTAACCTACTCACTAGACATGCAAGAAAAATATGCTTTTATTTTTATTTGATTGGTTTTCGTTCACAGAACAAAATACGTTTTGAGCAGTGATCGAAAAACATAAAACTTCATTAGCCTGAATATAATCAACTTCCTGATCCAATGTACAGCCACAAGTGAAGCGACAACAGCCGGAACGTATACCGCCACGTGGTCTGTTTGGAGGGAGGGCCTGGACGCGTGGGCTCAGATGTGGCACACCGCCAAAAGAGTGAGTGAGTGAGTGAGTTAAAATTTAACGTCGCATCGGCACTATTCAAGCCATATAGCGACGAGACCAAGTTAATATATTAACAAATCAGTCATTAATGCAAAGTTATTTTTAAAAACAAGTCCGCCAAAAGAATGAACATTGCTATGATGTGTACGTCCGAAACGTTACGCGAGTGGGTTAGTAGTACATGTTTTACGCAGCAGTCCCCAGTCTGAGATGGGTAAACTAGAGGTTGATAGCATGAGCATCTATTCACGCCGTCACGACAGATGGCACACACTCATCATTGTCACACATTGTAACCACCCAATCCTCAATAGTGCAATAGTGGTTCGAACGAGATACTGGAGGGTTCCGAAAGGGTAGCGTTCCAAATTGTGTCACTAAATCGGTCAGAAATGTGTAATGTTGATCCATTTGTAAGAAACTAAGATTGTCGTTGTGTCACCGTTTTCCATTTTTACCCTCCACTCCCCGTGTTTAACGTTCACTGGGCTCCATTAAACCCACTACAGACAATCAGTCGCTTTTACTCTCATACATATTATATCTTGGCGCCTTGTTAATACCTTTGTCACGTAGTGGGTAGTTTCCTGGACAGGATAAAGCAAACAGAGAAACAGAGGTATCCACTAGGGTCATCTACTGGTGAATATGCATATACACAAATCAGTCGCTTTTACTCTCATACATATTATATCTTGGCGCCTTGTTAATACCTTTGTCACGTAGTGGGTAGTTTCCTGGACAGGATAAAGCAAACAGAGAAACAGAGGTATCCATTAGGGTCATCTACTGGTGAATATGCATATACACAAATCAGTCGCTTTTACTCTCATACATATTATATCTTGGCGCCTTGTTAATACCTTTGTCACGTAGTGGGTAGTTTCCTGGACAGGATAAAGCAAACAGAGAAACAGAGGTATCCACTAGGGTCATCTACTGGTGAATATGCATATACACAAGGTCGGTAGGTCGGTCGGTCGTATTTTCAGTGTTTAACCATGCCTATCGGCGATCGACTCATAATTACATTAGACCATTGACAATCGGGATTGTGACAAATTACTGGGATAATAGATCACAGTTCAAATGTCATTCTTAGTTCAGCTCAGTGTAAAAAAAATAAGTTTCAGTGTGAAATATATTGGAAAATTTGCAATGTCTAGGTAGAACTTAAGAATGATGTTTTATATTATAGAGGTTATCACGCTGTTTTGGGATCGTAAATATCCCGTATAAGGAATAAACCGTGTGTATCCAGCTCGCCAGTGCAATACCAGTAAAATAAATACATGGTATAGTTCAAATAACTTGTAAATTTGGCGTGCGTACTGTCATAATAATGACGAAGATGATGATGATGAATACGACGACGATGATGATGATGCTATAAGCATATTTATCCGGATAAAACCTCTTACTGGCATTTGCTCTTTAGAATTAACAACTGATCAATCACTTAAACTTATGTTTGCGTGTGCTCTTAGTCATAAGGAAGTTTATTCGTGTGGCTTCATGCCATACCTAAGCCCACTCGTCTAGCCCCTTGAATGAGAAACACATCACAATACGCCATTTTGCAACCCGCCTGCGATCTTCGGTGAGCGAGTTATCTCTGGTGCTGGAGTTTCGATAACACTTGTGATTTGGGATATATTATGAGGTATGTTGTAAATTCAGTTGTGTATGTTTCGGAAACACCCACGAACTTTTACAATACAAACAGCCCTAGATGCATTATCATTTGTGGATGTGCCTGTTCATATATATAATGCTGTTGTTGTTACCCTGTCTGGCGCTCGGCATTAAAGGCTGGTCGGCTCGGAGTCAGTATACTGTGTCTGAGTGGGGTATTCATGTTAAACTGCGGCATGGTATCTCAGTGGGCTAGCACTATAAATCGGCATCAGTCTGGACTAGTACAAGCAGCCACACACACACATACACGTGCATGCACGTCGCTATATAAGTGCAATAATCTTGGACGCGACGTTAAACTCCATTTCACCTCACCTCACCTATGACTGAAAAAAACAACAACGTGCAAATCGTGTGAACATGTATATAGACATGTATATCATGTCAATAGTGAGTGAGTGAGTGAGTATGGTTTTACGCCGGTTTTAGCAATATTCCAGCAATATCACGGCGGGGGACACCAGAAATGGGCTTCACACATTATACCCATGTCGGGAATCGAACCCGGGTTTTCGGCGTGGCGAGCGAACGCTTTAACCACTAGGCTACCCGACCGCCCAATATCATGTCAATAGGTACATTAGTATTGGCTTGTATATCATGCCAATATGTGTATGGGCTTGCATGTATATCATCTTAATATGTATATATATATACTACTGCATTAAATGTTAGTTCTATATATATGCTTAACTGTGTGCAGTGAGGCGATGCAATGGATGATAAAGAAAAGGTGAAAGATTTTCGCGAAGAGAGACAGGATGCTGAGGGCCGACAAGGTACGTTCAAAATCCTAAGTGGGGGTAAACGTTTAGAATAGAATCAGGTTATGTAGATGTAAACACAATCATAAAACTAAGATCCGGGGTAGAAGAGGTCTTCAGCGACCCATGCTTGCCGTAAAAGGTGACTATGCTTGTCGTAAGAGGTGACTAAAGGAATCAGGTGATCAGGCTCCCTGATGCATGTCATCGATCCCAATTGCGTGGATCGATGCTCATGTTATCAATCACTGGATTGTCTGGTCCAGACTCGATTCTTTACAAACCGCCGTCATATAGCTGGAATATTGCTGAGTGCGGCGTTAAACAACAAACAAACAAACACATGATAAATGTGCGTGTCCTTGTGTAGGTGTGTAAGTCAAATGGAATTCAAACTATAAAACTAAATGTATACGGGGTCTTCATTTCACATTACAGATGTTGAAAATACCGTATCTGTGATGTCCCTGGAAGCAGATACTAGCCCCACGACTAAGGTGCCCACTGCAAGCTTGTCCTTGACCAACAAATCAACAACACCAAGAATATATCAAGAAGGTAAAAGTTCACACAGAACTATTTTGGAATTGTGTTTAAATGATTGTGTGTATATTCATGATGTATCATTCATGAACAAATATTTTTAATAGGAGTGTAGATTATTGCCAAAGACGAGGTAAAACAATACTCACTCACTCAATCACCCGCTGTACGTGTGTGTCAAATTTTGTTTATGTCATCACTCTTTTAGACTGTTTAATGTGGAATAAGATCTGTGATAGTGAGCGAGTATGGTATTGTGTTGGTTTAATAATATGGGTCATACATGTATATTTGACGCCAATCGCCTTATCTTCAACAGAAATCAACATGGAGCACACAATGGCACTCACGAGGTAAATCTTTCAGTTTGTGAATGCAGTTTTATGTAAACATGTTCACCTTTAAGGCTTCGTGCTTTTAATGCGTCACGGTACAAACAGTTCTGACACAACTGTAATCAAGCAACTACCCATTGACACTGTAAATACCAAGTCAAAAGGAAAAAGGTGAAGTACAGTCTACTCTGATTCAATATATTTGTGCCAAATGCCTTACATTGTACAGAACGTTTTTATTCATATCCATCAATGAAAATGCTTCTACTGTTTCGAACAGTCAACGTACCCTGGCTTCACTAATGCAGCAACAGGCAGCCCGCAGTGAAGGTAATTAATTACCAACACTCATATACAAAGACGAGATACGGTCGATAAAATAAATCTGATTTAACTAGCATTGTTGATGTAGTAGGGATGCCATATTCTTAAAAATGAAAATACTTAATTTTTATTTGGTGTGAGATTAGGACCCATTTACTTCACATCTGAACACTTGATGAACACTGATCACCCCGATTATGTTTCTAGGTTTGTCAGCACCATACCCGTGCTCGTGGGTTTCAGGGAAGTGGTACACGTCTAAGACCTGCATCACTTCGGGCTTTCCTCCCACATTAAGCTGACACGCCATGATATAACTCAATACTGTTAACAGTGGCGTTAAACATAACTCACTCACTCACTTGATCAAAGATGGTCTAGTTTGTTGTATTCACATGTCTCAGACATGCACAAACAAACAAGAAAACTATGTCAGAAGTTTATGACGGATCATTTATAAGGTAAATTGGCCTTTCGTGGAGGTAGCTGATTTTCTTGTCCCTAAACCTTCTCCTGTATATCCACAAAGGATCAGTGTTGAAAATACTCATCAAATCAAATATTGTCAACGATGTATTCCTTTCATGTATTTACACGTACAAGAGTGATATTTGCATTTGCATTTAGTTGCCAGATCATCGCCGGGACGCCTATCTGAAGACGAAGCATTGATGATAAAAGTGGATCGTTCTCCAGGAGCCTGTGTTGCAAGAGAGATTCACGTCCATCACCATGAAGGTAAAATGATCAGGCTTAAAATATGCTGTCTTGATGATTCTAATTTGTTCTCTTATCTAAAGCTAACTTAAATATATCCTTTAAATTATTCGCTCAGATAATATCATATTTGCAGTGCCTTGTTTCAACACTGATCTCACAACGTAAGTATATAACATTGAGATAAACAGTGATTATAGAAGTGTAATAAAATCCTTGTTTTGCTTTTGCAGTGGACAATACCATCCTTGAAAACATGAAAGGTAACTCTTGTATTTATCATATTTCAAATTGAAGGATAACCTGATGGAGCAGAAACGTTTTATTTTCAATTTCATGATTATTTTTTTTGTATCAGATGACATGTCTTGCAGATATACATGTTCATGCTGATCAATAGTAGCTTGAACTGCAATAGTAGCTTGAACTGCAATAGAAGCTTGATGCGAATTGGCTAGAAAACTCTCGATGTACAGTTTCCCGTTTCGTTACTTGAACCTTGTCCCGAGTTATGCAAACCAAAACTTGTAAGATACTCGCTTATTCCATATGATAAGAATACACACTAAATAATGGTATGGTACTCATACATACCTATTTAATCTATGTAATCTGTTCTGCTTGCCACATACGATAGAGTTCCTATTTATAATTGTCCGGATGTGTTCCAATATGCTTCCTGACGATATCCAGGGGATACCCGTAGGTAATAAACTGCAATCCCAGAGCACCAAGCTAAATTTTATTGCTCAAATATGTCTTAAGGAGAACTTCTTGTGAAAGCAATTAAGTGAGCTCTTGTCCGAGTCATTAGGGCCTTTGGTGTGTGTGTGTGTGTGTGTGTGCGTGCGTGCGTGCGTGCGTGCGTGCGCGTGTGTGTGTGTGCGCGTTGTCCGTTGAAAATGGCTGAAAAGATGATTCACAACTTCAGATTGTTATTGTTATGCACCATAACATTTGTGTCTAGCCATTTAAGCAAAATTTAGAGAATCAACTGGTGATAAATCGTGTAGAAAGAGAGTTTGATTCAGATTTGGTCACACCTGTAAGATAGTTTCTTGAAGCATAAAATGGTAAATATTGAAACTCTGAAAATCAAGAGAGCTGAACTTTTATAAAGATACGTGGGTTCTTTAATGTGACTTGTTCATGGCATGTACAATGTAGTTTGAAATTGGCTTATTTAAATGAAATTGCAAGCACCTTTAAGCTCCAACTTCTCAAACTACAAGGGCTCAGAGCTGATATTGTAGCAGGACTGTGTATTACTGCCAAAAAGGCTCATGTTATCAAGGTGCCCTACTTCTCACTCATCATTGTAGACAATGTTCTGAAAATATAATTTTTATTGACATACCAATGTGCTTTACGAATAAAAGAATATTACATGGGGATCCATATTATACAACCAATAAACAGCCACACTTCATATGTTCTTTGTATGTACTTGATAAGCCACTGCCCTGGCGCTGTTTAAAGAAGACATCTTTAACTACCCCCTCCCATTCACAGGATTGTATAATTGAACCCGCTTAACAAAATCGAAAAGATTGATATGTCATGATTATTTCATACAATTATAGGTATGATATAGGTAACCATGTGTTCGGCTTTCCTTTACAGCTCGATCGAAATCCACACTGAAAGATTTCAACCAGGCAACCTTTTATCCTACAAAAGCTGTACAAGCTGCGAGAGAAAAGCTGCACTATGGCCACGTTTGCTTGGAGGGCAAACCCAAATCAGGAAAGTCATCTATTGGCTTGTATTTACTGGCTACTTTTGGAGATAGGAATTACACACCACTGATTCTGAACAACCCTGATGAATATTCCCATATTTCTCAGAAAGAAAAATTTGTGATTTTAATCGATGACATTTTTGGATCAAGGGTGTTTATGCCAGATATGGTGATTCGCTGGAATAAAGTTATTGAAAACATATTTCATGCTAAAAGTATAGGTAGGATATTCTTGATTATAACAAGTGAAAGTGGCTTCTTTGACAGAAGTCAAGCCTTTGCTAGTTTTGATGAGTTTTTGGACAAAACCCATAGATTGCAACTTCAAAATCCTGATCTTTTTCTGAGGGGCTATGAAAAATTTGCTATTCTTGAGAAGTTAGCTACTTTCAAAAGACTGGCACATGACTGTAGAATACTGTCCACTGCTGCCAATGCAAGCACTCCTTGGTTTTTTGACTGCTGTAAATATTTGTTAAAGAGTAAGCTACCACTGCAAGAATGGCCAATATTCTTCAGACACCCAGTGGTAGTTCTTTGTGAGCATGTAGCTAAGCTCGAACCAATCAAGTCAGCTCTGCTCATATTGATAATGAAGCACAATCACATTCTGGACACTGACTTCTCAACAACCAGTGATGGGCACATAATTTTAAGAGCTTCACTTGATATCCTCTCAAGGATTATGGAATTGCCACATGGATCTGACCTGAAGGACGTGCGAGATGCAGCCCAAGCCTTGACTGGTGACCTGGTCGTGTATAGTGACCAACATTATAGCTTTTCGCACGATGCAGTTCGTGAGGCAGTGTGTTTCACCTTCTCAAAGGTCGCACCTGTATACTTCATACAATGGTGTCCATTAGACTATCTGATCCACCACACTGTAACAGAAAACACTGAAACTGAAGGTGCTCATTCAGTGAAGATAGACAGTAATTTGTTTCAAAACTTGAAAGACAGAATAGTCCAGGACTTCACAGCCGATTTTGTAGAGCATGACGTTTTCAAAGGTGGGGCCTTTGTGTATCTGTTCTTTCAAGACAATCCAATATTGGATGATGCACAAAATATCGCTGAGATAGTGTCCTCAATTGCAAGGCATGGACATGCCTATTTCCTTCGTCAAATACTGCCCATTATGGAAGGGTTTGGTGGACTGGATATTGAACATATTAAGCATGAAGCTTTAGAAAAAGCATGTTCATTTCGACAGGCAACAGTGGCTGACATCCTTCTGGACTCTGATGCTAAACCATGTGAGGTTTGTTTTCATAACGCTTGTAGTGGGCAGATGTTAAATGTTGTCAAACGTTGTTTGAGCATGGGACCTATCTCTTGGTCCAATGATGTGGTATCTTTACTAAATGCTCTCAGAACCACTACCTCTCCTACAGATATCAGTGCAATGTTACAAAATGCAACAAATTGGAATGTTGAAGGCAGAGGGCTAGTCATGATGGCACCGGCATGCGAAACTGGAAACTGGGAATTGTATAATGTCCTTAGCGACAACCTAATAGACAGGACTCTTAACTGCAGTGATCTTTTGTCCCATGCAATCAGTGGAGGAAATCTCCTCATAGTTTGTGACTTGATAGGGAAAGATCCCAATATTTTGAATGTAGATTGTGATGAATCTGCATTCCTCATGGCATGCCGCTGCAACAAAGTGGAACTTGCGAAGCTGATATGGGATGAATCTAGTGTCACATCTAAAAGCCGAATTTATGAAGAGGGCAGTTCTTCATTGAGGGCTTTACATATTGCAGTTTTAGCCAGTAATGAAGACCTGGATTTACTGAAATGGTTGCTCGTTGAAGGTTTCCCAATCAATGGATGCGGGGGTTCATCTAGAACTCCACTACACACAGCCTGTAGCAGAGGAATTGTCGGAGGAATTAGAGTACTCTTGGAAAAAAAGGCAGATGTATCAGCCATTGATGCTGATCGAAATACAATGTTGCATCTTGCATGTGGTAGTGATGAACCCAACAAAGACATTGTCAAATTACTCCTTGATAATGGTGCCAACATTTCATCTTTAAACAAGGAGAACAAAACACCTTTACATGTCTTATGTGAAACACAACACAATTCACGATCCGTTGTGATCAGTTTTCTCTTGAATTGTGAGGCCCCCGTCAATTCTTTGGACGTGCATGGACACACACCTTTCTATCTCTTATTGGATAGAGGATTCTGCTTGGAGGAGGTAGAACTCCTTTTAGACAATGGCGCTAAGGTGAATATGAAAGATAATTTTGAAGAAACTGCAGTTCACGCTGCATGCAGAAGTTCTAACTGTAGAGCTGTGGAGATGCTACTACAGAATGGCGGGGATTTGCAGGCTAGAGACAGACTTGGTCAGTCTTGTCTTCATCATGCAGTTTCTGTAATGAACAATGGGGATGTGGTGAAATACCTGCTTCAACGTGGTCTGTCGGTGAATATAGTTGACACTGATGGTAACACCCCTTTACACACAGCGGTTCACGTTCAATTCAACAAAATAGTGGTTGAATTATTGATGACTATGGGAGCAGATTCAACACTGACTAACAAAAATGGTGATGCTCCTCTGCATCTTGTGTGCAAGGACTCCCTTGATCACAGTCTTGAGGACATGGATATTATCATGAACAAATCCAGTCTACTTTTAGCAAAGGAAAATAATACCCCTTTGCATTTGGCATCGATGTCAAAAGGAAATGCTGCCTTTAGTGTTGTTAAAAAACTGCTCGATTCAGATGTCAATATTTCAGAGAAGAACGAATCTGCCAAGACTGCTCTACATCTTGCTTGTGAAAGGTCAGATGAACCAGGCTGTTCTATGGCACAAGCGTTGTGTGCAAGAAATGCTGAACTAGACTGCCAAGATAATGAAGGGAACACACCACTTCATTTGGCTTGTCTATCAGGAGGAGATAGCCGACTTCACATTATTGAATTGTTGATTAACCAAGGTGCAAAAGTCAACATTATCAATGACCAACAGATTTCACCCACTGACATCATTGAGGACCGGAAAAATGAAAGTGAACATGAAATCTTGATGATTATGGTTGACAGCATGTTGAATCAGGCTTGTCTTGGAAACGGTAGGTACACAATGGAAGAGGTAGAAGAAGCGCTGTCAAAGGAAACTCAGTTGTCACTACTTGATAAAGACCAGAGACCAGTTCTTCACAGAATATGCAGTGTCAATGGACAACACAGTCCTACTATTATAAGTATGCTTCTTGCGCAGGGAGCTGACATAGCTGCAAAAGCAAAAGATGGCCTAACAGCTATTCATGCAGCGTGTATGGCTATTGGTCCCTTCACGGAAACAGTTCTCGAAACTCTTATTCGTTCGGGAGGGAAAGTAAATGAAAGAGATGACCAAGGACAAACAGCTTTCCACAAAGCTTGTACATTACAGGACAGCCATACCGAGAATGTGCTCGGTAAGCTGCAGCAGTATGGTATTGATGTAAACATACCAGATGGAAATGGTAACACCCCTCTACACATGGTTTGTGGTTCTTCTGGAGCACACATCCTGGATCGTATCCAGTGGCTTCTAGGACAAGGGGCTGACTGGCAATACCTGAACCACAAAGGACACACTCCCTACAACATAGCAAACGATGAGATTAGAAACGCATTTATGAATCTAATCTTGCTCAAGTACTGTGAAGATTCTGATTCCTTTGACAAAGATGTGATTGGTGGAATCATAAGTGAAGGGGCTGACGTGAACTGTCTAAACAATTATGGTAATTCCGTTCTACATATGATTTCTCAGAAGAATGGAGAGTTTTCACAGGAAAATATTTTGCTAATGATCTCGAATGGGTGTGACAAAGGATTACTAAACAATGCTGGAGTGACAGCATATGAATTAGGTATTTATGCAGGGATGGATGAAGAAGTCTTGCAACTACTTTGTCCTGATGAACAGGATGTTTGTGGTGGAGTTTGTCCTGATGAGCAAGGTGCTTGCGGTGGATCAGAAGCATCAAAGAAAGAGGGTGGCGAACAGTCAGCTGTTGATCATGTTGAAAAATTTAAAAACACAGCTTTGAACTTTAAAGATTTGCTAGGCAATAGAAATCCTGCTCAGATAGTTGGGTCCGCTGCTGAAGTAGTAGAATCTGCTGCAGCAGTTGTTTCCAAATGGGTGAAAGAGTCTTTGTAGTCATTTTAGCATTTATAAATATCAGATGGGATTGCCTGAAAACATCTAAACAATGACAAAATGCATGTTTTCTGACTTGACGTTTTAGTTAATGGGGATGCTAATGAAACAGATTCCATTAGGCGTAAAAGGCTGAATGAATCACCAAAAATCAGTCATGACACAAACAAGGAAGTAAGAAATGTCAAGGAAACAATTTTTCTGCATAATGCTAATATCAAACGCATGGAATTATAAGATTTGCTTGATTCAGTTCAAGTTCCTTACGTGGTATAACGTGATAATTTTGTCCTTAGATATCTTTGAATGTTGTAAGAAGTGACTGACATGCATCGGGTGGTCTGGCTCGGTTACTTGGTGTATTGAACCCGGTGTAGTCATGGTTAATAATATCAATCACTGGTTTGTGTGTCAGAGACACGATTATTTACAGACCGTCTAGATATAGCTGTTATATTGCTGTCTCTGTTTAATTATTCTTTCGTGATGAGGAGAACACCTTATAAAAAGTTTACAGATGTTTAGTGCAAACACGTACAGTAATTTGTCCTAGTATTGACTGTTTTTGTATCTTAAACACATCACTGCATTTGTCACTCATATATTGTATACAATAATTATTTTGATACATTTATTGTAATTTGCTTGTCTTGTAATAGCGAGTATGTATTTTAACTACACATACAAGCCGGTGGCCCCTCGTCCCAGTCGAAAACTGCCGTCTGGAACTTACACTTACTGACATTGCAGTTGTTGCGACGGGCCACTTTCTTGCTGACACCAGGTATCATCACTATTTTCTAGTGATTCATAAACACATGGTTATGATATATATAGTCGGAATCGTACAATGGACTGAAAATGTTTTTGTCGCTTTTTTATTTTTTTGTTCGGATGTCATTACTGTGAAAGAAGTGTCTGGATTAAGGGGTATATTTTTTATACAATGACACAATCAGCGTGTGTTAGTCGTGAAATTATAGTGTTGTTTTTTTTCACTTAGTTTATTGATCCACCGATACAATATTTAATAATTGTGAAAATGCTACAAGAACAATGTTTTATTTCTTTGCAGTCGTAAACTAAATGTCCTATGGTTTGTCATTTTGAAGAAACATTTCAGCATGACCTCTTTTAAGACGTTAATTCCTTTAGGGCAGTATTTAAGACATAATGTTTTACGTTTTTTTCGACCAGAGACTTTAAAAATCAATCAATTAAGTTAACATTTTCACAAAAGAGGCCTTCTATATTTTCGTTTGTGAACTTGTGCAACAACTGGAATTTCCTTTAACTGCAATGTATCAAACACGCAAGATTTATATAAGGTTATTTATTGCACCGTTTGATTTCTTAAGATGTGCAGCGGTGGATACAAGTAGCACATTTGTGTGTATCTTTAAGACAGATCATAGTAATAAGAACAATGCAAACATTCATAGCGACATCAGATGACTGTTGTAGCGATGGTTCGTAGATCTAGACATACGAATCTAGGCGAATAGTGTCTTTGTTTCCCTTGCCTCGTTTGTTGATTTTAACAATACATGTGTATTTGTTGCAATAACCCTCTGTTCATATTTTCATGATAATCCTCATGTCAAATATATTACTATAGGAGAGATTATTACATACATTTTAAGTGTATCTGTCGTACAAACTTAACGAAACGAGTGTATTAATTCTGACACGAATGTAATAATTGCTATATTATCCAGATTTAGCTAGAATTAGTTGTGAAGAAGTAGTGTCTTTGTTATATTAGGGCGGATATGGCGCCGTGGCGTCCTTACCGTACTCAATCACAGTCTTGGGTTTGGGCTGAGAATTTTCGTTAGAGGTAGGACATTTTTACAGTCACTACTTTTAATACGCAATTTCTCTGTAAAATGAGAAGCTAAACAATTTAACTTTCTATCATAACACATTTTTTCAAAATGTCCAGCTAACAATATATTCTTTGGGGTAAAACCTGAGAACAAAGTTTCCAGTTTCAAAGAGATTACAGCCCCCGCCTTCTCATAATTTCGAAATGAGCGCTCCCTCATATGACCATAGTAAAACAACAATCTAAAGTTCTAATATTAAAGTTGAAATGAAAAAGTAAAAAATGATTCATTTCGTCGAGTATGCACGTGTTACTCGCTTCTTGAACCTGAGTTGGCCTACCATACGCTTTTCTGTAATTTCTTTGTTATTCACAAAATTCGTTGATTCCAGTGTGGACACTCCCTATATAGGATGAACAGTTATTTCCTGTCGGCCATCCTATGAAGGTCCGGGTTAGAATTGGTCTTCAGCAACCCATGGCTATCGTAATATGTGACTGATATGGTGGAATCAGATGTATGTCATCGTAGCCCAATTGCGGGATCGATGCTCATGATGTCAAACATAGAATCCAGACTCGATTATTAACAGACCGCCATATACCTGGAATATTGCTGAATGCGACGATAAACAATACCCAAGAAACAAAATCCTGCTCTATATATTATACAAACGTAGACGGCGGTGTGTGTACTCCGATGTACTCCGGTGTATTATTTATTAAGAGATGAAATACTATACAAATCTGGTGTCTATTTCGATGTCTTCCTGATTGGCACAATGGTTTTCAGACATGTACTTGTAAGATCAATGACAAAATACATAATATATAGAACATGTGGCTCTTGTAAAGAAATATCAATTTTGTTACATCATTCGACAAGAATAGCCTCATATCCTCTTACTATACTGATGGAAACGAATAAGGGAACAATTAAAAATATAGGGAAATAATTTTACAGTTCGAAAATTTGAAATAGTGCGCATACAAATTAAACACATGTCAGAATCAAAGGTTGAGATATGTTTGTGTACAATGTTTCCAAAGCGTCTAAAACTAAGTGTTCCGTGTTCGTTTCCGGCAGTATATTATCCTATAAACCAAGCCAAATGTACAAACATGCATCCAGCTCACGAAGAGGGGAATTCTTAGCTCCTTAAGAGGAAGTAAACATAACTAAATAGTATTGACTTACATTTATGCATTTCAACGCCATTTGTTTTCTTTAAATCCTGTTTTCACTTATACTATAGCTTTCTCAACAACATTACCTGTTCAATTTACCTGAAGATACTATCTTTGAAAAGAGAACATGAGCTTTGGATACATGATTTGAAACTGTACTGTGATTATCATGACTGTATCTGTACAAAGGGCTGTTGCCGTTTGTTTTAATAAAAACATAAGTTAAGACATCCGTATTGTATTGCTTTGTTCTCACCACTAGTCTCAATATTTAAACAGTGACCAACAAGGTGCCCGTGAGTGAGTAAGTTGGGGTTAAAGCCGCTTTGAAAAGCACTTCAGATGTATCACGGTGGGCCAGCTTGATGTTAGAGTTAAGTCCGAAGTGTTGCTAGGTTCACATGCACAAAGTGAACTTAGCGCGATGACGATCTTAACTCCCATACTCTTACATAGACGTACAATAGTCGGAGCGCTAAGATCGTTTTGTGCCCTGACCTAAGACATATACTACATTCACGTTTCACGTGAACGGATATGATGCTTGCAAAGCAGGGGTCACAATCCAGTTGAATCTATGATTCGAACTCTTGATCTTCGGATCCTGATACGCTGAACTGTACTGAACTCTTTTCAGTGAAATCCACGGCCATATATGTAACACATTAAACATTACTATGACGTATGGTGATAGGTTAACCGACAGATCACATATATGCATCTACTGTGACATATGGTGATATATCAAACCACAGTTCATATACATGCATCTACTGTGACATATGGTTATAGGTTAACCTACAGTTCACATACATGCATCTAATGTGACATATGGTGATAGGTTAACCTACAGTTCACATACATGCATCTCCTGTGACATGTGGTGATAGGTTAACCCACAGTTCACATACATGCATCTACAAGATATATGGTGATAGGTTAACCTACAGTTCACACACATGCATCTAATGTGACATATGGTGATAGGTTAACCTACAGTTCACATACATGCATCTCATGTGACATATGGTGATAGGTTAACCCACAGTTCACACATATGCATCTGCTGTGAGATATGGTGATAGGTTAACCTACAATTCACACAAATGCATCTACAAGACATATGGTGATAGGTTAACCCACAGTTCACATACATGCATCTACAAGACATATTGTGATAGGTTAACCTACAGTTCACATACATGCATCTACTGTGACATATGGTGATAGGTTAACCCACAGTTCACTTACATGCATCTAATGTGACATATGGTGATAGGTTAACCCACAGTTCACATACATGCATCTACAAGACATATGGTGATAGGTTAACCCACAGTTCACATACATGCATCTACAAGACATATGGTGATAGGTTAACCCACAGTTCACATACATGCATCTACTGTGACATATGGTGATAGGTTAACCCACAGTTCACATACATGCATCTACTGTGACATATGGTGATAGGTTAACCCACAGTTCACATACATGCATCTACAAGACATATGGTGATAGGTTAACCCACAGTTCACATACATGCATCTACTGTGACATATGGTGATAGGTTAACCCACAGTTCACATACATGCCTCTACCAGACATATGTTGTTTGGTTAACCTACAGTTCCTACCCATCACTCTCCTGTGACATATGTTGATAGGTTAACCTACAGTTCACATACAAGCATCTAATGTGACATATGGTGATAGGTTAACCCACAGTTCACATACATGCATCTACTGTGACATATGGTGATAGGTTAACCCACAGTTCACATACATGCATCTACTGTGACATATGGTGATAGGTTAACCCACAGTTCACTTACATGCATCTACAAGACATATGGTGATAGGTTAACCCACAGTTCACATACATGCATCTACAAGACATATGGTGATAGGTTTACCCACAGTTCACATACATGCATCTACTGTGACATATGGTGATAGGTTAACCCACAGTTCACATACATGCATCTACAAGACATATGGTGATAGGTTAACCCACAGTTCACATACATGCATCTAATGTGACATATGGTGATAGGTTAACCCACAGTTCACATACATGCATCTACAAGACATATTGTGATAGGTTAACCCACAGTTCACATACATGCATCTACTGTGACATATGGTGATAGGTTAATCCACAGTTCATTTACATGCATCTACTGTGACATATGTTGTTTGGTTAACCAACAGTTCACATACATGCCTCTACTGTGACATATGGTGATAGGTTAATCCACAGTTCACATACATGCATCTACTGTGACATATGTTGTTTGGTTAACCAACAGTTCACATACATGCCTCTACCAGACATATGTTGTTTGGTTAACCTACAGTTCCTACCCATCACTCTCCTGTGACACATGGTGATAGGTTAACCTACAGTTCACACACATGCATCTACTGTGACATATGGTGATAGGTTAACCCACAGTTCACATATTTTCACATTTTGTCTGTCTGTGGTCAGGAGGATGATACCGGGTATGATAAACAAAGAGATCTTGTTTGTTTGTTTGTTGTTTAACGCCGCACTCAGCAATATTCCATCTATATGACGGCGGTCTGTTATAATGGAGACAATGCAGTGATTGACATCACTCATCCACGCGATTGGGATACGATGACATGCATCAACCATGTCAGCGAGCCTGACCACCCTATCCCGTTAGTCGCCTCTTACGACAAGCATAGTGGCCTTTTGCGGCAAGCATGGGTTGCTGAAGACCTATTCTACCCCGGATCTTCAGGGGTCTATTTGGTCGTCTCTTATTACCAGCATATGTTGCTTGGGACCTAAACTCCGGAATCCCGGGGGCAGATAAATGATGTATATATTGCTGTGTTCCTGTGTTGACCCCCACACAACCTGCCAGGATGGTGTATGTAAACCCAGTAACTAGAGACGCTGAGTTGAGCTGTCCGAATGTCAAATGTCGTTGACATATAAGTGTAAATATTTCTTAATATATATTCCAGACATAGACTACTTCAAAATTGACCGTGACTCGGGGAACATATCCGTGGCTACAACCCTAGATTCAGTGGATGAGGATGAGGTCACTCTGAGGATCAAGGCAACAGACTTACCTCAAGCAGACCCTGCTATGGAAGCAATCACAAACGTAGTGTAGCTGTTTTACATTCTTCATTATTTTGATGGTGACACAATCAGTGTTCCATCATTTTCCTTAGTTCATCGTATCTGAAGGTCCTAAGAGGGAAAATGTGAACCTTAAAAGTAGGTTTATGGGTAATGCATTGTGATATGTGGTTTGGTTTTAGGTGCATTCATCAGAGGTTAGAAGGAGGACATTTCTCTTCTGTATTTATAATTATGTGTGATTGGATAATAATACTCGCTCCAGCTCCTTCGTTCTATTGTTTATGGATTATAACGGGTTTACTACCTACACGTTACCATTTCCATCATGACTGACAAACCAAGACCATTCTTCAAAAAGGAATACACTTTCAAGCTGACGGAGAACGAGAAGCCTGATGAGGATAAACGTGTGCCCATCCTGTGCGAAAGGAGAGTGACGAAATGGCGTGTAACTGCACCTATGAAATACTAGGTATAGGTTTGTTCTTGTTAAACTAAGAGTTTGGTTTCAACGTTTTCATGCTGCTGCACTCATTAAATATACGTAAAAAAAAACCTTTCCATGATCACAAGGAGTCCATTTAACGATTCCAACTGCATCATACACATTACTTTATCGATATTTTCCAATGCAAAACTTTTGTACTCAACCAATTGCTGCCATAATTAGTATTCCCTATATTTCCTTTAATGCCACCGGTGGGGCAGGATACGCTTACCTTTTCGCGGACACCCTGGTATCATCACTATTTCGTAGTGAATCATATACACATGCTCACGATCGTACAATCTTACCTATGGAAAGGTAACAACTGTTATATTTGGGATAACACGTTCTTAGTAAAGTAAAAATTGTAGTACTTTTTCGGATCAAACCCACACTCTCAGATTGAGGCACTTAATCACCAGCACACAAAGTTAGCAATCGAATCCACTCAGCCACCGATGCTTCCACAAATGTTATATTTCCGATAACACTTTCTTGGTAAAGTGTTTTGCTGTTTTTATTTCAAAGAAACCAGTTATTATAACGATATGCTTTACCGTATTCAGTTACAGATTATTCGGAGAGTTTTTATGTATTGGAGAAAACACACTTACGAGGTTTTGGTAGACAGAGCATGCCCTGGGGAGAGGGAAAAACCAAGAAGGCGAAGTCGCCGCGGTTTTTCCCGACCCCCAGGGCATGCCCTGTCTACCAAAACCGAGGTAAAGTGTTTTTCCATATTTATAAACGGTAAAGAGGAAACTTAAAATAACATTTATCAACATTTTTATGTTTCGAACATACTTTCCATGAACCTTAGGAAACGCGCGTAAAATATCTGTTGCTGGCGTACGGATCTTGAAAATGACATTCTAAAAACCAGTGCGGCTTATCAAAACCTCTGTAGCCTCGTGGTACACCCACTGGGCTACAGATATGAAGGTTGCGAATTCGATCCTCGGGAATATAAAGAAAACATTTGTCATTTGATTTAACATTTCATTACATGTTACAATCTGAACGGAAGTTACATTAATAAAAATCCTGGGATATTATAGCAAAAATGACTTGAATATCCTATAAAATCCGTGGGATATTATATAAAATCCCAGAGACATTACAACGTCCCTGTTTATGAGATTTAATCCGACTGGAAAGTAAAACCTCACAATAGGTTTTAATGCCTACAGAAAGAAATGTCCTACTTAATAGCGATCCCAATGAATAGGTTTGTAGACAGTATGACTGGCGACTTAAGACAAAAGGATCCAATGGACCGCGTAGAAACAGGCAGCCACTTCAATGTGACAGTGAGGGCGACTGACCATGGCAGTGGTCTTTAAAGGGCAAAACAAGTTGCAATAATTGTGGCGGATGTTAACGATAACTTCCCCTACTGCTCAAAAACACAGAAGAACTTCGCCGTACGTCAGGTAGGTATTTACTGCACGCACACCATCTTTTAACTCCTACAATACTAATTAATCCCCTGTAGAAGCTACTGGCACACAATACATGACTTGGTGAACATGTTAAAACTGCACATACGTACAAAAAAAGAAAAGTATAAAAACGCCGGAGAATAACCAGTCTCGATTGTCTATGATATTATCTATGCTTCCAAAGTCACGAAAGAGTTTAGGGTTTCCTTACACTATCAGTGGTAGTATTACGTGTAGCAGTAGTAGTAGTAGTAGTAGTAGTAGTACGGATGAAGGAAAGCAAGGGCCGCAGGTAAGCTTATTTGTATATTGTTGTGTCCTTCTGGAGCTAATTACCACCCTTAGATAGTTAACAGTGTCAACCCCCAAGCATGAATAATCTAATACTGGTTCAAATTCGTGATTCTGAAACAACGTTTATATGGGAAGTAACATACAAATAAAGTATTGCAACAGCCTATGCTGGAACAATTCACTACATATCCTCATCAGAAAAATAGAAACAGTTTCATTGGAACCTTTCTATTGGATGAGAAATACCCTGCTAGTTACCTCCCTTGAAGAATTAATTTAAGATTTTATGTGCCCTTTTCTTTCACTTTGTTATGTGTTTGATGTGTATTTTTTCACTATGGTAAATACATAATTCATGCCTTAACTTTGGAGGAATATCAAACTGTGTTTAAATAAGCACATTCACATTTCAGAGTGCACCAGCAGTATGACTGGAGACTTAAGACAAAAGGACCCAATAGACCGCGAAAAAACAGGCAGTCGCTTTTATGTGAGAGTGAAGGCGACAGACCGACGCAGCCTTCTTTATAGGACAACAGATGTTGAAGTGAACGTTGAAGATGTTAACGACAACCTACCCTACTTCAACAACACCCAGCAGAACTTCATAGTAAATCAGGTATGTATTTCTTGCATGTGCATCATATTTTAACTCAGACAGTCTCAGACTTTGGTTCGCTAACTGGCCTGATTCACTTTATTTCCTGCCTCGAATTCATTAAACGCTACCTACTTCATAGCTTATGCTTTACGATTATCAGACTAAATGGAGCATATTCTCATTTCAGAATGTTTCGGTTGGCTATGTGATCGGGAGAGTGATATCGGTAGACGCTGATGAACTCAGTCACCCCATATACACAACCTTTACTGATGTTGAGGGAATCGAACTGCTGGGTGATGGAACTCTGGTAGTGAGGGCTTCTCTCTCGAACTCAACCGAGGTGGACGTAAGTGGGTAGTGAGTGAGTTGAGTTGAGTTTAACGCCGCTTTTAACAGTATTCCTGTTATATCACGACGTCTCAGCTTAATGTGGGAGCAAAGTCCGAAGTGATGCAGGCCCAAGACGTTCACCACTTCGGTGAAATCAACGAGAACGGGACAAACCTAGAAACATAATCGGGGCGAACCTGTATCCGAACCCACAATCATAGGTTTCTGGCGAATCCAAGGGACCCAACTCTGCACAGCGAATCGCGGCGCCTTCGACAACTGGGCTACCCGTGCCACCAATATTTTACCCCTGATTGAAATATACTCCCCAAAAAAGAAACGCAAAAGGGATAAAAATGGTTACTGAAATAGTATTATAGATGATGTTGGTGTTTTCAGGAAAGATTTGGGAGATGTAGTGTTATGGGTACAAAATGCCATGAAGAATGAGATGGAAATTTGATTCAGATGTTTTCAGGGAGAAAAACATGCAAAATTGACCAAAACGCATCCAAGTGCTAACCATTTCACCAAAACACACCCATTCAATGCACGTGTAACATGCTTCCATAGGCATTAAAAGCGCAGGGTTTTCACTCGAGTGGCAATTGTTGTTGACGCGCACTTTAATGCAGAACAATGCCAAGACTCAGCGAAACAGAGAGAAACAACGCAATTGGAAGCTGGTAATTCACGATCTGCAGTAGCCAGGATGTTCACGTGTCGCCAAGCACCATAACATGACTGTGGGACCGATATCAAAATCAAGGAACAACACGTGACCGTCCAAGATCAGGTAGACCACGAGTGACCACCAGGGGGCAGGACCGATACATCCGGTTATGTCATCTCTGGGACAGAACCACAACCGCATCCTCTACGGCATCCAATACTCCGGTATGCGCAGGATATCAGCCCAAACAGTTAGGAACCGATTATGAGAAGCAGGACTTAGGGCAAGACGTCCCCTTCGTGGGGTCGTTTTAACGGCACAGCACCGTCAAAATCGACGTCAGTGGTGTCAAGCACACAGGGTATGGCAGCAACTTCGTTGGAGGAGGGTGTGGTTCAGCGACGAGTCCCGTTTCCGGATGTACCGTTCAGATGGACAAACTCGTGTGTGCCGACGTCAGGGACAGCGTTTTGCACCATGCTGTATTCAACAGGTCGACAGATTCGGCGTAATGATGTGGGCAGCCATCTCGCACACTGGCAGAACTGACCTTGTCCATGTCCAAGGCAACTTAACAGCTAAGCTGTACATCAACGAGATCCTGAGGCCTCACGTCGTGCCCATCACGCATACCGCCAACGTCATGTTTCAGCATGACAACGCCCGGCCCCATACTGCACGTCTCACCACAGCTTTCCTGCGGGCTAACAACATCCAGGTTCTGCCTTGGCCCTCAAGATCGCCGGATTTGAATCCGATAGAACACTTGTGGGACGAGTTGGACAGACGTGTGCGTCAACGTCAGCCACTGCCACAGATTCTGCAACAGTTAGCACAAGCACTTCAGGCAGAATGGGCTACGATTCCCCAACGTGTGATTCAGACCCTTGTGGCGTCCATGGGAAGGAGATGCCAAGCTGTTCTGGTTGCCAAAGGTGGCCATAGACGATATTGACACCTCCATGACCTTGACCTTTAACATGTGACATTCCCATCCTTGTGTTTTGACCTTAACCACTGTATGATCAATCTTGTAAACTTTCATCCTTGTCGCATTTTTCTTTATTAAATTAAATGTCTCTACATATTGTCACCGATTCGGGCTTTGCGTTTCTTTCTTGGGCGAGTATATATGCAATTAATCAATTCGCCGTGCGCCTTTTGGTGATACTGATGAATATTTTCTTTTGGAGACATACAAAAGTTGTATTGTATATTTGAGTACCTATACATAATTAACTGGTCTGTAATAAAAAATTCATTAGGCCACATAAAATAGGATACAAAAACAATTCTCATCACCGACTGACCACAGTAATCGGTCAGACCCTAATCTAACAAAGTTGCATTTTGTGTTGAAGTCCATTTTGACTAACGAGCAGTTCGTGATTTAACTTCTTTGCAACGGCGCTTTAATTAAGAACAATGGTGAATTTAAGTCGTTGTAGTTGAAAATCGAAATTCTAATTCGACCAACCTATCCGATTTGTTTTCGAGAGGTGACGAGAAATAGGATAGTTTATGTAGCCTTCCCAAACGAACATGAGAACATTCTAAAGAGACATAATTAGTCGTGGCGTTTGATATGACCTTATTACCATAAACGGCAAGTAGTAAATGCATCAAGTGTATCGCCTACAGTTTACTTGTTTTCAGTGAATTACCATGAAGTCAATTATCTTTGTCTTCTTACCAGATGGTTGTCAGTGTCACAGAGGAGAACTTCAGAGGATCAATCAGCAAATTTCCAACAACTACAGCAAATGTCCACATAGAAGTGCGACCAGACGATCATAACGAACATACTCCCGTATTTGGAAACGGTAAACTAGTTTGAGTTAAGTGCCTGGAAGACACTACTATCCCGACAATCTTATGTGTAAGATAATTTCGACCATAATGCTACCATTTCCTACTTGAAACTTGTCGGTATTGTCCGGAATGTATTTTATATGTTGAACCTGTTATAAGTGAGGTAAAATTGGGTTTAACGTCGCGAGGTTAAATTCGGTTTAACGTCGAGTCCAAGATTATTGCACTTATATAGCGACGTGCATGCACGTGTGTATGTGTGTGTGGCTGCTTGTTCTAGTCCGGACTGATGCCGATTTATAGTGCTAGCCCACTGAGATACCATGTCGCAGTTTAACATGAATACCCCACTCAGACAAAGTATACTGACTCCGAGCAGACCAGTCCTTGTTTTAGCCCTTTACTGCCGAGCGCCAGACAGGGTAATAACAAATATCATCTTTTAACGTCTTTTTGTATGACACGGCCGGGGATCGAACCCCGGACCTTCCGCTCTCCAGGCGGACGCTCTACCACTAGACCACGGAGGCGGTCCTGCTTTAAGTAATACGACCTCAAATCATTAGAAATATGCAGATTGATGCATGTTTACCTGCTTATACATATTATTCATTCTTATACATATTATTTATCTGGTAAAGTTGCTTTGTTGAGGATATTTATATCATAAATCAATGTTGTATACAGTAACTAATACGATTTCAAATGTTTCAGATGCTTATGAAGCGTCATTGGAGTTTTCATCTGAAACTGGTACAGAAGTTAAGATTACCAACTTCAGGGCAACGGACGCCGACGGCCACAATGTAACATACGCCATACAAACAAGAAATGATAGGGTGCGCAATTAAAACTATTCACTTGTCTTGAAGTCATGTCACATTATTCCATCACCCCGGATCTCATGGCCTCCTACGTTTGTGTGAATGTAAAGTGTTTTCCCAATTATCCACAGCTTAAAACGTTTGCAGTTTAAACTGAAAACCTTCATTTCTCCCACATTCCAGTTAATATTCATCCTCAGGAAGAAAATTTATTTCAACTTCTTTGTTATGAAGAACATGGCGTTTCTGGGGATATACTTACTCAGACAACAAAAGTAATAAGATAACAAAGGTGGAAACTTAACAAGGGAAGCCAACAGTTAACTGGCGCTGAAAGGTGATTAGCAATGGACAAAGGATTCATCTATGTTCCAAGTTTTCTTATTATCTTCTTAACTGACCGTGGTATGACTATGATGCATACTTGAGTTATACATTATGTTACAGAATAACCTCGAGATCGACAGTCAAACCGGGAAAATATCTGTTCACATTAAACTTGACGACACAGTGCCCCGAGTCTTAGAATTAGTTGTAATCGCCACCGACAGAAGTCTTCACCCGAAGACTGGGTAAGTTTGTACATCTTCTTTGAGTGGCATTTAGAAGTTGGAATGGTAACTAAGACAAAATTGTTATGATGAGCAACTTCTTTATTACAATTGGGCGACGTTTCGGTGTAGATTCTAACACCGTTATCAAGCAAATGTACATTTGTGCTTATCGGCATAGCCATTATTTTCAATTTAGGATGATACTGACATAACGTATGTTTGACATCGATGGCATGATTTATTGGTTACACATACCGTACATGAAAAGAACAGTAGAACAAATGTCTCGAAACATTCCTAGTATGTCTGTTACATTAACTTGTCCGAAGTTGTCGAGCTCAAAATTTGGCTCCTTATTTCAGTGAACAAATGCATTTCTTGAAGCAGCGATCAAATGATGTGTGATATTTGTTTCAGATCGTGTACAGTTATGATAACCCTTCATGGATATACAGAAACAGAATGTGTAGCTAAGCACGAATATTCACGTCTAGAACAGGACTCAGATCAGAGAAAGGTGTTCCTTGGGTTATTCATTACTATGGCAATCCTACTTGCAGTTGTCAGCATTAGTGCAGTGTTTGCTATATACAAGTAAGTACACAAATGACTCAAGTCTTTCAATTAAAGGTGAGGTGAAATTGGGTTTAACGTCGCGTCCAAGATAATTGCACTTATATAGCGACGTGCTTTCAATTAAAGAGGATGAGACTCGTTAACATCATTAACAAAAACTGCCGTGCATTTTGATTATGTTCAAAAAGGGAAAAGCACAAAGTTTCCAATTTCTTTTTCTTTCAGGTGGAGGACAGTAAAACGTAGAACACAGTATCAGGAAAATATCAACATGGCTCATGGTAAAACAGGAAAAGCTCCAGAACAAGCTGGATATGACTCACTAGCTGCAGGCAGCAAAGATGAAGAAACAGCGTACAACAAACTCAAAGACAGAGATTTCGTAAGTCTGAAGCATAACATTCTTGACACACCATTTTGTAAGCTGTCAGGCAGTTTTGATCATGTGGGACTGTATGGAGGGATGCTGGTATGTATAGTTACCACGTTAGTTTTCAGCACATGGCGTTCACAGAATGCTGGACTGCATGTACGACTCTCTTACCAAAGTCCACTGACACTGAGTTTTAAAATAACACTTAATCAAAATGACTGAGAGTCCGTCTGTTTCATGTCTAGACGTTAAAAATATAGATCATAAGATTTCATAAGATTATACTTTCCACAAATCCTTTCAACAAAATGTGTTCCTGTCGAACTACACGAGGGTGCATGACAATGAGGGGAGTTGACGTGAAATTGGGTTAAACGTCGCGTCCAAGATTATCGCACTTATATAGCGACGTGCGTGTGTGTGCTAGTCCGGACTGATTCCGATTTATAGTGCTAGCACACTGAGATACCATGCCGCAGTTTAACACTCAGACACAGTATACTGACTCCGAACCGACCAGTCCTTGTTCTAGCCCCTTAATGCCGAGCGCCAGACAGGGTAACAACAAGTGCCATCTTTTAACGTCTATTGGTATGACGCGGCCGGGGATCAAACCGCGGACCTTCCGCTCTACGGGCGGACGCTCTACCGCTAGACCACGGAGGCGGTTTGCATGACAATGAAGAATTATTACTTCACATTTCATTATATCACAGTCGTGTTGTGAAGAGTTTTGATTTAGATTTATTGAATATCTTAAATACAATCATGACTGAGTTGAAAACATATTTGATTCATAAGTGATTATGAGTGAGGGAATGAGTGAGTGAGTGAGCATGGTTTTACGCTGCTTTTAGCAATATTCCAGCAATATCACGGCGGGGGACACCAATAATGGCCTTTACACATTGTACCCATGTCGGGAACCAAACCCGGGCCTTCGGTGTAACGAGCGAACCTTTAACCACGTGCGTACAGGACTAACAGACCGCCCCAAGGGGTTATGAATAGTGATATTTCTGTATATAGTATTCAGCTGGTATTCTTTCAAAATAGACCCGTGAAGATACGGGGTAGAATAGGTCTTCAGCAGCCCATGCTAGCCATAGAAGGCGACTATGCTTGTCGTAAGAGGCGACAAACGGGATCGGATGGTCAGGCTGGCTGACTTGGTTGATGCATGTCATCGATCCAAATTGCGTGGATCGATGCTCATGATATTAATCACAGGATTGTCTGGTCCAGACTCGATTATTTACAGACCGCCGTCATACAGCTGGACTATTGCTGAGTGCAGCGTAAAACAACAAACCAACCAGCCAACAAATCTTTCAAAATGAGTTGGTTATAATGACAAACGGCTGTCCAAATGTAAATGTATCACTTTCTCGTCTTTGCAGTCATCCGGCGTTCCAAACCCAGCATATGTGTCGACAGGTCCAAGGTAAACAAAGAAAATATACATTTATCTATTGCTATTTGTCACAAACATATTCCTCAAGCAATATGAACACATCAAGAAGAATTATATATTTCAACAATATTTAATTTCATTAATTTCATTACGAGTGTTTAGATTAAACTTTTGAGTTGTATTTGATTGTCTGATCTTTATTTAATTACCAAGTTTTGATCGACGAGACAAATCATTATGTGATAATGTCTTCATTTTTTTTTTATAATGGCATAATCTCATGTATTTATCACGTGTAAAGAATATATATGTTTCCCATTTTAAGACCTATTTGCACGCCCCCAGCAGAGCCCATTCCTGGCTCTTATGCTGCTGAAGACATTCGGATATGAAATACACCTTTATTCCCACTGAAGCAATTTGCTCAAAGGTGGGTCTTGATGGTATTGCTAGCTGTTGGAAGAGATGACGTCTATGCTGGCTTTTTTATATACGTATATATCCTCTCTGAATCCTATAATTGATTCACCTGAAAAAGGAGTTAGCATATATCCTGAAACGTTGTGTTCTTCATAATAAAGAAGTTGATATCCATATAATCCTCTCTCTTACGTGTATCACTTCTAAATGCCATTCAAAGACTAAAACATGAGTGAGTGAGTGAGTGAATGAGCTTAGATTTACGCCGCTTTTAGCAATATTCCAGCAATATCACGGCGGGGGAAACCACAAATGAAAACATGAATTAATCACCGAACAACACGTTTCAAAGCAGTGATACATGTTAAGGTCTTCCCTAAACAATAACCAGTTTTAGCATATGAGAAACATTATTTTCCACAAAAGAAAGGAGTGATGTCTATACTTGTTATAATCTCCAGTCAACAATGAACCAATATGCCTTAAACGTGTATGTGCTTTGTTCTGTTTATATATGGTAATGCATTGTAGTGGTCTCTGGTGTTTTTTTTCTGTTTACAGTAAATAGCTTCATAATAGTGTGTTCATCACTCTTGGAACTTCTCGGCGTGACAACTGTAATCTTGAGAAATATTGAGACATCGTCTCCTCGGTGCTGGAACCGATGTTCGTTGCGGTTTGAAAACACAACCGTCCAGATAAAAAACGTTTCATCTGTTTGACACACTTATATATATATATTTGATACACACTTTTTTTCACAAAATTGTAATGTTATATTCATTGATCATGTGTCAATCGCTCTTCACATTTGAACTGTTTTAAGTACCATTGCCAACTGCATACATTGTGACTTGAGTTAACTTTTCAACATGGAACGTGTATCACTTTTAGTTCATGTTGTTTGATATTGAATAAAACATACATTTTCGTTTAAGATCCTTTTGTTGAACATTGGGGCGTTAATCATCACCCACAACGTTTCCTGGCCTAGAATGTAATATTTCGTATAATTTTCTGTCGATTATTATAACATACTTTAATCAGTATTGCTGACTTGGGGTATAACAACGAAGAACATATATAAAGTGACTCTATATGTCTTTGTCAAAATCGACTTCGGGTTTTCCTCCCACATTAAGCTGAAAGGCCGTGATTTAACTGGAATAATGTTGAAAGCGGCGTTAAACCAAACTCACTCACTCACTTTGTCAATAAGGTTCAAATTAACTAACTTGAGGCATTAAAATAGTTAATATACTATGACAGCAGGGTCAAGAAATAATTAAAAGTATAATACAAGCGATAAAGCCCTTTTCATATTCAATAGAAATCTCTGCCAAAAGCAGTCATTTGTAAGACAAGCACTTTCCTTATGCTCGGTAAAGATTAGGAACCGACCATTAGCTATTCTGAGTCTGGGACTTTCAAAATAGTAGATAATTTGCTCCTGCAAATACTGGGGAAATAATTGTGCTGCAGGCAAAGCTGGAGATCTTGTCGAACGCGTTGTGCAACAAAACTTGCTCGGCTCCTCCTTACAAAGAAAAGAAATGTATTTCTTGAAGTAGAAGGCATAATCTGGCACAATCTGGCATAATCTGTCTCTACCAAAAGGTACAGAACATTGAGTGGTGGGTCTCTCTATCCCTTGGGTAAAAACACTTTAAGCATCCAGAGTGCTTACATAGAATATCACACAGGGAGTTCTATTATACACAGTGAGTGTTTACATCGTTTGCGAAAGTTCATATCGTCTCAAAGATAGTCAGAGTCTAGGATGCGCACATAAATTCTGTTATACCATCAAAGCTGATGTTATTTGCTTTGTTTTGTGACAAAACGAAAGGGCCCAGGTCACATTTCGCGTTGATAAGAATTTGTACAAAAGCTGCAATACTATACATCTGTAGTGACTCTCTGAAGATCTTGAAGACTGCTTTACATACAGCCATGTTAACTAATGATGAATGAGCTCTTAGTGTCTCAGGAATCTATCATTCTGAATACAACTACAGTAAACTACGGTTATAACAAACACGCTTATAACGAACTGACGGATATAACGATCTTACCTTTTGGTCCCGACTACTTGCTGTAGTCATGCTGTATATGTACATATAACGAACTACGGTTACAACGAACTAAAATTAGTAGTCCCTTTGAGTTCGTTATAACCGTAGTTTACTGTAGATACATCAGTGCAACTAGAACATTAAGTAGATTTCAAGTAAGTAAATTGAGACTGTAAACCCAAATGGTAAAACTTTTCCTAATAAAATCAATCGGGTGTCGCAAAAGCAGAACCTTTATGTACCCTCTTAGTAAGTGGAATCTGATCATACCCTTTCAAAAAAGGTCAAACTTACTCAAACTTACTCAAAAACATAAGTAGTCAGTACACCCACGAGTGTCACAATTGAATGTCTTAAAAGAGGAACGCGCTCCGTTCTAGACTCCAGAAAATAGTATTGGAAGCAGGCAGAGTCGGTCTATTTGCGATAGGTATCCTGTCTGCACTTGGCAGATAGGTCGCAAGTGAAGTCGTAGAATGCCTCAAATCACCCTCGTCTTCCTTGTTTATATATACAGTCTTCTAGAAACTCTTACCTCTACAATCTTCACGAATGAGGTAGTAGGTCCCGGGAGGGAATCAACCTCGGTAAACAAGCTCATCACAGAGGAACTCTCTATACCAGGATGATAACGAAGGTGTCAAGGTGACGCATCCTTGGACTGTAAACAACTGCGGCGGGTCACTCTAATTTACGAGCACTCCATTCCGCTACTCACAATCGTCAAAAAATAGACATAAAAATGAGCACTTAAAATACATTTGCAGCATTAACATGATTACCACATTAATCACAGTTAGAGTCATCAAAACGTAGCTTCCACCAAATTCAGAACCCAAACGTAACAATACAGAACTAGTACTGAAGCACAACAGAACAAAATCGCCGGACGATTGGTAGCAGAAGAACCACAATCGGCTGAAGTCAGGATATTCAATGTCTCCCACAGAACCAGTTTTAGACTTTGGTATCGATACTAACAAAGGCCAATTGACCTGCCCCTTGTAACAACGCCTTACAGGGTGGGCTCACACCGCTACGTCATTTGCAGGTTACGGTGCATCTACAGCAACCCCTACAACGGTAGCACTTCCAGGATTGCAAAGGACCGTGCATATAACGATGGTGATGCAACTGGATGCAGGCTTTTATTGTGGTAACGTACAACCTTATATTCAGCATCATCGTCCATCTGAATTATGTAAGAAGGTGTGATCGCTCAAACCCCCATCGGAACAGTCTCGCGCCGCATAGTTTGTTTGTTGTTTAACGCCGCACTTAGCAATAGTCCAGGTATATGACAGCGGTCTCTAACTAATTCAGTCTGGACAGGACAATCCAGTGATTGACATCATGATCATCGATCCACGCAATTGGGATACGATGTCATGCATCAACCAAGTCAGCGAGCCTGACCACCCGATCCTGTTTTTTGCCTCTTACGACAAGCATAGTCGCCTTTTACAGCAAGCATGGGTAGCTGAAGACCTATTCTACCCCGGATCTTCACGGGTCTCACGTCGCTTAGCTGATGGTAGGTGGTAACGCTCACAACGACGTCTATAAACAATCTACCGTCTATCTATATGGGTGATGCAGGAATTGGGACTCACCACTTGTTGGCTTCGACGAAGTTCTAATGTCTGGTATCTATCATATGTTCCTTTGAGTGTTTTAGGTGAACAATTGACTTGGCTTTGCATGTTTTTGTGACGGGTGCCACCAGTGGTACTGATGCGGTTGATACCACCTGGAACAAGTGCGTGACGTTGCCTAGGCACCCAGCGCTGTCCAGCTATGTTCATGGCTGCGCTATACATCACCTAACTGTGGCACAGTGAAAAAGAGTGAAAGTGAGTCGCGTGTCCGACACAGCGAAAAAATGAATCAAGTTAAAATATTTCGGCCAAATCCTACTGTTGTCAATTTGGGAAAGGTCCCTAGGCCGCAGAGATCTAAACACACAGATATAGTAACTGGGAACGGGTCCCGCTAGATTGTTTCTAAACTTGCCTACACTTAAATAGAGGGCATTTAATACATGGCAGCTTTATTCTATTATGATGCGACGTTTCGGTACAGATTGTTTGATAGGCATTACTTAGAAGTTGACGGATGATAAGGTAGACACAATTTTATGGATAACAACTTCTTCGTATAGATCCTTATACCGTTGTCAAGCAGGACTGAACGAGGGTACTTACTTACTTACTTTGGAGATTTAACGTGCGCTTTCCGACTGATGCGTATTTCGCACACGGCCCGGCCAGGCCATTTAATGTGTTTCCGAAAGGGGCGAAAGTGGTCTGTGCAACCCAAGAGGGGGGTTTAGGGGTTGCTTATATAGAATTTGGGAATTTTGAGATTTGGAATAGATGCCGATGAGGTTGGGGAGGAGAACTAAGGGAGCTGGGTATGGTGGATGTTTGTTTGTTTATGTGATTTTGATTTGGTAGGTTATTGTGTTTTTAGATGCGTTTTATTAGTTCCGTTTTTATTAAGAATACGCCTAAGGCCTTGAAGTTTTCTAGTTTATTTTGTGGGTTTAGTATTGCTTCTAGAGTGAGAGCCTTGTTGAGATTGAGGGTGGTTTGTAATGCGGTTCGATGTGTTAGGTAGTGTGTGCAGTGGATGAGTGCGTGTTCTGGGGTTTCTGGTTGTTTGCAGTGTGGGCAGTTGCCTGTAGTGTGTTTTTTTATTTTTTTAGGTGGTTATTTAGGTTGGTGTGTCCTGTTTGGAGTTTAGTGATTACTCTGTCGATTTTTTTTGATGGATGGAGAATTTTTGGTTTGGTTATTGGTTTGCTGAGCACTTCTTTTGATTTGGCTATTTGAGTTTAGATATAGGTTATGCCATTTTTTTTGTGATTTTTTGCTTGTTTACACTTTTAATTTCTGATTTTGAGATGGGTAAGTTTAAGCTTATTTCTGGGATTTTGAGGGATAGTTTAGCTGCTTTATCGGCGTTTTCATTACCGTATATTCCTACGTGGGCGGGTATACGAGGGACATAGTGCAGAATATATATAGGTGGAGGGTTAACAGTAACAACAATTGCATACATGAGTGGGATAACATTGGTAGGTGTTGACAACAAAGGGATAATGCTGTCACAACACGATGGACAGAGAACACATAGGTGGAAGCCAATAGGGACATGAGGCCAGTAAACAGGATAAGTGATTATTGCTTGATGAGCTCATAGTAGGCGGATGGGATGAAATAGCCTTGATCTCTGTTGATTGATGGCTTGTGGCGGCGAATGTGGACTGCTTCTGTTAGTTTTCTTTTTGTGAAATCATGGCGGTTGTTGGCGAGCGAGGATTTGGTATAGATGTTGGTTTCGGTATAGATACTTATATAGTTGTCCAACAAGAGTGAAGTAAGGATGTGTCGGCGGATTTCATGTACAAATCCTATCAATCAATCTCCATGACTTAACCAAACGAAAACTAGCAGAAGCAGTTCAAATCCGCCGACAACAGTGATGAAGGATAAAACAATACAACAAGTAATAAAAGGGCGACACCATGTTTGCTTGGAAAAACTATAAGAAGAACCTAACATCCCTTTTTATTTGCATATTTATCTGTAAATGACCGAGAAACATACCCATTATATGAGAAAATTACACCTACGAATAGTCTGGTTCAAAATTATTGTGAATTTTAATGTCATATTCAAGAAAGCATACATAAAATATCAATATTGACACGTGTTTAAAGTTGAGGTATGGTCAAAGGGATGCAACTCTTCTTCAATTTTAGAATTTGCAAATTGGAGTTATCTCCCTTGATTATGGAGCAGACGACTTTTCCTGATATATGTCAGAAATGAGTGCAGATGGGAAAAGAAGGTTGATTCTACAGCTCCATGATGAAGGCATCACTGATGCCGACTGTTTCAACTCGGGCAGTGTACGTATAACATTTACGAAAAAGCATTAAACACGTGGAGTATCATAATTACAGACCCGGGATAGAATTGGTCTTCAGTAACCCATGCTTGTCGTAAGAGGCGACTAACGGGAGCGGGTGGTCAGGCTCGCTGACTTGGTTGACACATGTCATCGTATCCCACTTGCGTAGACCGATGCTCATGCTGTTGATCACTGGATTGTCTGGTCCAGAATCGATTATTTACAGACCGCCGCCTTATAGTTGGAATATTGCTGACTGATGCGTAAAAATAAACTCACTCACACACTCACTCACTCATTATTACAATTGAAATGAATGCCTAGACTTCTTGACACCGTAGTGCTTTGTTTTAAATCAACTCCTGACGAAAACAAGTAATGTGATCCAACAAATGGGTTATACATGTCTTGGGTTTACAATAGAAAACAAAGCAATATGATGAATAATGACGTCATCCTTGTACGGTCATTCGGTAGAGATAAACTAGATTTCACAGTATATTGTCAAATAAAGCATACAAGAAATAACATATTATATGATACAGTCAGTGAAATATCAAATATCTTGTTAAGTGAAAAAAATAGATATTTCACTCATCGCTATGCTACTTGGGAAAATATCTCCACTCGATAGGAGACAATTGCTATGTCATTTCAAACATCTAGTATCCACTATTACTATTTTCACAATGTCTCTTGTAAACGTCACAAGACATGACGTCAAACGTCACGCAATCGATGATATGCCTCTTCTGAACATTGTGTTTGATTTTTGGTTGGGAAAAATCAAGGTCAATGTCAATTGGATATTTATTACTTTTATCAACTTGTGTGGATATATTTTATATCGGAAGGCACTCGGTTGTGGTTCTTTATATTTTATACTTCATTGTTTCGTCTCCTTGCAGGCAATGCAGTCAATTTCAACTGATGATTCACTACCAGATCTAGACACTGTTTCATCAGAAGGCGGGGAAGCCGAACTTGGTGTTGAAGACCAAAATGGTGAAACTGTAGACAGCACGGTCACATACAATGACGTGGATTCAAGTGAAGGAAGTGACTTGTCAGTATTTGACATACCAAGGAAGTCCAACAGGAACCTTGTGTATACTCGGAGTGACCAGCCACTCTCCCTTCAGCCTCCACCCCTTAGACTTGAGGCCGTGCGGTGAGAGAATTATTTATGTGATTCAAACATATCGGAAAACACAGTTTCATCAGTAAATTGAAATAACCTAAATCAGCCATGCATAAAACGTTTGTCATTTTCCCATTTGAGTTGCAGCTTATTAAAAATTCAAGTAGATATCGTCAATTTGTATCTTGAAAGTATTTTTGCAATTATTGGTCATATGTTTATGCAAACATAAATCTAAGATGTAAAGTATAAGGTCAATTGTATTTCCAATAGGTCTTATCGAGTGGATTCGTTCATATCCATAACAAAACGGAAAAAGTAACATTAAAGTTCTGTTACAAACTGTTAAAATAATTTGGTCTGAGTTCAGAATTGTTTTCTTGTTTTATAGACATTCAGAAAATCTTCACGAGATTTTGACCAGACTCGCGTCAGTGATCAATAAAGAACGACGGAACAAGACGTAATGTAATGTCAGGTGGCATCAGAGCTTTCAACAGGCCATCTTTCAACCCTGAAAATGGCTTGTCTGTTAAGTTTGCTGGGGAATATGCAATAGACGATGACGGGCCAAGCAGGGAGTTTTGTGAGGGTGATGTTCTGGCTATCCCTTCTCTCCCGTATGTGTGCTGTAGTTCTCTCTGGTGTCTCTTGGCTATCTCACTATCCTTCTTCACATCCTCACCAGTTTCCCTCCTTTATTAAAAAAATACTCTTATCTGGATTTTCACGACGTAACCTGCCCAGCTCTTGTCGCTGGAAGTATGTTAGGTCATTAGCCACACCATAACCCATTTCTCTCAGGGTATCCCTGAATCCAAGTGTTTGGATTTTATCATCCCAGTGTGCCATTTGCACTATAAGAGGGCGGGGTTTATTTGTTGTTTTGCTGGATATCCTGTGTGCACGTTCTATGTCTATATCAGCAAGTTCCTCACATGTAGGATTCTTATTTCTGGCTCTATTAAAAATGCCCGATATCTTTTCTTTGCACACTTTGTAAGATTCTTCTATTCCCTCTGGTACCCCATATACAATGAAATCCTTTCGTCTGCTCTGTCTTTCCTGATGTTCTACTCTAGACTCTAGGTCACTAATACTGTCAGACCAGTAATACAGTTCATCTACTTTGTTGGATACTTTGTCAACATCTAGTCTGAGAATAGCCTGTTCTTCTCTATTCACACTAACTTCTGTTCTCAGTTCACATACCTCTGCCTTGATCGAATGAACTTCTTCTCTCATGGACCGTATGTCTCTTGATAGTCTGTCTTCAGATTCTTTAATCTGATTTATAATGGCTGATCCAATCCTGCCAATCCAATGGCCAATCCTGCGATGTCCCCACCAGTAGGTTCGATTCTATGTCATCGGCAACCAATAGCAGTAAAACAAACGGGTGTCTCCTAACTTCGTGGATACTCTCCAGTTTTGGGTCTGTAAACAAGGTTGTACTGTACATTCATACATATCTCACCTTTGAAACACAAAATCCAATGTAGACATCGCATGTTTCATAGATGATACAGTGATCGATCCCATAGTCCATACTGTGACAAGAGCAGTTGTACACAACAAAATTCTGTACGCAACTGTTGTGCCCCCCCCCCAGTCCAGTCTGACACAGGGGTCTAGGGGAAAATCTTTTCTACTTGCCTGTGAACTCTAGGGTGCACAAACGTGGCGATCCGAGCTCTCCATGCTTCTACAGATAGTCCCATAGTGCTGGATGTTCTTCTTGATGTATATCTACACCACAAAGTTGATTGCTTTCAAATTAGTTTCCTCTCTGAATGTAAAACACACCCGTATGTCAAGGCAGGTAAAACACTTCTGGGTGGTCAGTCTGCTGTGGCTGGTGTATGTCATCGTATCCCAATTGGGAGAATGATGCTCGTGATGTCAGTCACCTGATTCAGACTCGATTATTAACAGACCGCCACAATATAGCTGGAATAACAACCAACACAAAAACAAAATCCTGCAAATTATACAAACGTAGACAGCGGTGTACTCCCATGTATTATTTATTAAGAGATGAGAAATACTATACTTCTGAGATATCTATTTCGATACTATGTCTTCCTGATTGACAATATGTTTTTAGACATGTACTTTTAAGATCATTGAGAAAATACATGATAAACAAAAACAATATGATCATGTTGTCAGGTCACTCGATGAGAATGGCCACATATACTCTTTATATTTCCCTACATGCCCAACTAAATGTACAATCATGCATCCATATTTTGAAATGAAGTTCACTAAGAAGGGATGTTTTGGCTCCTTAAAAGGAGAAAAACATAATGAAATAGTCTTTAAATCCTGTTTTCACTGATACTACAGCCTTCACTACACAATTACCTGTCCCATATATCTGAATATACTATCTTTGAGGACCCGTGAAGATCCGGGTTAGAAAAGGTGTTCAGCAATCCATGCTTGCGATAAAAGGTGACTATGCTTGTCGTAAGAGGCGACTAACGGGATCGGGTGGTCAGGCTCTGACTTGGTTGATGCATGTCATCGTATCCCAATTTCGTTGCTCATGATATTAATCACTGGTAAGACTGGTAAGATCATTGTCACATTGAAATTCCTGTACCACACGAACCCGGGGCTTAGGTACGTTATCGTCCTGGAATGCAAAGTCATTTAAGTGGTGATGAAGAAAGATAACGAGCCAAATGTTGTCATTAAGGATATCATTATCATTCACAGCATTGATTCTGCCCTCTACACCTGCTGTTGGTACCAACAGCATGATACGTGACACCCCCCATCATGCCCAGGCCAACATGTGTCCGTGCAGGCGGACATATGCGCAATCTCCAAGCCATTCTGCTCCCCAACATAATTCACCTAGATTTAGGGGCACGGGTGGCCCAGTCGTCTAAAGCGCCGCGATTCTTAATAAAGACTTTGCTTTGTTCTCACATGTCTTTACATTGTTACAATTGAACACATTATTTTAACATTGGTAACGAAGAATGAGTGAGCAAATTGGGGTTAACGTCGCTTTGAAAAGCACTTCAGTTGTCTCACGGTGGGTCAGATGGATGTGGTTGTTAAGTCCGAAGAGATGCTGGGTCCACTTGCACAAAGTGATTTAAGTGCTACGACGAACTTAACTCCCACACATAGACGTGCTAAGATATTTTTCTTCAAGTGGACCCTGGTCTTTGACGTTTAACAGATTGGTTAAACCCACGTGCACGGATATAGTGCTTACAAGTCGAGGATCACAATCCGGTTGAATCTATCATTGGAACTCTTGATCTTTGGATCCTGTCACGCCTAAGGGACTGAACTCTTAGGGAAGCACATTAAACATTTGTATCACACTGGACAGATAACGACTCAAATGTTGTCATGAAGGATATCAATATTATTCACAGCATTGATTCTTGGCACGCAAGAAACCTATAATTGTGGGTTCGAATCCCGGTTTGCCCCGATTATGTTTCTAGGTTTGTCAGCACCGTACCCGTGCTCGTGGGTTTCACCGAAGTGGTTAACGTCTGATACCTGCATCACTTCGGGCTTTCCTCCCACATTAAGCTGACACGCCGTGATATAACTGGACTACTGTTAAAGTTGAACCCAACTCACTCACTCACTCAACTTGATTTTCTCGGTTCACCTTACGAATTCTTAAAGATGGCTTGTGAAACCCACAAGAATGTATTTTCGCTCAACAGTTCGTTTAGAGAAAGTTCGGTTCCTGCTTTATTGAAAATATTTGCAGTTTCGTCTAATGACCATCGACGAATCCTTTTTACAAGCTTGGAAAGCCGTCTGCTATTACGAGTTTTGAATTCAACAGGTCTGACAGGTACTTTGGTGATTTTCAACATTTCCACGTGAATATTATACAACCGACAATAAATAAGGGAACAGATGAGTTGATAGGCGAGGTGTCATGACGATAGATGTCTGTAAAATTAATTTCGGGCGTGTGTATCAATATCTAGTGTGTCTTTCATGTTGGGCGATACATTCACAACACTTTGACGGAATACTGTTGATTAACTTGCGTATAGTTACCCGTGGTATTGCCCGCCATTCCATCTGATGACCTACCACAAGCTTGGCCGACCCGTGAAGATTCCGGGGTAGAATAGGTCTTCAGCAACCCATGCTTGCCGTAAAAAGTGACTATGCTTGTCGTAAAAGGCGACGAACGGGATCGGGTGGTCAGGCTCGCTGACTTGGTTGATGCATGTCATCGATCCCAATTGCGTGGATCGACGCTCATGATATTAATCGCTGGATTGTCTGGTCCAGGCTCGATTATTTACAGACCGCCGTCATATAGCTGGAATATTGCTGAGTGCGGCGTTAAACAACAAACCAACCAACAAGCTGGGCCACTTTAGCGGGTGCTGGGTCTCTTGCGTACACTTTCACCCCGTGAAAATCCCACAGATGCTCTGTTGGGGAAATGTCAGCGGACTTACGGGGCCGTATGCCCTCTTGTCGGAGACGACCTGGGCTCGATGTGGTCTGGCATTGTCGTCTTGCAGTTTACAATTTCTGCCCATAATTCTAGCGAATGGATCAACGACAAGACGCAAAATGTTGTCAACATATCGCAGGCCAGTCAAATGTCCATTCACAGTAACCAAATCCGTTCGCCTGTCATGTGTGATACCGCCCCACACCAAGACAATACCGCCCCTATGCCGATCATGGTCAAGAATTGCTGCCCTGGCATACCGCTGGCTGCTACGTTTTCTGCCATCTGTGAATTCTACATTATACGGTTAATCGATTCGGTATTTTCACAGAAGAAGCAATTAATGGGGTAACTTATTTCAAACATGCTTTATAAACAGTCATTTGTAAATTATATAACGATAAATACATGTTTTCCAATAATTTGAGTCCAGGGCGGTATTCATAAAAGAACTTAAGCCTAAAAAAAACTTAAGTGTTGGAAAAAAACTAAGCTGTTTTATGAATACCACCCCAGAGTAATATTTATTGAACACTTGAGCCTTACTAACGTGGGGGGGGGGGGGGGGGGAGGGGGTTGTATGCAAAAGCAGACATTTCTAAATATATATTTTCTTCAATAGTCTGAAGATTAATTTTCAAGCAGTTTATGGGAGTATTGTTTCCGATAAAATCCGCGCTTGGACACCGTGTCTATACAGACAGACAGATAGTGGTTCATTTCAAGATAAACAATGTTCTATCATGACGTCATTTCTGGTTATTCTCCCTGCAGTGTTTTATTGTACGATAAACAACTCCCACTAGTCGTTTGTTTCTTAAATAAACAACGCTTTGTTCTTGATTGGTCTATGCGATTTCTCGCGTAGCTATACATATGCGAGCAAAAGTAACTGTTCTTCTTGTAAAGCTTATTCTTAAAATAAATAAGCCATATTTAAATACATATAGATGAAGGTGTCTCCTCGTCGATTCACAACTTTTACGTGCATCTTAATGCACATCGCACAATTTGGATGTTTGCGTGTTTGTTCGGAGCATGATGTCTATGAATTTTAACGTAAACAGCACACAGAGCTTGTTCAGCTATCTGGTGCTCATAAATCTCATATTCGGTTGATACATCTACGGAAACGATACCAAACTACCACATTAAGAGCTCGGACAATTCCTTAGTGGCAGAACCGCACGCAACCGATTAAAGGAGCACAACATCCGACCCTGACGACTAGCGATACGCCCAATTTTGCTTCCACGTTACTGCCAGGCACGCCTGGTTTGGTTTAGAAAGCATCTGAGGTTCAGAAGACAAGACTGGGACAGTATACTGGTCACCGATGAGTCCAGATTTCACCTGGACAGCTCTGATGTGCTTGTGCAAGTGTTTACAGGCGTTCGGGAGAACGTGTTAGCGACGCTTTCCTTACTCAACGTGAACAGTTTGGGGGTGAAAATGTAATGGTATGGGGTGGCATCACAACGTATAGAAAAACAACACTCATCATTGTAATGGCAATTTGAATTGCGTGCGCTACCGTGACGACATCGCCCAGGTAGCATGCCATCATCGGCACTGCATCGGTCCAACGTCGGCTACACCATCGGCCAAACGTCGGCAAACTGCATCGGGCGATGAAGTTTTGTTCATCGGATCGACATCGGCCCAACGTCGGCAAACGTCATCGGCACTGCATCGGCACTGCACCGGCCCAGCGTCGGCAAACATCGTTGGGCCGATGAAGTTTTGCTCATCGGATCGACATCGGCCCAACGTCGGCAAACGTCATCGGCCCTGCATCGGCACTGCACCGGCCAAGCGTCGGCAAACATCGTCGGGCCGTAAATATACTCACACGCAAAAGAAATGCAAGTGGTTTTAAGCAAATAGGTAATAAACACGGAACAATAATTTGATACGAGTTTTAGCATGTAGTGAAGCCTAATGGTGTTATCAATATTTTTGGTTGCATTTTGGAAGCCCCGAGTAAAAACGCAACATAAAAAACGAATCGCCAAAACGCACCATTTCTGTACAAAACAATCGAAATGCTTACACTAGTTACAGTACTATTTTTTATGTACCCTAATACATGTGTAGTTAATACTTATAATTAAACACAAAGAGTAAAATAGAATTTATAAACTGTATTATTAATTTATCATTATTTACAAGAAAATAGTGTTACTACCTGCAACAAGGCGGATGTGAAACATATATTCTCAAAACCAGTTTTAAAACTCAGTCTGAACATATACCCCTCATATTGGCCTGGAAAATTTCATTTATGTGGCTTCAAATTCGTTTGCGAGACAAACTTCCCCCCATTCCATCAAGTTAAAAAAGCAAGAAGCAAAGGCCATAACTCCATACAAAATAAATTCTTAAAACCATCTTTTGGATTTTGTACCTTAGATAAGCAGGGAAAGTTTAATTTATTAACTTCAGTAGTGTCCAGGAGAACCTTGCAGTATATGTACCAAGTTCAAAAACAAGGATCATAACCCTGTGAAAAATAAGTTGTCAACACCAACTTTTGGGATTTCTTTGTTCCGTTTCAATTCAGCACTTTTGTTTGCAGATTCTCTATCTGCACCTCTGTTTTTCAGTACGCGTTTTCCTTGTGCCATTTCTAAGCCTTGCTCCTGGAACTCGAAGCCATTCTTTTACACGGATTACCATGTACTTGTCAGTGGCTTGTAAGAGCCCAGCTGCAGGCTTGGTTATATCCCATTAGTTAGACGTCCCATTAGTTAGACGTCCCAATTGTTAGACATTTCTATTTAGGCAAAGAGGGAATATACCTACAGGTGTAATGGATCAGTCCTAATTAGATTAAAGTACTGAGTAGGGATAGGGGACTCACAGTTTAGGGAGTATAAATGTTATAATTTCGTTTAATTAACCTAAATTACCTTACTCTCAGCACAGGTTCAATAGGCATGAGATTAACTGTGTAAACTATGGAGTAGCTTAACTGTCTTACTGTATGATCAGTTGAAGGAGTTGAGTTTAGATTACGTACTCATCAAACAAATAAAAATGATCTTGGGGTACGTATCATTATCAGTATCGATATGGATGGTTTAAGGAAAGTAGAGTACATCATCTCTCGGCGTGGAAGTGAGCAGTTGATATTAGATGGATATATTTACAACAGAAACCGCGAGAGGCAAACCTGCTCACATTCGAGATGTGTCGTCAAGACGTGCAATGGGAAATGTACGACTGTCGGTGACTTTCTTTGCAATCAGTCGGAACATAACCATCCGCCTGAAGATGAAACCAAAGTGAACTTTGTCAGCAATCTTCGTAAAAGAGCGCGAGAAGAAACCACACAGATGCAGGCATTGTACGAGGAAAGTGTAGTCTATTCTCTCTTGAAACCACAATTTGAATTAGAAAATTATCTGACGTCCCTACCCCTAAATAAAGCTATCCCTCTACTTTTATTTCGTACTTCATGCCACCACTTACCAATTGAAAAAGGAAGATGGAATGGGATACCTATTTGTGAAAGAAAATGTAAACTGTGTTTTATTGATGATATTGGAGATGAATTTCACTATATTTTTAAATGTCCATATTTTACTAAAGAAAGAATTTTGTATATCCCACCTACATATTCTAAAAGACCTAATATGATTAAATGTCAAAGACTTTTCACTTGTAAAGAGATATCTGTATTAAAAAACCTTAGTAAATTCTGTAAATATGTAATGCAAATTGTAAAACCTTCCGGCTAACCACAATCCGCAATTATAATGTGTATTTTGCTGTCATTTTGTACCTCCTATGCCGAGGATCTCGGCCTGAGCGTAATAAAGTTCTGTTCTGTTCTAGAGGAGCAAGTCACTCAAGTAGATGAAGCCAGCATCCCAGCGATGCCATCATTTCACCAAACTGTATATAATTTATCAAATGTAAAGTGTCATTTAATGTTAAGTATAATATTAAAGTATCTATTTAAAGCTGCTTTGCTTTGTTTGTCAGATCTTATCTCGACTATTCCATTTTAAAGTCTGAGGTAACAAGCATAAGGGTTAGTGTGCACTCAACCGTTTAAAGTGTTGTTATAAGCTGTCTAACTATTGGGACGTCTAACTAATGGGAGGACACCGCAGGCTTCCTCCTCAGCTTCTGTTTACAAATGATAGCAAAAAATGTAAGTGTGCATATTATAAGTAATTTCATATACTCTGACAATTACAAGTAATGGACTTCACAAGTGTGTCAAAACAAGTTATTGATAACATAATGGAATAATAGAATAAGTAATACCCTGTTCACATGCACCACCTTACATATGTGTGTATATATTATTTCAAGTCTTCACACCTGTTAATAAATACAGGGTTCACTCAAGGAATTTTCTGACATGGACCCTTTATGTGACAATTTCATATATTGCCTAGGTACACCCACACTTGCCCATACAGCACAATGTTAAAGTGCCCCATTGTATTTGAAAATGTGGGCCTTTTTCCAAATTTAGGGGCTAAAAGCAGAAGGCCCCACCCTAGAATTATCGGAATCCTAATAAGTAAATTGATGAGTTTATAATATGTGTAAATAAGTGAATTGAATTATGTGTAATTATATATGCAAATAACATAACCCCTCCCAATATTGCATGGTAGGTCCCTAATCGGTTTCTTATGTCAATTAAAAAAGATTTATAACTGACATATCACCCGATTCATTTAGCCCAATAAACATCCCCAATAACCACATGATAACCCCCCTCCCCCAATCATGCTGGAGAACAGTTTTAGGTGTACAATTTTCTCTTGTATGTCCATCAAAAATAAGTTAGCATGAAATTTCATTTGGAAGATTACCATAGTAAGTGTCAGGGGCCCTTTATAGGGCAAACATGATATTAGATATATGCTTATAAATATTTCAATCAGAAACGTCTCAGTTTGGTTTGTTTTTTAACGCCGCACTCAGCGGGTGGTCAGGCTCACTGACTTGGTTGATACATGTCATCGATCCCAATTGCTATGGTCGATGCTCATGATATCAATCACTGGATTGTCTTGTCCAGACTCGATTATTTACAGACCGTCGTCATATAGCTGGAATATTGCTGAGTCTCGACCAAACAATCCAGTGATAAATATCATGAGCATCGATCCACGCAATTGGGATCGATGACATGCATCAATCAAGTCAGCGAGCCTGACCACCCGATCCTGTTAGTCGCCTCATACGACAAGCATAGTCGCCTTTTACGGCAAGCATAGGTTGCTGAAGACCTATTCTACCCCGGATCTTCAACATGTATCAAACTTGGAGTAAATTTCCCATACTTAATAATCTAAAGAAATTTAATCCACTCACCAGTGCTCTCTCAGTTGCTCGATTTTGGAAAGCTGCTAAGAGTTCATTCAGCTCATCCATGTTTGCCAACAGGCAATGGCTGAACGTCTGGTTTTCTTAAATAGAAATATAAGAATATTATGTATTAAGTTTGTGTAGCAGCAGTGAGCACTTAGCCATGATGATGATGATGTCAAGAGGTTGAGGGGAATATTGCTCAAAACATAAAAGTAACATTTAAATAAAGCTTTGGCCATACACAGATATCAGGTACTTTCCTTAATTCATACATCTTATCTCGCATCTGGAGCCATGTAGCTGAAATAATTTCCAAGGGAAAGTAGTTTCACTTTAATAGCCATAGCCATCCATTGAAAAGCAGTGAGAAAATCCGAATATTGACATAATATTGAACAGATTCTGTGAACTGAAGTATTTATTATATGATACCATATATATGTAGATTATATCATGGTAAATCAAAAGTGCAAATAAACGTTTATCATTAAAAGATCAGAAACAAAGGTATGTACATATTACAAACACTTGTATGCAAAAAATCGCAGGATAGTATCGGGCACAATTTTATGCACAATTACATTGTTTGTAAACATAGGAAAAGGGATAATAATAAACTGAAATAATATAGTAAATTGAGTTAGAATAAATCAAATTTGAAACAAGGCTCTGGGTGTTTTTTTCTACAATGGATAATGTCCTGAAAAATCTGTACTGCAGTATCTATTCTTCCTCATCAAAGTTTTACCATTAATTTGAATTTTGATCAAATAAATGACATGTTAAATTGGGGTTATAGCGAAAAAGGCACCTCAGCAAAACGACACCGGGCGAAAACGGCACCTCGACTCAAGCGAAAACGGCTGCCATTGCCTGGCGAAAACGGCACCTTATTTTTTTACACCTTGGTCAAATAAATGATAATAAACTCACATAAAACAAGTAAGAAATTAGCACCCTTCTCCAATTTACTCGCCGACTCTGATTGGTAGGCGCAGTTAACTTATTGTGAAAACACTATACGCGTTGAAGTTTTCAGTACTTTTACTCAATTTAAGCTGAAACTGTATTTAGAGGCCAAACATGGTGCTGTCAGATCAAAATTATTCACAATGGCCTTTCGATGTGTTGCATGCGAGAAGAATGTCAGAAAAAATCAACATGCTGTATCCTGTGACCAGTGGACCCATCGTGTATGTGGAACCGGACTTTCTGTGGCCCGTAAAAACCAGGACCAGGACAGTGTTGACAGCAATTCAATTCCGAGTTGAGGTATTAATATTGTTGTTATAACTGATTGGTGTAATTGTTCTCGGTAATTTACAATAAGCTGTCAATTACATGTTGAATAGTTTATTGTTACAGTAGAGTAATTGAACCATTATGTTTTAGGTAAAGGAACAAGCTGTTGAAAACATCTACAAATCGGGCGCCAGTATCGTTGAAGATGCTCAACAAAGACTCGTCGACCCTGACCAGGCTGGTGGACGCCCAAACCATTCAACCCTCATTCGCATGGCGAACTGAACCCGGGAACTGTTGCGCCCCAAAGAGCCGAGGACATTGGACTTGGAGGTACAAATAATAATAAAATAAACTACATAATGCTATTGTATAAATTCTCAGAATAACCGCATTGTTGTACCCTCATTCGCATGGCGAACTGAACCCGGGAACTGTTGCGCCCCAAAGAGCCGAGGACATTGGACTTGGAGGTACAAATAATAATAAAATAAACTACATAATGCTATTGTATAAATTCTCAGAATAACCGCATTGTTGTAACATAACGAATATTGTATTTTAACTTTTATTCATACCTTCTTAGGGGCGGTCGGGTATCCTAGTGGTTAAAGCGTTCGCTCGTCACGCCGAAGACCCAGGTTCGATTCCCGACATGTGTACAATGTGTGAAGCCCATTTCTGGTGTCCCCCGCCGTGATATTGCTGGAATATTGCTAAAAGCGGCGTAAAACCATATTCACTCACTTACTCATACCTTCTTACCTGCAGACTTCTTACATGTCCGTGTAAAGACATCAGATATCATATACATCCAATAACATGTAAATACATCAAATACCATGTAAATAAACCATATATATTACTACAAAAATCGTTCTTATCCTTATTAAAAATAGAGGTGCCGTTTTTGCTCGACACATAGTAGCCGTTTTCGCCAAATGCGGTGCCGTTTAGCCAGAGAAATCGGTGACGTTTTGCTGAGGTGCCGTTTTAGCCTGCACCCGTTAAATTGTCCTGTAATATATATTTAGCATCAATTACCTTTGAAATCGTATATTTTATAAATATATTTTATTCAGTATTTCATCACAAATGTATATAACTGTATGACTACCGTACCCCCCCCCCCCCCCCCCCCCCCCCCCCCAAGTCGGGGACAAAACTGTACGGTAGAAGCCTTTCCCGTATAAACCTTAAAATTAAGAATATAATTACTAAGTTTTACCTTTACTCTCTTATAGTTAATATCTGCTAAACATAAACTAGTAATCGATTCTGAAATAGACATATCTCAAAAAATGAAACTGCGTGATTACACCTAAATCGATCATTACATATACCATACATCAGTATAAGATTTCTGATCGATATAAAGGCCAAGGTCCATGTAATGTATCCAGGTAGATCTTGATAAAATTGCCCACACCTGTGATACACAGTGATCGTTTACGAAAGAGCTGTCCTTTCATTTCGCCCTTTATCCAGAAAATGTTCAAAATTTGCTAGTAACTATGACATTAAAAACACATCATTTTTAAAACAATTTTTCATTTCAACTGTTTGGTGATCGAAAACCGAACTCGGCAGTGTAGCTCCGTTCATCGATCAGTAGGAATATGAGCTAGACCGCATGACATGCACACGCAATGCTGAAAGTTTCCGAAAGCCTCGTTATGAATTTCATGTTCACTGCTTTTTGTGCTGACAGCAATCACATACTTGACTTGTAAATTCGAGTTTGTAATTAATTTCCTAACCTAATCCATCTTAACAAACCCACACTTAACAAATACGACTGCGACAAAGACAAATGAAGCAATGTTCATTCAAAAATACTAATGTAAGTAATTGTTTGGCTATTCATTTGCTTGCCGCTGTAATACTCTCACCCCGAGATTGCGACTCGTGGGTTGAACATCGCAGAATCTACATGATAATGAAACATATCTTGTCATGTTTTGCATTTGCGTTTTGCTAGAAATATGTATATATATGAATAGTGAGGATGCAGTGTCACGACATATTCCAAGGATTTTGTCACTGACGTAAAATAGGCAGGACACATTGGTAGGAGTGTGTTTCTCTAACTTCCAAAACACATAGGCCTAGATTTCTCTACTCACATTGACACTTTTGAATGAACACTGTTTCTGGTTTGAATTGTAAGTTTTGAAAAGGAAATGAACACCTCGTAAATACAGTAATGAAGTAAACACTTACCGCAAAATAGGTTTTCCCTCAGCCCTCCACGCATCATCCTTTCGCGTCTGCTTGAAAAGACGCGCGTGAGCAACAGCGCCCTCTATTACACGAGTAGCTTCCCTTGAAGCATGTTGTGAAAACGTTGGACCAACGTAACATAACCGATCGCGATATTCCAAACTTTTGCCAAGATCTTGTAATTTGCCGAATGAATTGTAAGATGTGACGAATCCCGTCTGTATTTTCTCTGTCTGTTGTATATGTGCAGCCAAAATGGTCAGTGAATGTGCTTGATCTATTTAATTTAAAAATTAAAAATAAAGTAAATATTTTGAGTTCGAATAGAATTATTGTATTATTCGTAAATATATTTGATCTAATATTTGTCACATTGTAATCGACAAATGTGTTGGGTTTTTTATGTTATCATAACAAAATCAAATCATATATCAGGTTCAATAGTGTCAGTGCCAATCACCAGCATTGGTCCGACAGCGGACCGCTGCAGTTTGCCGATGCCGATATTGCCGGCGGTTGCCGATGCAAAGCCAACGTCGGCCCGATGTAGGTGTGCTAGCTGGGGGAATGTATTTTTTACAGTGAGAAAGCTGTCAAAATGGATCCAATATTAAACAACCTAGATTTTTAATATTTAAGCTTCATCTATTAGAATCTCGAATGGTTCTATTTATTACATCAACAGTAAAAGTAATTAGATCTACTCACAATATATAGATAATCGATTTCAATGTTTTCAGTGTAAATGAGATTTCGTTTTGATGTTTTATATAGTTTTATTTATGTCTTTTTTCACTCTGCATTATCTAAATTACCAAATACTTCGATCAGTGAGAAGTAGTAATTACTTGGTTTTGTAGCCTTAGCCTTTTTTTTCAAATAAATATTTGTCTAAGAGCAAAATCAAAGCATTCTTGTGGTTCTTTTTCACCATTTTAATTTGTATATCTTCCCTCCAAGCTGTAGTTTAGCTAGGCCAAAATTAAGAAAAAGAGGACATAATAACTGAAAACCCTTTATATAAAAGATTTTGCTGGTTAAATTTTCGAAGTTCAATACCAAGAATATATTTTTCCTTTCATGACAAATAATTCCATTACGTACTTTCATTGACCTACGATCATTATCTATTTCAAACATTTCTTTTAGTAGAATGGGATTGAATGGGAAACTACTGGAAATAAACTATCACGTATGTCCTTAAATGTACATGTACATACCTAGCTAGGTGTTAATACACTTCTAAAGAAAAAAAAGTGGTACGTTTTGCATGGACTGGCCATACAAGTATATTTTGTGCAAAGGTCTAAGTAAGGCCGCCAAGTGCGAAATACTAGCTGAGACGAGGATGTATGTTTTCTGGTGGTCATAGTGAAACAATGACATATATGGCGCCCGAGTTACGAGTGATCGAAAACAGGTTTGTTGAATAGATTTGCTGCCCATGAAAACGTTTCAACAATTTTGATTGAATCTACATGTACTTACTCTTGGTGGTATTAGGTTAGAATAATCTGGTTAATCCCTAAGAAATAATAATGATGCCCGATATTGAGCGATGTCAATTTGAGTAATATTAGGGCTGTTTAGCGATCTTTCACATTTTGTACTTTGAAAATGTCTGATGTCAATTACCTCGAAGTTGCTTTAATCACTAATAAAAGAGCCCGGTCAATGAAACATACATGGACGTAACCGGGATTTCTTCAAGATATACATTCCAAACTGTCATTTGTGGTGTGACATAATCTTTGAAACAGTCTGCGTATGAATTAATCACGACCACTTCCGTCAATTTTGTTTTGACGTCAAATATAACTCACGGAAAATTCTCAGCGAATGTGTCTATCACTGTTAGGATATGTACTTGCCGATGATATGAATTATTGGATATTTAGATTTCAAACAAGGGCGCTTACTTGACTTCCATATTACGATTAATGTAGAAAAGTAGGAAACTTATAATACCAGCACTTTTATCGATGCCTAGGCAGTGCAGATATCTTTTGGATTTGGTGACTTTAGATATTGATGGAAAGACTATCAACTCGAGTCGCATGTTATACAATTTGGTTACACTGTGTGAAGAAATAAAGACCTTGTATGTAACACTTTTGATACAATGTATACGTTTTTGAAACCGCGACTTCATCACAGTGCGGCACTGGGCGGTATGCCGACCTACTGACGTCAAGGCACCATGAGGGTAAGCAAGAAACAAACAAACCTTTGTGTTTATTGCAGATAGTCTCTTTGTAACACTGTTGTAAATAGACTACATGTATGTAAAACACATGCATTTCATTGGTTAATGCGTAAACGGGTGACGTCATGTAAACACCCACCCACGGGCTATTTATAGTCAGGGTGGGGCTTTAACATTTGTAGTATGACTAACACATACAGTATCTTGCGTGAATGCCTACGCGGTAATGTATTCAGATAGAGTTTGCCGGATGTATGGTTTATGTGTTACTCAATCATAATTATAAGTACGTTATAAGTACGTTATTGTATAATAATGATCTTGCTTTGTATAATTCGATCTGTATCAATAATTGCCAATTCTTTTATATCACGTTTATTGTGTTTTCAAGGTGCGTATATCTATATTGGATTTTCAACCTTCTATAATTAACTGAAAACATTAAACCCAGTATATTCACTAAGGTTTGTGTTATTGTGTGGGATGGTCGTGTACAATGGTACCTCTGCTAACCGTGGGGAAATAATGTGTTTAAGGGCAATTATCGGTGTTCCATATTTCATTTCGACAACCTAATCCAAACATTGGATTCCTTTCATGCAGTTTTACTTAGCTTCACGGAGCATAAAGAGTTCGCGTTTAACGTTGCTATGATAGAACCCTTACTCGTTCGATCCCCGGCCGCGTCATACCAAAAGACGTGAAAATATGATGGTACTTGTTGTTACCCTGTCTGGCGCTCGGCATTAAGGGGCTCAAACAAGGACTGGTCGGCCCGGAGTCAGTATACTGTGTCTGAGTGGGGTATTCATGTTAAACTGCGGCATGGTCTCTCAGTGAGCTAGCACTATAAATCAGTCCGGTCTACTACAAGCAGCCACACACACACACACACACACACACACACACACACACACACACGTGTATGCACGTCGCTATATAAGTGCAATAATCTTTGAGGCGACGTTAAACCCCATTTCACCTCACCTCACCTCACCTCTAAAGGAGACATTATAAATATGATGATCAATTTTAAGCTGACAATATACATAGTACAATATACATCATGTACGTGAACACATGTTGGCTCTACTTTCTAACAGCCACTTCATCGTCTTCATCACTACGGTAACGCTCATACAGTCCGATGCTTTTTTTGCACCGACTTTCACAAGTAAAACAGCAATCGAAGAATGTCATACCCTCATTTACCTTTAAATACACCAAAACATTTCAATTGAAACTACATTTTTGAGAGAGTTAAGCATCGGAAAACATGAACGAGAGAGACTCAGGCAATTCTTTCCCCTTCCGATATAAATCTGAAAATCGCATCACATGCCGAGACCGGAAAATTGAACTCGTCCCTATGTACCCATCTTCTTCTTTTTCACACCACCACCCCTTTCTACCGATTTAGACGTCTAATAGACAGCCATGAACCCAATGTACAGTGCAATCCATAACAGGGCCTGGTTCGATTTTTTATAACTTTGCGCCGACCAGTTTTAACAACATAATTATACAAGTGCCTATTTTGGGGCAAGAAATCGATGCCCTGCGTCGCTATTGTCTTGTAATAATGTTTTAATGTGTACGCGATATACGGTTTTTCTGTTGGACAAGAGGCCGGACACATGGCGTACACATTTTGACGTTCATACGTTTTTCACGAGAAAATTATTCTTGAAATGACGTAAAACGTGACGATCTACTTCCACATTCATGGAGAAATAATCTTGGACGTTAAACCCCATTTCACCTCACCTGTATAGGAGACTTTATAAATATGATGATCAATTTTAAGCTGACAATATACATAGTACAATATACATCATGTACGTGAACACATGTTGGCTTCTACTTTCTAACAACTGAATGAAAAAACGCACACCCTAACCATGGACTCGACAGAGGTCGTCACAACCCTCAACACCAATCTGAGAATTTACTTCAGTACTTGTTCGACGCATCTTTATAATCACCCTGAATGATTGGCCACTTGATCAATGATGGCTAACACGGCCTGTCACTGCGGCTGCCTGAGAGGTCTGAACAGACGCTTCTCTTCTAATGACCGTAAGTGTTGGAATCTATTTGTTCCTGCTATGATTCGACAAATTTAAAGAAGTTGATTCCCAGATTATTCATTAATGTGGATGTGTCATCTTGCTCGACAGTAAAGGCAGGACGATGTTACCAAGGATACGGAAGTTCACGGAGGAGGTAATTAGAACAGCGTCGTGACGTCAGCCCATTATTACGTAACTAAAAAATGTACTTAATGGCAGGATAAAGTCCAGTTGACGCCTTTGATCTTTTAGCGAAGCATCTAAGAACACGACTCACCGTCACGGTGGCTAAGAGGTTGTTCTTAAAAACGGTCTTCTTAACCGGTCTTCTTAAACATTTCTCAATAAATGATCTAGTATTTCAATCTATTTGTTCAAACAAATCCCCCACATTCATACAGGGCCCGTGAAGATCCGGGGTAGAATAGGTCTTTGCTCGTTGGTTTCACGCTTGAGGGCTGCCGCGCCGTGATATAAATGGAATACTGTTCAGAGCGGCGTTGAACCCAACTCATTTACTTACTCACTCAGTCATAATATTAATATCGATATGGAAAATAGCAAAAATTCAGGACTGACTTACTTAAATGCATGGCATAAAGTGTTAAAAGGAAGAGATTGTTTGTTTTGTCATAACTATATGACAACGGCCTATAAATAATCGAATCTGGACACGACATAGGACTTCAGCAACCTATGCTTGCAGTAAAAGGCGACTAACGGGATCGGGTGGTCAGGCTCGCTGTCTTTGTTGATGCATGTCATCGATCCCAAATGCGTGGATCAATGCTCATCACTGATGTCAATCACTGGATTGTCTGGTCCAGACTCGATTATTTACAGACCGCCGTCATATAGCTGGAATATTGCTGAGTGCGGCGTTAAACAACAAACAAACAAACAACATTCATACAGTTTGGCCCTCACTCTATGAAGGTTCATACTCATACACATTAAAAGTCAATATTCTTCTTATATTTTACCACTACAGTAAACTACGGTTATATCGAACACGCTTATAACGAACTGACGGATATAACGAACTTACATTTTTGGTCCCGACTATTTGCTGTAGTTATGCTGTATATATGCTTATAACGAACTACGGTTATAACGAACTAAAATTAGTAGTCCCTTTGAGTTCGTTATAACCGTACTTAACTGTATTTGTCTTTGCCAAGAATGTAAGCCAAGGGCACCGTGTGTCGTGTAGTGTGCGTCCTGAGCTGTGTGACATATGATCCTATCTATCTTTGCCGTGGTGGTGGTAATGTCCAATTAAAGACTGACCATTGTGTTGGTGTGATGTGAAACTTGATGTATCACATTGTACACGAATGCGACAAATGTGTCCCATGCATGTCAAATGGGGTTAAAACAACCCCAATAATTACTGTGTAATTAACTATCCTCATGGATGGAATAAGAAACCGCTCGTTGGAATACATCACAAAAGGAACTAGATGGTCTAGCCAAAATATTTATTTGAAAAAAAATACACATTCCAAAAATGTACTTTTTGTAGCAGACAATTTTATCCAGCAGTCTCAAACATAATAATTTTTTCAAGCAACTTTAAGGACAATTTCTTTTTTATAAAAACCTCAGTAATGCAAATATTTTTAGACCGGGCAGCTTGCTTAATGTCATGAATGTCTATTCCGTACTTTACTAAGAAAGTGTTATCCCAAATATAACATTTGTTACATTTGACCACTTTCTAAACGGCATTGTGTATTCATCGTGTAGAATGATTTATCTTGAACCCTTGACAAATTGATAAATGTCCCTTAAACCTTCATGATTTATCTTATCAATTAATAACATACTGTATATGATGTTTTAAAACCAGTTTTAATTGATACTTGTAGTACATCATGTCAGGCAAAATTTAAATTTATTACGAAGTTTAATACAGATATAGGCTTTGTAAAAGCAGGGTAAATCTGTTACATATAGGCTGTCGATGTCACCATGCACGTTGTAGCGTATTTATGGTCCTTGTCATCATAAAACGAGTGGAGTTGGACAAAAGGGCTCGTTATCTAATCAATACCAATATAAATCAAACTGATTTGTAGACATCTGTATGAGCAAATCGCTGGTCGAGTTATAAATGTCCGTGATGGATTACTGCTCGCGTGAATGAGTTGATGTTTGAGTGAGTTAGTTAGTGGCTGTGTGTCTGAGTGAGTGACTGACTGAATGAGTTAGTTGTGGGTGGATGCGCGAGTTTGGGTGGGTGGATGAGTGAGATTGGCTAACCCTACAATCATCAATGTTCAAGCTACGGTTGAATACTCGTAGGACCTGAGAAAAAGTCAGAAAAAAGACCTTCATCCGCCTTCATTTAAAACATCACAGAATCATATCTTTCGTGAAGTTCATTTTCGATAACAGTTACAAAGATTTCGAGACATGTGGCTACACAATAACCTCAAGACAACCAACAATTCGACACATTGAACGAATTTGCCTGGACGATACGACATAACCGAGAATTCGAGATGTAAGAGTTCGACACACAACAGTTTACACTGTATTTCACTCAGGTCGTATTTGTAATGTGGTGTCAATATAAATCCTGGACGCTGATTCCGTGAGTGAGTTTTGTTTTACGCCGTCGTAAGCAATATCGCAGCAGTATCGTGGGGTTTGTGGGGTGGGAAATGGGAGAGGGTAGATGTCTATAATACTCAGGTGCGGAACAAGCAAACCAGGTGAGCTAATACCCGTCACACCAACCTGTCCGATGCACTTTAATCCCCAGTCACGAGATTTAGCTTTGTTTGCTGGCCGTCTATAGCTTGTACTTTAATATAGTATATAGTGTAATATTGATGTATGAGATGCCTTGTATGGTCGGATTTCTTTATAAAAGTTCTCCTCAATATATGGCTTAAACTATACTATTTGTTTTATAAAAAGATATCCCATACGGGTAATAAAGCATTATCTATATATCCTGTCTATCTTATCTAGACCGCCTCCGTGGTCTAGTGGTAGAGCGTCTGCCCGGAGAGCGGAAGGTCCGGGGTTCGATCCCGGCCACGTCATACCAAAAGGCGTTGAAAGATGGTACTTGTTGTTACCCTGTCTGGCGCTCGGCATTAAGGGGCTAAAACAAGGACAGGTCGGCTCGTAGTCAGTATACTGTGTCTGAGTGGGGAACTCATGTTAAACTGCGGCATGGTATCTCAGTGAGCTAGCACTATAAATCGGCATCGGTCCGGACCAGTACATGCAGCCATACACACACACACGCACGTCGCTATATAAGTGCAATAATCGTGGACGCGACGTTAAACCCCATTTCACCCAAACTATCTTATCTAAATACTGCCGATGTGACATAAAATTGTCATTCACTCACTTCCATACATGTCATTACAATATATTCGATGTTATTTTACCTGTCTTTCAAGTGAGTCAAAAATAACCCTTCTTACCTGTTCTACCCAGATACAGCAAGATAGCAGTTCTCAAGGATGCTTGAACACAACTCATCAAACTTTTCATTACAGTACCTGAATAATGTATGATGCATACAATTGCAGGTGATCTCATATCCAAATAAAGTTAAGACCATTTGATTGAAAAACAATATTTTGGTTGTCACACAGTCATACAATATTCATTAAAAACACATATTTTTTATTAACCAAAACATTTGGAAAATTCTGTAAACAAAATGATGTACAGAAAGCAAAGACCAACATTATTATGTCATTCTACCATGAATTTGGAATTCACTCGATTCTGATTGGTCAATCAGAGGCTATTAAATCACAATAAACCCCCTCTGATTGAAACAGCTGGTTTGACGGCCGCATCACCGCGGAAGCTAATATTCACAGAATAGTACTATTTTCAGTCATTGTCGGCAGGCATATTTAAATAATTATATCTACAATTACAGGTTACGAAATGCACAGATGCGGTTACTACAATATTCAAAGGATGTGTGGCAATACATTACGTGCAGAAAAACACGACAGAAATTAACAAAGGGAATGTATTTACGTTTTGGAGACAACAGAGAGCTTGGAATTTTGGCGCTTTTCTATATACGACTGTGACGTCATATTTTTTGCGTCACAATGAGCGATATGACGTCATAATGGTGATGCGCGATGTAGAGCGAAAGCCTTGCAAAGCTTGCTTTGTTTTCTTTAGGGATGCCCACCTCATGTTAGCTTACCAAGTTGCCGTGCTTATATGCTTTCAATGCCTGTCATATGTTCGAGTGAAGTATAACGGTGTAAACAAACTGCTTGAGTATATACAGCACCATATTTTGTTCGGTGATTCCGTAATTCAGATCGATAATCCACTCAAAACACTGAACTCAACCCATGCCGCTTCACTCAGTATATTTGCTAACACCAAAGAGTTCGCGTTTTATTTAGTCATGGCAGAATGGAGATAAACATACTGTGTTTTCAATGTAGAGCTAGGTTACCTGTAGATTTAACCGCGCTAAATTTAACATTTGAGACCTCACGCTGCGCGTTCGGTTCCAAATTCAATTTAGCGGGGTTAAATCTACAGGTAACCTAGCTCTACATTGAAAACACAGTATGTTTATCTCCTAATTAATGCAGGATCGGGAGAAAAATACATCATCGCCTGGAGACACGACAGTGAGTTTAAGGATTTATTCAACACATGCAAGATTCAAATACATAAACGCACTGCGGCAAATAACTATGGAGACAGGCAACATGTAAACAAGACCGTTTTGTCAGGTGAAATAAGATGGTTCAAAATATAGAAGATAGAGATGAAGAGCAATAAGCCGATCCAGGTTAATTAAAAACACCCAACACATAATCCTTACTTTATTTCCAGCGAATGGTCTATTCGAGGCTTTAACGAAGGATGTGATATCAGGTGTATATCCAATAGCTAGCGCTGACGCATGTCTTAAAGATTTACAACGATCGTCACAGAAAGAGTCGATGAAGGCATGTGCTATCTCAGTCATTGCAAACTGATCTTTCTCAGACAGGCGTTGACACTGATCAGTTGACTGAAAGGTTAGACGTGTGATAGCTAGGGAAGAGTGGCGTTCTCTGTAGCTTGAAGCTAAGAAGAGCCTCGATTACTGATTACACATCTTGGCTAAAGGAGAACACATGGAATGACAGTGTCTACTTATAATGCTCTTTAATGTATGGTATTTCAAAAGATGGTTTACTCTATACCGTATAATTGCAATAACGTGCCGTGGTGACGGGTATTTGTTGATGAGTTCAGGTACTGGTGAGAATTAATTGTAGTCAAGTGGCCACACTGGTGGAGCTATTTGAAGCTCATATTTAATAATCTGAAACATTTCTTCTTCGGCCACGATGGAGAGCAACACTTCAATGAACTTGTCCAACGACGTTGACTTGCCATCGGAACCTATTCCTCTCATTAGGATCATCCTCGGGGTGATTCTGTACATCCTTGTACTTATCACAGTATGTGGGAACCTACTTGTGCTCTTGGCCGTTTACAAAGACAAACGCCTGCAGACGGTATTCAACTACTACATCGTAAACTTGGCCATCACCGATGTCCTTGTAGCTCTGACGGCAATGTCCCTGTATACAACGGACAATATCCTCGGACACTGGCCTCTCGGCATCTTCATGTGCGGACTGTGGATCTTCTTCGACTACGGTATGACGTTTGCGTCTGTTTTCACTCTAGTGGTCATATCACTTGACCGTTTCTGGTCAGTTCAATGGAGCATCCATTACCGGAATCACCACAACAAGAGGAAGACGCTCGTTGTCATAGGTATCATTTGGTATGTATTTTTCGAGTTATACAATTACTTGTGTTAAAATCTCTATTTATAGTTGATGGATGTTTTACAAACCAATTAACGTGGGTAGATCGAAATAAAATAAAACTAAATCTATCTCGGTCAATATCAAAATAAAAGTTGGCCTTAACCTTTTTTAGGCTGTCGGTTTAGGCCGAAAAATAAAGTGCAGGATACTTGCGACCATCTGCAGAGTAACATGTTTGTGTGTTGCCTCCTGTCTCACATAGACGGGTGTTACCGGTCGAGCAGGACTTGCTTACCATTTTCGCAAACCCTTGGCGTCATCGCTGACTTTCAGTGATCCATTTATGTAATCTTAACCACTATGTTGCCTTTTGCACCAATTGAATCTGTTTCGCCAAATAATCGAGACTGATTACTATCTGGCATTGACGTTTATGAATACTATGCAATACATTTGAACAAATACTATTCAAACCCTTAACAGCTACTTTGTTTGATTTTTATACTTCCATTTAATATCTTTATTTTTCCACTTCATCAAAAATTGAGTGAGTGGGTATGGTTTTACGCCGCTTTCAGCACTATTACAGCAATATCACGGCGAAAAAAAATATTTAAAAAAAATAAAAAATTGAGCTATCGGAGAAATTAAATAAATTCAAACTTGGCCTGTTTTTATTTTTTTTATTTTCTGATTGTTGTTGGATTTAATCGGTCGTACCCTTAATCGAAAGTTTTCTATTACAGTAGTGAGTGAACTCAGGAACGGCATTTTAGTTATATCACGGCGTGTCAGCTTAATGTTTTGGGAAAGGCCAAAACGATACATGACGTTTGTAATACCCACGATGCTTTCAAACCAAACATAATAATCAGGGTACAGATGGAATGCGAACCGTTGACCACAGTCTTTACAGCGAGCCGAGGATGACCTTTAAAGATCTTCATACTGGTTTGTTTTGTACACTCAGATTGTAAAAAATTTGATAATTAATATTGTGGTGTTTAGACTATATATTGCACCACTATATATAGCAACTGTTGAACCACTAAATATTGCGACAGATGAACCACTAAATATTGTACTGTTGAACCACTAAATATTGCAACTGTTGAACCGCTATATATTGGAAGGGTTGAACCGCTATATATTGGAAGGGTTGAACCGCTATATATTGGAATGGTTTAACCGCTATATATTGGAATGGTTGAACCGCTATATATTGGATGGGTTGAACCGCTATATATTGGAATGGTTGAACCGCTATATATTGGAATGGTTGAACCGCTATATATTGGAATGGTTGAACCGCTATATATTGGAAGGGTTGAACCACTATATATTGGAATGGTTGAACCGCTATATATTGGAAGGGTTGAACCGCTATATATTGGAAGGGTTGAATCGCTATATACTGGAAGGTTGAACCACTATATATTGGAAGGGTTGAACCGCTATATATTTGAACGGTTGAACCACTACATATTGTAATGGTTGAACCACTACATATTGGAACGGTTGAACCACTACTAATTGGAACGGTTGAACCACTACATATTGAACGGTTGAACCACTACATATTGGAATGGTTGAACCACTACATATTGGAATGGTTGAACCACTACATATTGAATGGTTGAACCACTACATATTGGAACGGTTGAACCACTACATATTGGAATGGTTGAACCACTACATATTGGAACGGTTGAACAACTACATATTGGAATGGTTGAACCACTATATATTCGAAAGTTGAATCACTATCTATTGGAATTGTTGAACCACTACATATTGGAATGGTTGAATCACTATTTGTGCAATAGTTGAACCGCTATATATGGCAATAGTTTTCGCGATATCTATACCCAGTACATCTGGAAAAAAGCAAATTGATTGAAGTTTTGAAACCCACATCATTGGAAGTGGGATATTTAGGTACGTATAAAAACTATAACTGTACATAAAGAGTGAGTTTGGTTTTACGCCGCTTTTAGCCATATTCCAGCAATATCACGGCGGGGGACACACCTTTTACCCATGTCGGGAATCGAACCCGGGTCTTCGGCGTGACGAGCGAACGCTTTAACCACAAGGCTATCCGACCGCCCCTGTACAAAATGAACTCGACAGCGCTACATCTATATTGCAAAAACACAGTGTTCCTGTATAAAATTATTTTATGGAAGAATCGTTTTCTATTGACAGAAATTTAAATCACCAACATTTGGTATGATGCAAAGTTAATATTAGTCAGAGGTAAGATTATATCGGTAATATATCAAATAGCTCACTGGCTATTCACTAAAAAATAATACTTGACAACCATACTAAGTCTACATATCAATGTGGTCAATACTTATAGTTTTAGTTCATATAATATTTAGTTTATCATTTTCTATGTTAGTTGTTTGTATGTTTGTTTTGTGTCACTCTATGTAATAACACTGCCATATGACGGCGGCCTGTTAAGGATGTTGTTAATTGAATCTGGACCACAAGCAAAAAACATTCTACAATGAATTTGGAATAAACTCGATTCTGATTGGTCAATCAGAGGCTATTAAATCACAATAAAACCCCTTTGATTGAAACAGCTGGTTTGACGACCGCATCAAGCGGAATTTAATATTCATAGAATAGTACTATTTTCAGTCATTGTTGGTAGGCATATTTAAATGATTATAGCTACGATTACAGGTTACAATAAGCGCAGATTCGGTTACTACAATATTCAAAGGATGTGTGGCATCGCTGCCCGTTCCGGTTCGGTTCGTAATTCAATTTAGCGCGGTTAAATCTACAGGAAACCTAGCTCTACATTGAAAACACAGTATGTTTATCTCCTTATTGAAGACAAATCTGGGAAACAATTATTTTTGTTCAGGTTTTACCAAAATGAAGTAAATTGTTCGCAGGGTATTATGGAAAAAAAGTGTTTTGAAATTAATGAAATTCTCCGGCTCACGGTTTCACGGAAATAATATTGCGTGCATGGAAGCAGTGAAAAATATGTCCTGTCCCTCCTATCCCCAGACACCGTCCCCAGACCCTAAGAACAATGTTTAGTAATTATCGTTAAAGGTTAAGCCTCCGACATGTGTGCTGAACATAACTGTGTTATTGAATAAGCGTATTTTCAGTTTACATATCGCTAATGCACATCAAAACAGAGAGAGAGATATATAATTGCATTGATTACCCACCCTTCGCTAGCTAAATGATCCACGTAGAGAGAAAATCACGCTAATCTTTGAAAGTTGGGATGAGAATTAATGCCATTGCTATCGTTTCGGTTCCTCCCTATGTCACCCTTTATCATCCTCTGTGTAGAGCTGACTTGTTCAAACTCACAAGGAGGTTTGGTGACAGGGGGCATAGCATCTTTTTATGCTATTTTCAAAAATTGCAATTAGTTTGTCGACGAAGTGAACGACAACGATAATAATGAACATAGGCATGTGATGCTGTTGTTTTCTTATTTGATTAACATACAGACCCTCTATCTGCTATCCTCTCTCCTACACGGAGTAGGTTGACTTCCTCATGGTACTGTCGAGAAGTCTTAGCCTTCCCATACAAAGATTTGTTAGTTTGTTGTTTTGCGCCGCACTCAGCAATATTCCATCTATATGACGGCGGTCTGTAAATAATCGAGTCTGGACCAGACAATCCAGTGAGTTATACCATGAGAATCCTTCCACGCAATTGGGATACGATGACATGCATGAACCAAGACAGTTAGCCTAACCACTCGATCCCGTAAGTCGCCTTTTACGACAAGCATAGTCGTCTTTTACGGCAAGCATGGGTTGCTGAAGACCTATTCTATCCCGCATCTTTATGGGCATCTTCTTCAAAGAGAAAATTGTCTCTCCAATCTACAAAATATTAACAATAGTCCTAAAGTAGTGAAACATACAATTAAAATGTATTTGGGAAATGCAGCTTTGAAAATAAATTATAATAATTTATAAATGTATTAAGCATTTTTAAACATTTTTCTTATTTCAAAACAATCTTTGTATAAATGAAAAATACCTCTTATGTCATTGTGGACTTGTGGATGTTGATGGTTGTTGCCGGTTCTACAGTCTTGGGCTGTGCACTGCCAGATGACAACGCCGTTACGTTCTTTCCTATATTGCCTACACATGTAAACTACCGTGACCAAATGTCCCCCCCTCGACTCGTAGGAAGAGATCTTATGTCTATCTGCGCATTTGACATTTTTGAATGATGGAAAGATTAAAAATAGCAAATTGGAATGAGAAAACTTCATCATGAATAATTGGTGACTATATTGGTCACCAATAATGTTTAGTAATTGGTGAGAATTATTCATTTAATTGCGTAAACTGTTCATTTTATTGCAATAGATATGAGCATAGCTCGCCATAAATAATTGGTTACAGTAATCCTTTTAATTGCATGAACTGTTTGAGAGGTAGGTGTGAGATGACTCCCATTAACTAATCCGTTGGGACATTAACTAATCCGTTGGGACATTAACATAAAACAATAAAAAAGTGCAGGGGAACGAACCCTCACACAGCAAAAAAAGTGTCAAGTTCCGGATACCTTCCCATTTTGGATCCGGCCCGGATACCTTCCAGAAACCTTCCAGATACCTTCAGCCACCTTCAAATTTCTTGGTAATTTCAAGATAATTTTTGTATGTGTTTCACACTTAAGTGAACAAAATGCACACCCCCCCCCCCCCCCCCCCCCCCCAAATGTTGACATTTTTGGGGGAAGGTTTCCGGAAGGTATCCAAAATGGGAAGGTATCCGGAACTTTTTTTGCTGTGTCAACGTCACCTCTACCCATGCACCCACACATACTTTAACTGATCCATTTCATAACCATGGCATACTTTTTTTACATTTAAAAAACCCACTAAAGTAGAACATGGTTATAACGAACACGGATACATGTAAGTGAGTATGGTTTTATGCCGCTTCTTACAAAGCAAATTCAGCCGTATCACAGCTGGCGTCTTCAGAGATAGGCT